GATAGATAGATAGATAGATAGATAGATAGATAGATAGATAGATAGATTACACCATTTCCCGAACAGGCAAAGTGGTGTAATCTGATTGGTTCTCGTGGAAGCCAGACCCTCAGTGCATTCTGGATAGATTTTTCTAGTTAATGAGAGCTAATGATGGAGATGTGAGTGTGGGAGTTGTATGAGTGTGTGTTGGACCAATTAGTCTCAGGATGGCTTTGCTGTATGCAATGTCTGCCATGGGGCTGAATCCAGTCCAAATGTATTTATGTATTTAGTTAATTTAGGATGCAATGAAGAGCTCTGGTCTTCTAATTGATCTCTACAGCAGACAAACACACCAAAAAGAGGAACCCATTAAAGGAACCTCTTGGGATGGAGCTCTGTTGAGCATGTGTAGTTTACCTCTGTGTTGTATGCAGGGAAGTAGAAAAAATAATAAAAGATGTTGAATAAAGACAGAGTTTATGTTTGTCTGGGCTGAAATGCCAATAAACTGACAAATATTTGACAGGGTTGTTTAGATTCTTTAATCTGAAGAACACATAAGGAGTCTCCTCTTTTCAGACAACACTTTCCATAGTTATCCCATGACAAAAAAGGCCAGTGTAAAGACAATAGTAAAGACATGACAAGGGTGCTTGGATGAATATTTCCCCTAGGTTTATTTTAGATGGGAATTTAGAACAGGTTACAATTTCTTTGTGTGTCTACATTCACATTTTACTGCTTCGTGATAGCAAAGAAAATGGAAAGGACAGTTATTTTGGTTCAGTTTCATAGGAGGAAATATTCCAATTAGTTTAGATCACGCAATGAGACGGGTCATAATCAAGTTGAGTTTATGAAAGTATTTATACTATAGACTTTAAATCTACACTACACCAGACAAGTTGATTGTTCAAACATGCATTTACTGAATATATTTATTATGCAGTTCATCAGTGAGGAAGTGAGCCGGATTTGTGATTTTATTATATAATTTGTGCTGGGGCCCAAATGAAGCTCATTTCCCAGATTTCATCCGGCACAGTTGACTTTTCTTCTGTGTTCTGTGTCCTGTGTCCTGCTGCTGTTAACCAGGTTTAACCAGCAAGGGATATTGGCTCTTATTCATCTAACTAATCTCCTCTGGATGTGGATGGCAATCCATCACCAAATCCACGGGTCCACACTGAGCTGGGAAGTTTTCCCACTTGGGAGAAGGAAATCAGTTTGACACTGGCAGTTATCATGACTGCGAACGCCGGCCATGTGACTGAAGAGAGAGCTTTTCATTCTGTGGCCCACGCTGACGCAGACGCTTTTTTTTACTGAAATGAAATCAAAAGATCTCCTGAAAACTTTTCCAAAGTCCACGTAACATTTAATAGGTGAATAAGCTCATGCAGTGTGTAAAACTTGATGCACATGTGGGATCTGGTTACATGATGATGACACTAGTAATGGTGCTTTCTGGTGGATATTTAAAGACATGACTCTTTTTGCCTTTTTAGGATCTCTTAAATGACTCAAATTAACCCCAACAACTAAAATGGAAATATTGCCAAGACTGTTTCTTAATCTAGATGTTTTGAGAAAGGATAAAAATGAGCAATGACGAGAAATATCTGGTCAGTTTTAGATTTTAAGATAAAGAAAGCAGTTGCTTCCCATCCAAAATGACTTTTAATCTATTCTAAATGAATGTTTTAGGGACATTATTTAGCACAGGTTAAAAACAAATAAGAAGTCATTGTTCTGAGCCAATATAGACTGATAAGATTAATGTGGTGCCAATCTCTCTCGTTTCTCTCTTTATCTTTTACCAGGGCACTTATCTCTGCTTAGGTATCTGCTTTCCAGGTAGACTCTTTCACATACTCTTTCTATCCTCATCTGTCTGTGTCTCATCTCAGCCTCTTTACTCCACCTGCCCCATAAACTCGGAGGAGACAGCAATGAGCCAGAGTGACAGAGAGGCTCAAATGAGGCCCGTCAAGCAGCCAGCAGTAATCTGCCATCAGAGTCGTCACTCTGTGGTTTGCTAATTGGATAATGTGGTGGAAAGGCGGCACTCAGAAAGTCAGGGGAATCCCCTCATCACACCGGCTGCTGGGAGAGTCGTGATGCAGAGCCCCTCATTGGAAATACATCCTCTGACAGGAAGCAAAATTGGATTCCAGTGTAGGTCATCATTGCAGAGATGTATATACATATAGACACACACACACGCACACACATATACAGTATATATATATATATATATATAGAGAGAGAGAGAAAGTGAAAATTTGTTAAATCCAAATAAGGAATGCTCTCTTTTAACTGGCACGGACAACTAAAACTACCATTTCTGGAGAATAGTGTAAAACTTTAGGATGAAGTATTTGAACCAGACAGATTTTAGACAGTCCCATGGTCTGTGAATTCACCTCAGGAATAATCTCTATTATCTAAATTGCTCAAATCATTAGTCATGTCATTCTTTTTACTTAAACTGGTCTGATTGCAGTCCCGGTGGTGTTTGTATGCCCCTCTCAATTGTGACAGAATTGTTTGAAGTATTTGATGAGTTTCGGAAGTTGTGGGAAAACCTCGGCATCCCTACTTGCCAGTGGAAGCAAAACACTCAAACCATTGCCATTGTACGCGTCTTAATACTTGTCATGTGGGTGGGTTCTTGATAGAGGACTCAGGTGCGGAGATGACGGAAAACAAGGTTTATTATAACAAAAGGTGGAAGTCCAGACAAAATACAAACCAAGGCTGTGGAAAACTGTGAGCAAAGTATCAAAGCAATAAGTAAACAAGACTGTGGCAAAGTAACAAAATAAAGATTAGCAAAACTGTGACAAGGCTGTGGTAAAACAATGACAATGGCAAAGTAACAAAATAAAGAACAACAAGACTGTGGCAAAAGCAAACCTGGACTGACGTGGGGGTGACGAAAGACAGACGACGAAAAGGACGAAAAGACGAAAACGCACTCGCACAAGACAAGGGGAAACGAGGACTATTTAAACACATGAGGGAGGGGAACCCCAGGTGTACACAATAGGTAATCATGACATAACGAGACACCAGACGTGACAATACTGAAGTTTTAGTCCCAGTGTTACTTGGCTGTGGTCTTCTGGGCGGACAGAAACACGCACACTCACTCTCACTCCAATTTTTGGACGATGGGAGGAAGCCAGATAACGTGGAGAGAACCAGGGAGAACATGCAAACTCTTCACAGGAAGGTTCTGGTCCCCCCCCCCCCGGACAAACCCAGAACCCTCGTCCTGTGAGGCGATGGTGCTAACCATTTCTAGTAATCCAAATGAACAATTCCTTAAGAAGAAAATTATTATTTTTCTGTTACTAAACCTTTGTTTTGCTGTTCATTTTTTTTCTGCTTTCACAAATTGTGATGCTACAGAGGGCAGTATGTTCGACATAAATTGCCTAATAGCTGTAGTGTATTTCCCTGAATTGGATTACGACTAATGAATTTGACTCAAATCGGACTCTAGCCAGACAGAATTGCAGTACTGGGGAATAGCTGGAGATTTGTTTTCTGTTCCGGCCTGTGTATAGTGAGCAGATGCACACAGAAATCAGAGTTTACAGAATCAAAGTAATAAATTACATAGTTTAGTAAGGGAGTTGCAGTATGATAATACAACTAAGAATATCAGTGGGAGTTGTTCTAATATGTGATAAGCTTGGTACCAGTCAGGTTCACTGGTCAGAGTAGTTAAACTACCAGCAGTCTTCATAACTCTGTGTCATCCAGAGCACAGGGGTCAGGCAGTCTGAGTCACATCTATAGGAACGTTTACCTCCGTACATTCCGTCAACATCAACTTAATAACACTGATACATCCTCCATCAGCTTCCTGTTCCTGCAGGGATCTGTCTCCAATCACTGCAGTCAATTAGGCCAGCTCCTTCTCCCATGGACTTCTGTATAATCCACTTTTTCTCTCGACTGATCGCATTATGGTTCACATAGTGCAATCATGGCTAGGAATGAGGAGGCTGAAGGGTGGTGGGGTCGTCTGCTGACTGAGAGGAGATCTGAAAGACTGGGGAGGACCAGAGACGCTGCTGTCATCATGCAGAAAGTTAATAGAATTTGTGGGAATTATCAGCTGCACGGCTGAAAATGCAAGCAGAAATAAACTTTGTTTTTGGAGGATTTTTTTTTTCTGATCTTTACTGTATCTTTATCACAGAGCATAAAAGTAATTCAAAATCTTGGTTAATAGAACAGAAAACAGAAAAGGGGGTAACAAAAAATACAATCCCACATGTTTCTAAGATTTAAAAAACTAAAGAGACTTCATTTTCTTTTTTTAATTTGAACCTTTTCTTTCTTGATTTTGAAATTACTGCTGAACAGCTTTCTAGACTTGTTTGCCATACATGTTTCCGAGGGCAAAAAGCTCAGCATCGCATGAAGGTTTGTTTGCATCTCTACTATTTTCTTTAAAGCTACGATGTAATACACACAAATTTGGTGAAATAAGCAACAGCTTCTCAATGAGAACCTTTTTGGAGGGCGACTTGTATCCCCCCAAAAACCTTCACACATTGCTCAACTTTAACGATGCCTTCACAGACTGTTGGACTATGTGAAGTGTGCATGTTCTCCCCATGTGTGCGGGTCCAGTTTCCCTCACTATCCAGAAACATGCATGTGGTGTGGATCAGTGACTGCAAACTGCCCGTAGGAGTGAATGCGAGAGTGAATGGGTGTCTGTCTTATTCGTTTGTGTGGTTCTCTGATGGGCCGTCCAGGGTGTGCAACGCCTCTCGCCTAATGTCAGCTGGGATTTGCTCCCGCTCCCCGTGACCATACAAGGCTATACAAAATATTGCACGATAACAAGTAGGTTGGCCCCTCTTAGCCTTCACTTTGCCATGAAAACATGTTTCACATCTCAATAAATTGAAAAGAACAATAAGTAAAATGTAAAAAGAATGAGGACCCCAGCATTTTGTCATTTTTGTCAAATCTACACCTCGTAGCTGAACCATAATATCTAGTCTCATCACTTTAGAATCACTATCATCTCTCTTCTTTGTATCAAGGCAGCATTGTCTTTGTCTTCGCTCTCATTTGTTACATAAAGAGGTCATCCAGTCTGTTTATATCTCACATGTCCAGGCCAATCATCTTTTTTTTCTCTGCAGTGATATTAGCTAAATGGTTCACACTCATTTGGATGGACGGATGGATAGACGGTAGGACATACGGATGAGGCGCCAGCTGACGTCATAGCTATTTCACTGCGCTTTTCAGGCACAACAAATCAGACTCATCGGGGACACTGTGGGTGGATTCGAAAACACTTCACTCCACTGTGGTGTTCTTTTCAAAAAATCCAAACGCAGTCCAAAATAGAAAATATAATCAGTATCTTTCTCACAAACTGTGTTATTGCATCTATTTTAGGTAGCATTCTGACAAATTTGTGAGCTTATTGTTCACTTAATGGTTGGAAACAAAAGGCAGCAGGTGAATATTGATGATGTTGTGGAATTGAATATATGTCTCATGACAGGGGAACACTGATCACAATGTGCATGTTGTGTTATCTTTATTTCCTAAAACTTTTCTGTGTGTGTTTGAACTCTGTCTTACATGAGCACTGACAAAGATTCTATTTTTGGTCTTACTGCAACTGTTTGGAGGTAAATATTGTTTAATCTGCAATTATCTAAGTCAAATTCAATAAGTTCAAATACATCATATTTCCACAGTTGAATCTACCTTGATACGTTGGTTCTTAACTTGATTAGTTATTTTGCAAAACTGACAAGTTTCCAAATGGAGACCTCTGACGCACTCCTACTTACAGTTTAATTTTCACATTAATTTTGTTCTAATTTCCAAATGAACTGCGAGTGTGGTCAATCTCACAGAACGAGAAATGCAGTTAAATGGTTTATTTTGGGGATTAATTGCTCGACAGTACTATTTCCCAGAAATGCCAGCCGAACGTCTTAAATTTAGTTTACAATTTCTGATTGAAATCTTTGTCTACAGCACATTGACAACATGAATTAATTTTATGAACTGCTATATGCCAACCTCTTGTAACCAAATCCTTGTTATGGATATACTGATACTCTGTAACTGGACTATTGAGCTGGCTAAATTACAATAAAAGCACAACAGATGTATTACCATTTTATCAAATATAATATATTTATTGTAATAGCAATATTAACTCTTCATAAGTCCATCAATTTCAACACTTGTAGCTGACCAAAAGTGCAGAATTTTGATTTTAGTTATCAAATCCTGTGTGTGGAGAATGGAGTGTGTCCTTTTCTTCTCATTTGGGGTTCTTTCTTTTGTATTTCTCCATGGGAATCTGTAGATAGATCAACTAAAACTAAAACTTCACCTTGCCCGTACAACTATTTTCCAATTTGTGTTATTCTGTCCCATTTCCAGAGCATCCCTGATCAGAATTGTAATGCATGATCAGATGAGTTGAATATAAGATAGCTTTTTGCCTCAAATTAATTAGAAGAAACAGAGCAACATTTCCGACCAACCTCACCACAGGCCTTGTTAGTTCCGACCGTGAGTAAGACCAATGACGGAAGCAGCGACCTGCTGACGTCGCAGGCTCCTGATGAATGTGGTCTCCCGTCCTGCTCCGTGAGAAATACCTAGGTGTATAAAACCGGAGCAGAAGTGAAGTCGAGCAAGAAGACCAGGAGAGAAAGAGGAGAGGACACAGCAGATCAGAAGTGTGGACATACAGCAGCTATTCGGGATCGGAACTTTTGGCAGCGCAGCAAAGAGCCAAAAACTACTTTCTTCAGAACACATGTAAGATTGCCTTTGGTTAATAGTCATTTTTGCTCTATCTGTGTTTCCAAATAATTTATTTATATCTAAAATAAATTTGTTAACACATTTCACGTATTTCTTGATCTCTGATAGAAACGGATTTGGAGCTTCGCTCTAATCGCCACATGCATTTTTACTATTCGTGCGCTGCGTAATTACGCATAGGATTTTCTTGTTTTTCCTTCCAGTCTCCAAGTGTGCTGTTGAATGCCGACGATCTGTACTGTTGAGGCCAATCTTAAACAACATTCGTAATTAAAATATATATATATATTTCAAAGACAGAAGGGAGTTGTGAATTTTGACATTTCAAAATTGTACGCTCAAATTTGGATACATAGTCAAAAGTCATGAAAATCATATTCTGATCATCTTTTAGGATTTTGTAGAATTGGGAGCATGTTTTTAGTGATAAAACGCATAGGGGACAGGTTCTCAGTTTATGCTTTGTTTGTGGTTAATCGCCCCTGCCGTTCAAATGGCGTTTTCCTCCACAGTTTCATTATTTGCATCAAATTCCGTTGATATTCCGTTTTTCTTTCTGTCAAAAATCATTAACACGCCGTAAGTTTGTTAAAGGGTGAAAGTCTAGAGGGCTCCAGATGGCTAAAACCAGTTTTCATTTCCATGCGTAATTCAGCAGGACTGCGCGTCAGTCCATCTTATATATGACTCAAGTCCCCCCTTTGTTTAAAATAAGATTAATATAAGTTCATTTTGTTTGGTTATATGAGAATAACTTGTAATTTGTTTCCATCTTTAGGTGTAAAGCGATGTTACAACGGACCGGTCCCCACCTGCTTCTCCTAATAGCCCTGTGCAGTGTGTTATACTCCCGCACTCTGAGTCTACCATACACATCCATGAGGTGAGGAGAAAACCTAAGATGAAAAAAGGAAGATAGGAAAATAGCAATTTGGACTGGTCCCAAATAAGAGTGAATAAGATAATTCTAGTCAGAGGTTCTGTTTCGGTTCAACGATACATGGACGCACATCAGAGAGAGAAAGTTGGTTGTTAATTCGTTGTCTTACGTTTTAATTTAAACAAACTAAGTGTATTGATAAGTATTCGTAAGTATATTACTAAGTATATTAATATTAGTGTATTGATATAGTTTGTATCCAAAATTTATTTGGGCTTGGAAATAAAAAGTAAGTCTCTTGTGTGTCCACTGTGGCCACATTGTAAAGTGAACGTGCTGTGATGCTGTGCTCTGCAGACCGACGAGACATGCAGACGGTCTATTCACCAGCGGATACAGCAAACTCCTGGGTCAGCTCTCAGCGCGGAGGTACCTGGAGTCTCTGATCGGAAAACGGGTCAGGTAACTGTCAGACACAGACAGCCACTTCTCACTGCATGGGGAATGTCCAGTTTTGGTCAGGAGGTTTGGTGGGGGTGTCTTTGTTACTGCTGTCTTTCGGCCAGACAAAACCCAGGGCTGGAATTGAACATTTTGTTATAACCCACTTTTAGTTTTTCCTATTGATTTCATGTGCATGAAGCCTTGATTTCAAATTTGGAAGAGAACAATAATGTAACTTCAAAGCAAACATTCTTTCAAAATACAATTAGTAAAAGTGACCTGACAGATAAAAATTCTAAAGATTGGAAAGTTAATCGCAAACAAGTAGCTGCAGAAATAACACATTTTATCAAAGTTTTTAGATAGTGTTGACTTTTGGGCATCCTCATTTTAACTCAAATGTTCATTGTCTTAGTTTCTGCCATGAAACAGGATTCAGAAAACAGTTTGTAACTTGTGAACACAACAAAATCCCCAAATTGATTCTATTTCTTGAAAAATATTTGAATATTTGAACACAAATAAAGACCAACGGCCAACAGCAATGAAATGAGCTGACCTGCTTGATGATGCATTTTGTAATTTGTTAAACATTTTTAAAGGTTAACTCGCCATTATGGCTTCATCACATGGTTGCATGACTGTTAAACAGCCGGGAGGGGGGGGGGGGCATATACACACGAACACTCCCACACAAAGACAAGATACCATTAATCACAGGCAAGGATTTTGCACTGAAATCCGGTGCCCTCTGGACTGTGTGTCACTCTGATGTTGTCTCTTCTGTCCAGTGACGAGATGATGGAGGAGCCCGTGAAGCGCCACTCAGACGCCATCTTCACAGACAACTACAGTCGCTTCCGCAAACAGATGGCAGTCAAGAAGTACCTGAACTCAGTCCTAACAGGAAAGAGAAGGTAGGGACTACTCATACTCAGAATTACAATGGTGAAAGGGTCAATTGCTTCATGACTCAGATAAAGTACATGAACACTGGATTTGATTCTATGAGACTTTTGTAGAAGCCTAATTTTGTAGAAGAGTTTCTGTTTGTCTTTGACATGAAAAGCTTTCACGTTAAATCAAATCAGTTGGAAGAAAGTTGTATCAGAGCAGAAACATGGCACAACCAAGAACAAACTAAAACCAGTACAGTTCTGAAATCCATATCCAGTGATCTTAGAATTAAAGATTTCTGTTAGTGGAACACATTTAAACATTGAATGGTTTGAAAGAAAAGCCTTGGAATACATTTCTATTTACTTTTCCCCAACTTTTGCAGCCTTGAAGATCCTGGGACCAGCGACCCAGAGGAGTCCAGGGATGAACCCAACGCCTTCCAGGAGAGCTACGATGACATCAACGTAGACCACCTCCTAAACAACTTTCAGCTGGTGGGTCATCATGCACGTCACACAAACAGTCCTCATAGACTTTGCCATAGATAGCAAATGTTTGAAAGCATTCAGATGTTATGCATTCAAATCAAATGGTGAGGAGGAATCCTGAGGAATTCAAACTTGGAGCATCATTAAAATGTTGATTGTTTGGAGCCAGGTTTTTCTTAATCCAGAACCTTCTTGTTTTTCTCTTTTGCAGCCACTTTGAGGAGGGAACCATGCCCATGTGAATACCTCAAGTCATCCTCATGAAAACACTCATTTAAAAAACACAACACAGTATTAATCCAAAGGACGTCAAAAAGTCATGTCAACCAACAATGATGTGTTCTCAGTGTGGTTATTAATCTATCCATCTACACAGTATATGTGTACCCTGTATATAAACTGTATTTATTTACACAAAGATAACTTCTAAAGACTCTCCTGGACGTCCACATGCAGCTTAATTTAGTTTACCAGCACTGAATTAACCTGTTTGCTTTATTTAAATCTTAGAGTTTTCAACAGAAGCTCTCTCACAGTGAATTAAGAGTATCGTTTTCCCCATCTGAGCTCACTTCAGTTTTTAAATGCTTCCCCAATGGCTTCAAAAGTCAAATAGTAATGATTCTATATGGAAGAAATGTCTGAGTGATTTTTAAATTCCTGTTTTCTCTCATTTCTCTCAGTTTTTCATCCTATTTTTCTGATAGCGTTCATCTCTTTCACGCTAAGCGTGTCATCATGATTGGCAATTAAATTCAGAATCACGGTTAAAGTCCTCTTACCTTTCAATGTAGCAGGTATGTGTGCAACATTAAAAAAGCACCAATTATTTTGTGGGTTTTAAAGAAATTGTTTCAATACAACTGCTTATTGCACTTGACATGATTCTACTGATTGTGTTTCTTTTTTATATTTGGACCTGTTGGTCCAAAGGTAAAGAATTGTTCAGTTTTTTTCATCTATTGTATTAATGAGGGTTAGTTAATTATCAATTTGGATGTGTAAAATCCAGAAAGTTTCATATATTTCTGATAACTCATTGTTACATCTCTTAACAGATGACAAGCCCCTCTGGCTTTGAAATTTGATATCCTGAGCTTCTGGTGCTTAATATGAAAGAAAGTGATCACTGTTTTCTTTCTAATCACGTCTGATATAAATTAAAGAGCTCCCATTTCACATTCAGTGCTGCAATCCTGGTCTGAGAAAAGGTCTTTTTTTCATAGAATCCATTCAGGAGGTCCTTTGATGACAAAATGAGATACATGGGCAACGGAAGACATTTTGAATGGACACTAACTCATATAATCACTTTATACTATTCAACATGTAGAGCTAAGAAGCTGTAACTGTGCATAGATCGCCTTTAGTGCATATAGTGATGTACACCACTCATCAAATAAAAGATGTTGGTTTATTTTTCAAAGCTGAGTCGTATTGTCTGGCTCATTGTTTGATGTGGCCTCCGTGTCTTTAGCACCAATGTCCCGCGTATCTTTTCTTTCTATTTTTTTTTAGGAATACCAGTATTAGAGTATTACAGTATTAGAGTTTGCTGATTAAAATAAACCTTTTGGATTAAAAACCACATAAAGAGCATAATCAGACTGGATTTTTTGGACATTCAATACTGTTTTTCATTTTTTAAGAAAATAATTAATTGAGTCTCAAATTCACACATTTTTTGGGGGTGAAAACTGGTATTGATGTCCTTAAGTCAACTGATATGGCTTCAAAATGAACAAGTGTTGCACGTCAGTTTGAGGATGACAAGATGTTGACATATACGAGTAAAGTGGCCTTTGCTTTTCCCCCCATGGTTGTCAGCTGACTGACAGGAAGTGACATGAAAACACATCAAGTGTCTCCCTTGTTCCTTAAACATCCCACCAGTTTTACAAATAGATTTGATATCTAAAACAAGTTTTCTGCATTAAAAATGTATTTATTAATTTATTCAATTAGCCCTTTTTCATTCAATACCTGTCTCTAATTGTTGGCTTCGCCACTGCTTTTTTCATTTAAATGATTTATGCTTTCTACCACCCAAATTCTAATCGTGCTTGTGTCTCAGATCGCACAAAAAGCTAACTGGTGAGGTTAAATATGCAGAGTAGTAGATGCACATAAAGTATCTTGTAAATGTAAACAATTTTGCCTCAAAGTGTCTGCTAAATGCATACATGTAAAACAGTGAAGAGCTGCAAACACTGAAACAGATTCCCTTTATGATACAATTATGGAAAATGGCGAGCTCTTTGTGGCTAAAATACCAGGAGTTGTAAAAACTTACAACAGGGAGGGAAAAAGGTCCAGCTGAAGGGGGAGAAAATGAGGATGATCCTGACTCTAAGTCATTTTTAAGATGATTTGTTTAGCTGTCAATGGATGAAGCATCACTTTCAGCACCATGGACAGCGGCCATTGGCTCCTGGTTTGGTTCAATTTGAACTGTAAAGAAAAGGGCTCTCCACTGAGGATTTCTGGAAGAAAATAATGTGAAAATATTACCTAGAGGAACTTTAAGTCCAACATCTCACACAAACATGTTGGAGACTCATTGCTCTTCCTCTTATTCTTAAAAAAGCTTATTCCTCATTTTGGTCAGATTTGCCATCCAAAATTATTTAAAGCCTCAGGTGATTAACAAAGAACATTTTTAAACTTTGTTTTTGTCCAAGAAATAATACGGTTCTAAGCCAGGCGTCCCGCATGGCCAAAATCCTTGTGTTTGGTAACATGTCGTTTCCGTCCTGTTGTGACTCACCTTGTTTACAAATCTCAAAATGACAGATGTTTGACTCATAAATGTCACCAGAAACATTCTGCATTCCCGAACTTTCATCTGACGTACTGTACTTAAAATAAGAAGGCATCGCTCAATGGGAATAACAGAGTTAAACAGTTCTTACCCAGGGACACGCATCTGCTTCGTTTCAGCTTGATTCAACACCAGCATGGTGAGGTCATGCTTAGATAAGACCTGCCTTCTCGCTGTGAAGCACCAAGGGAAAATGGAAAGAACAACAATGGAAGCAACAAAAATGGAGAGTAAAGGCTGAAAGAGGCATGGGAAAAGGATCCACCATATCCCAGAACCACCATGTTTTAGTTTCTGTGTTCAGGGTTTTAATAGCTGTGGATAAAGAGACTGATTGAACTATTTTCAGTGTATTCATAACATAAAGAATTACTGAGAATCAGAGCAAAACTAATTACCATCTATTAACAATGAGATTTACCTAAATTAATGGTTGAAAATTGCTTTCAAATATTCAAGAGCATATTATACTGCGTGGAGGAGTTTTGGAAATATGCCTTGGATTGTTTGAAAGAAAAACTCTGCACATTATCTTTAAGATGAAAAAAATAACAGCAATGTCTACACGGCCGAAACACAAAACATCCAAAAGCTTCAACATCAGTTGTGTGTTTTTGTGGGTGTGTGTTTGTATGTGCCATGTATGTATGTGTGTCCACTCCCCGGGACATTTGTGATTACAGCCTGCTTTGTGGAGAGGCTTCACTCATTAACCGTCATCACTGCTGATCTTAATGGACCAAACAGAGTAAAAATAGACAGGCAGAAAGGACTGCAGCCTTTTAACACCAAGCACTGTTTCGTGCTTGTGTCGGTACATGTGTGAGCTGAGCCCTTCCTTCAATACTGAAGGAATCAGCGGACCACATGTCCTATTTCTGAGCATCACAACTCGTCTGCGACACAAAGAGCTACAGGGTGGATCCTGACAGTTTAAGAAACTGTTGTAAATAGTCTGTTTGCAAATAAGAAACGAAAATGTGTGAGAAACATTTCTTTGTCATGTAGAAATGAAATTGAATTGAAATCTAGCTAAATTCCAAAAGAGAAGCGCTGTCATCTCAGAGGGTTTATCCAAAGTATTTTTTAAAGTATGGATTGAGCACTGGTTGTTTTTCTTTTGGGTTTTTTTCCCCCTTTGATCCATGGGTTGGGCAGTTTGGTCTCCCGGGTGGTCCCGTTGAGAGCCCCTCACAGGGACCAGCATCAGTGGCCAGCCTCTGCCAGACAATTTCAACAGCGTGATGATCAGGACACTTTAGGGCTCTTCTTTCAGTAACATTTCCTTTCGAGCTAACAAGTCCAGTTGCATTCATTCTAGCTCTGAGGATTCTTCTCTGGATAATCATGTACTGGATGAACTGGGAATAACATACCGCCTTCCTTCAGTGTCCAGTCAAACTCCTTCAAACTTCAAATCTGGACAAATCGCCATTCCCTAAACCAGCTCAAAGCTACTTGATCCCTAAAATTTCCATATCTTTACCTGCCTCCACTATAAGAGTCGGCCTTACTTTGCGAGCAGTGACACTTTCTGTGTTGAGTGTGGACGTTCTTCCTGAAAAGAGACCTAATATTCTGTATGTGGATATCGATTATCTCCAGGTGACTGGCAGCCTGTCCCAGATGCCTCCCACCTCTCAGCCATGACAGAACCTTTTCTCTGAAACCTCAGCCAGGATACAGACCGAGAGACTGAAGCGATAACAAACTAAATTTGACAAAAGGACAAAATTACCTCTCTTTGGCATCATTTACAGTTTTTTAAGTCGCAAAATGAATCTTTACATCAATTTCAACCCTGAACATTTAGAGCAGTGCAAATAAATAAGAAATTCTAGTTGGGAGGAAAAGCTAATTCTCATGAGGTGTCCCTTTACACACTCTGGCATCTCATCCATACTCATAAGTGTTTGCAGTCAAACCAGCAGTGACCAGTGACCAGCAATGACATCTAAAGGAGAAACCAACTCAGAATTCACAAGTTTGCAGACAATTGAAGCCGAAGTTGCATCTACTAAGAACGAGATCTATGCCATTTTTCAGCCTTTCTTGCTTCCAGTGTTTAATGACATCGAGCAGTGTTGCTACTTTCTGTCATTTTCTGTCAGCATTTGTGAGCGGGAAATTTCCCCTAAAATGAACTAATCCCGCTTACATGAACTGCTGTGAGGCTTGTTGTTTCTCAAAGGAGGGGAACTGAAGACGTTTTGTTCCCATAAAGTACAGTCCAGCTCAAAGCAAAAGCTATGAACTTTTCAAGTTTGAAGTGTTCTGTTCTTCACGCACTGGCCGTTGTAGTCGTGTTTTACTGGAGGCTTCAACTGACAGCCTCATTTCAAGAGTTTAACAATCCAGCTTTCGTGACTTACAGCAAATTGACCTGTGGAAGTCAGAGCGCATCAAGATCATCTACCCCGAAAAAGACACAACTCACATGGCCCGGATGTTGCCTTGCCTCACACCAGCCCCCGCTTCCTCCGTCCTTGGGCAGAAATGAGCTAAGAGCACAAAAAAAAGGCTGAATTTCAAAGAGCGGAGCAAGCAAAAGACTATAAACGGCAACAGACAAGAGGAGAGGAGCAAGATTGATAGGAAAATTAAGATATGGATTTTAAAAAATGTGGAATCCTAGGGCTTAGCCACCAGCCTGGAGGTTGTGTTTAAGCCACAAAGGTTCAGACCCACACACACAACAACAGATGCCACACGCAGCGCTAACGACTTTTTCAACAGGCAGCAGGCCTGATTGTGTCAGAGATGTGTCTCAGTGCAGCGGCCGATCAATAAATCTGCCAGATAAATGATCCCGAGTCGCAGAGGGAGCCAAAAAGGTCCCCGCACAGATTAATCAGCAGCCGCCACCAAAGGTCCATCAGCAGCTCTCATGTTTTACACCACCCTCCACTTCCCGCCCGGATCCTGACATTTTACACGTTGCAAGTGGAGCTTCTGCGTTCCCCTCCTTTATAAGAACACGTCTGTCAGGTTTCCTTCTTTCAAGCCAAGTTAGATGCTGTGCACTAAACAGCCTGGACTCACTGGGACCTTTTTCCAACCAACATTTCATGTCACGTTTATAAGAAATACTTATATATTGATGATGAAAAGGCTGAGAGCAAACAACCCACTTCTACGGCTGCATGGTTTTTGCAAAAATCACATCCCAGGAAAGAGGGTCCCAGGCTAGAATCCTTTCTTTTTTCCTCACGCATGCACCCTAACCCTAACCCTACAAGGTTTTCCTCAAGGCTTCCTCTAACTGATTAATTTGTATTGTAGTCATACTTAGGAAATTGTTAAAATGAGTAGGGTTCAGTGTGGCTGTCCATCCCCGTTCATCAGTGTGTGACAGACCGGTGTCGTGTCTGGGGTAAACCCTGCCTCTTACCCAATAACACCTGCCATAGACGTCAGCCCCTCTGCGACCCGAAATTGCACTGAGCGCATTTAGAAACTGGATGGATGGAACAGGGCCTACACGTTGAGAGGAGCAGTAAACAGTTTTATTCTCAATTGTTCATTAACTTGTTTAGTCATGAGCAGTCGTGAGTCGCAGCTTCACTCATTTAGCCGTATTGCTCATTCACAAGTCTGACGGGACAAGACAGGGGGTCTACTGCAGGGGGTTTGAGAACGCTCGCATGATGAGAATACCAGGTTTTTAATCCACAAACAGTACCACTGTGAAGAAATAGAATAAGACCAAAACACCTCTGTAATTATTGTTAATCTAATTGTCTCATACAAGAATGACTTTTAAGAACAGGAGTCCAGTTTGTCATTAAGTGAGCCCATAAGGTCCAAAAATGGCTTTCAATAACAATACAACACATTGTAAAAGAATGTGGGTGTTCCTTCCCTGATTATTTGAAGTTTTGATGGTTCCATTGATATGAACACACTGCAGTTTCAACAAAACAGCGATGACTGCGACACAAACACAGTTATGCCAACACTTTTTGAGAACCACTGCGTTTTCCACGCCTCGGGACGTTCCACTGGACAGAAACACTTTCTGTGCAACATCTGAGATGGCGCACTGGTGCATACAGTTTGTGCGTCATCACAACTAAAAACTCAGATGAGAGACAAATGGGTCAAACTGCAAATGTCAGCGGAAGCAATCTAAAGCCCCAAACCCCTCCAAACATGCACAGGCTAACTCAGACAAACACTTAAAGAAACCTGAACAGATCCCAGAGAGAATGCTTAAAACGCTGCTAATTTATTGGTTTACATTGGATATTTATTTTCCCATTGCTCCAGGTCAGAGGGAGCAGATCAGTGAGATGTCATCAAACAAAACCTAACAGGCAGGTGGGGTCTGAATTTCTGAAGGCAGTTCACCTTAAAGTAAACTTACAGATGCATTATAATAATTAAAAAGGTGTGCTGTGTGCTGCTATATATCAGAGTGTCTCACAATGATGCAACTTTAACTTTCAGTTGCACAACATCATTATCATTACAATACCCACCAAAAAGGAAGGCATTAGGGGGAAACCCACAAAGAAAACATATGTTTAAAGACACGAGAATAATGCCATTCCGACTAAACGCGTTTTCATTGGTTTTCGAAAGAGCGACATTTTCTTCAACACTACTTATAAATTCAGAAGATCATGCGGTAGATGTTTCAATTCTGTTCTCAAATACGACTTAAGAAAATTCCATCAGCTCTCTCTTCTGGAGGTCTTACCTGATCACCCAGTTCCAACAGGAAAGACCAGATCTTACTACATAGAACAAAAAAAAAAGAGGGAAATTGCCTTTTTACAGGCATTACAACTCTGGGCTAAACGGTTTAAATTTCCTGTTTTGCCTTGATTCAACCAGCAATTACCTTCATGAAAAATTACTTGAACATATCTTTTAAGTCAGTTTTTACAAAAACTGTGTAAAGCATTTATAACAATTTCAAACGCAAAGAGAAAAATGCTTCTTTTTACATTCCACATTTTTTAAAATGAAGCCGATATGAGGAATGTTTAATGGTTTTTTGCGTTTGACCAAACTTTCTTTAATTGGCCGACAGTGTGTGGCTCTAAAGGGCGCTCAGATAGAAACAAAAGATCCAAACAGTCCCTGAAAAGCAGCAGAAGCCAATACTGCCCTCTCCTGTGAGAAATGTACACTCAGATCATCACAGGCAGATTTCTTTACTTTGACAGATTGTCTGTTTGAGGAATTTCATAATAGCCGATATTTTTTTTTAATCCAAATTTCCAGTCCGGAACTGCATAGTCTTGGTGAAAATGGAGTTAACTGTTATGAATCGCGTTAACGTTATTAGAGCAAATACTGTGACGCAAGAGCAAAAAAACACAAACACAAGATGGATTTTTATGAAAAATATATTTACAGAAACATGTATAAATGAAGTAAATCTGAATCAGACCTGAGAACAACATTTATTTAAAAAAAACAAACTAACCCCGAATAAACGACTTAAAAAAGCTTTCTATACAAATCAATTTCATTTTAAAAACATGATAAAACTGTACAGTTTAAAGTGGATCAGTCTCCATTTCTTTTATCTTTTTTGGAATAAGGAATATTTGGTTGGAAGACGCTTTCTGGTTGGTCGTCCCAGCAGCGCCTGAAGTGCTTCTCTCGTTTGAGTCAGAGTTTTGTTTGTCGCAAAGTTCTTTTTCCTCTTTTTCACTAAACATCAGATAATATTGCACCTCTAAAAGGTTTCAGGCTGAGCTCCCACCCTGTTAGTCTGTGAAAAGGGTCCGGGTGAGCCGCCGTCACAAGCGCCTGATGCTCCTTTTGCTGCGGGCGCTCCCCGGGATGATGGGGGTGGTCTTTGAGGCGGAGAACTGGTTCCTGGGCTGAACTGTTCTACAGGGGGTTGAGGAGTGGAAAGGCTCTTGACAGCGGGTGCAGAAGTCGAACAGGCAGCTGGAGCGGGTGCATCTGGCCCTCTGGAGCTCGGCTAAATGAGTGGCCGGGGAGCCGCAGCGCTTGCAGGGGCGCAGAGACTCATGCTGCTTCAGACTGCTGGCGGCCTGGACGGGAGGAGAAAATAAACAGGAATGCTTGTTAAAAGAATGAAGAGCTTTCAAATAAGCCAAACACTTTATGCATGCAATAATTCATAAGACTACCAGATACAAATATTCTATCGAGTCCGCATGGCTCTCAGGACGATTTTCCACTAATGATACCAACCTGTATGTATTCACTGAAGCGTGTACACTGAGAGTTCGGCGTGCTGCCTTTGTGAACGGCAGCGGGACGTTTGCTGAGCCCTCTGCTTTGTGCAGACGAGGAGGACAAAGTGCTGGAAGAGGCCAGAGTCTGCATGCAGGACAACACCACCCTGGAAACGGCCACATCTCTGGTCAGACCGCTCGCCCTCTGCCTCAGAGAGTTCCTCGACTCCTAGACAGGTAAAAGGTAACGTGTTACCACAAGAGAAGTGTGGACCAGGCTAAGACAGAGCCAAGACTTCTCATGCTTGTATCATTTTGTGTGCCTGTGCCCCTCTGCTCACCCTGAGTGCCTGCTCAGCTTGTTGACACCTTCTCTGAGCTCTGGTATCCTCACAGATGATCTTCTTCCACGTCCTGCTCACTTTCTTACAACTGTGAAGGGAAAATTTTAGACATGTGAATACACATTAGAAGGGGAAAAAGAGCAGCTTAAGATAAAATTCCAGACAACTTGCCAAGTAACAACAGCATGGAAGTCCCACTTTGGTTGACAATAGCAGTTAGTCCCTACATAGCTTGAATTTCCTGCTCGTTTGCTTATCACTAGCTGAGGAGAATCAGTTCTCACCCTTTCTTATGCTTGTCGGTCAACCCCCACTCCAGATAGAAAAGGAATTTACCTAATGAGGTCCATGTCCCCCAGCAGCAGCAGGATATTTGTTAGGATGCTTCTCATATTCCTGGACAGCAGAGATGTAAACATATCAAGGTACTCCAGGCCCATCTGTCCGCCAATTACACGATCCAAAAGATGATCCTCTGCTACCTTTGAGACGATGCTCCAGTCATACCTAGAGAAAGACATCATTGTAGATATATTTGTAGGAGAATTAACCAACAATAGACAAGCCTGTCCACTTTTACTTTTAAAAAAAAAAAACTTTTAAAGCAAGACATTTCACAAGAATGTCTCACAAAAATTTCCCCCCCATTGATTTGTAATAAATTTCACATTTTTACTTAAAACTCTAAGAGCATTTTATGTGTCTTACGTTTAGGATAATACACAGGAACCCCATTTTACCTTTTATTCTTCTTGTAGTCCTTCGCTAGCTCCTCACACACAGCCTGCTGGAACTTCAAAATAGGAAGGTTGGGGTCACTGTGCTGGTTGGAGGGGGTGGATGATAGAGCCGTCCTCGTCTTAGGACGACTCACGGGAGTAGAGATGGCCAGAGACACTGGCTGACTGCGTGTAATTGTTCCTTGACATTTTGAGGGAGATGAATCTGGATTTAGATGCGTGGCAGCAGAAGAGGGCACCGCTTTTCCCAAAAGATGTTCATCTGCTTCATCCCCGTGGTGATAATCAATCTGACTATTGTGCAAAGATAAATAGCCACTGTCCTCAAGGAATTCATCCAGGGTCCCTTCTTGGTCCCTGCTTGCACTGTTTTCCTTGTTGTGAACTGCACTGGTGCTGTTCTTGGCAGGGAATAAGAGTCTGGTCGATCCTGCAGAGGGACACTCAGGTTTGATGGGGGTGGGCTCCTTCGCTGGGGAAGTTTTTAGTCGAAGTATTTTGGACTCTGCTGCAGAGGAGCTTCTTTCCATCGTGTTATCCCTTGTTGCTTCGTATTGAGGGCATTTCATGCTAAATATTTTACAGTAAAACATATACACTTTGCAGTGCAGATATCTGCAAGACAGGAACAAATCAGGAGTTAGATTTCAGAGGCTGGATGCGAGTCGAGCATGCCAAGCAACATGGCTTCTGCCCCCAAAGCTGAACATGCTACACCAAACAAAGTTCAGAAATAAGTCTCCTGCCACGATTTAAAGTTACACCATGTATCTGATATTAACCTGCTGTCAAACCCGTTTCAGCCAAATGTAACCGTTTAAATTTGTATTTTTTCAATGAAATAGTCGATTTGGCGCGAGTTGGATTTGGCGGAAAGATAGCGATGACGTGAAGATACTCGGTGTCAACCCTTACAGAAAAAGTCAGTTCCATCATTAAAAATAAACTTCAAGTTAAGCTCTGATGCAGCTTAAGGAAACGAATAATAAGTATTTTTTTTATCGTCTTTATAGAGCTGTTTAGGCGGGATAAAAGTGTCGCGAGGCTCTTATAAGAAGCTAACCGCAGTTTGAAAGCTCTGCAGCACATACTTGCAAAGCTTGGCCTCTTCTGGAAAATATAAATTCATATATATATTAGCAGGTCTACACTTTTCTTCTTACCGTTACTTCGAATCGAGTCCCTTAACTATTTGAAGAAGAAAAAAATAGTACCCTAGCTTGCTAATAGTGCATTGAGGATGGACAAATGCTAAGCAACAGGCGAAAATATTAACTATATTACTCTTACCTTATATTCCTGAAATCGTAGGTCTAGGAAAATATTGTTTTAAAAAAAAATTCCCTCCTTTCAGCCGCGAAGCTACTTTCCGGCTGACCCAAAATTAAATCCTCCTCAAGTGAAAATCCGCCAGTTGCTGCCTCTTGTTTGAAATCCCTGCGCAAAAGGCGCAAACCAATGGCAGCGAAAGAGGTGCTTGTCCCTTTAAAGTCTCGACCAGTAACCTTTCGCTTCATGGCGGTGACGCAATCGCGTAATCTGCGTGGTGCTCCGGATTTGTCCGCCGTCTGGAAACGCACAGGAAATAGGATGCCCCTGAATTTCAACACATTCCACAATGTCACTGTATCTTTTATATAATTTCGATAAAGGAACTCCACGTTTTCACTATTGAGCACAATTCCTCTCATTCAAGTCGATATTAATAAGAAAAATATTTTGCGTGTCCTTTGTCATACATGTTCATGTGTATTACATCATTTCTACCGCGATAACTCTTACTGCTTATCAAAAGTTTATTATCTGATTACAGAGATTTGTTACTTTTACTGGACACCTTGATTTCCAAATATGGTGTTTGGCATAGACCACGGAGTTTTTTTGTATGGTTTTAGAGAACATGGACAAACAACCTCAATTTAGAGTGCTCAATTGACATAATATCCTTTTTTTTTTTTTTACAGTGGGAGGAAAACGGAGTTGGTGGTTTCTTCATATCTTAAATTAATTTTCAAGGATTTCATCTATTTTTTGCCTAAAAGGGCAAATAGACTTCCACTTGGATCTTGAAGACATTTATCTGTGATTCAAAAGGCATTTTGAATGACTTAGTATTACCATGAACCTGGATGACAAAGTTTCAGCATCTTTTACCCAATATATTAGCAGTTTGTTGAAAGGAGGTACTGCTGCTAACATTTCCATGGCAGCCACAAACAGCAGACTGGAGTGGGGCTACATTCTCATTCATGTCTGGAGACCCACTGTTTGAAAAGCAACAGTTCATTTCACACTTTTGTTCACACCCCTGTCTGGAATGTCTGAAGTGAATCTTTCACTGAAACCCAGCAGAAAGTTAGGCTGGTGCAGTTATATCTCTGCTGATTCAGTCCACCATTTACATGGTAAGCTGATCTTACCTGAAAATATTAGATATATATATTGGTTTTAATAGCTATTGGAATTAAGCAAGTGGTGGACAAATTTGAGAGATAGCTTAGTAAAGTGGGACTTGCTTGTAGAGCCCCCTTTTCATAGTGAAAGACATGTATGCTAATTTAACGATGATCCATGAATCAGACCTGTTTTCAGCTCAAAGGTACATTTGCAAGTCTTTAAAATCAACCCAGTAGAAGCATTCGGTTTCCTGTCACATGCATTTTGGTTATTGACTCAAATGTAAATGAACATCACATTTTGTTGATGTTCTTGATTTGTGCTGAATGTACAGGTAACTAATGCAATAGCAATTACAATTTTCTTCAAATATAGACAGTATGTAAGTTTGTTGTGTCTGTAACTGACTTTTATATTAAGATGTTTAAATATATATTTAAACACATGTAAAATTGATCTCACTTGAATTCATGACTGTTTGTTTTGACAATGGTTACAGAAAAAAGTTTGTTTTGTCTGTCAAAATAATGTAAAATGTGTGACAATACAGACAGGAAGAAACCCCAAGAGAAACAGATAACTGAACAATAATGAAAAAAGCTACAATATAAGGAGTTTTTGTACATGGCAATAAATGCAAAAATAGCTTTAATCATAATAAACAGTAGAGTGCGGTGTGTAGCTTTTCTAACCAAAGAAGAAGAAAGTGAACAATAAGTGCGCATGCGTTTCACAACCAATATGTCTGCGCCCTCCAGCAAGGTGGGGAAAGAGCTGTAATTTTATAAGTCAATTAGCAAATAGTGTTTAAACAAAGTTTGTCTAAGTCTTGTATCTTTATATTCATAATAAGGCTTTCGGCAGCATGTTCAACATATATGAGACTTGTGACAGTCTCTAGATTGCGTATTAACACTGCAATGAGCTTTGTTTACTCTGTCAGATGCTCCTGTTATTATTTTTTAAGTTGAAACCCAGCCTTTATTACAACACCATATGTCATCGGTCGATTTTATGAAGACAATTGACATTGTAACTCTATAAATTTGTGATTGTGTGTGATGCATCAATAATTGTAGCCGATGACATCGCGTGAATGATTCAAAGCTTAATGTTTCCACAAAATATTACAACGATTGATGTATTTTACGAGTCGCATCTGAGAATGTCTTCTTTGTGTTAAATAGCTTATATAGGAAAAGTGTATGAGGTAAAAACCTGAATTATTTTAAATAATTAAAATATCTCTCGAAATGTAACTACAACAAAATGTTCCCCAGCCAATTAGACTCTGTTTGTTCTACGACTTTATAGAAAACCAACTAAACTAATCTACAATGGCTCACAGAAGACTTTTAACTCTTTTTCCAAGAGGAAAGGAGTGGATTACCCTGTTTCACAAACCCCAGCATGTCATCAACCAAACTGTTCATGAGCTTGTAAGTCCTTTCTCCGGTAAAAGCAAAAGGACACTTCACACAGGTGCACCGTTGATGGTGAAACTACTGTCAGTGGATGAGCTTTTTGCAAGGAGGTCTCTCCAGGAGCACCTGAGTAAGATTGAAAAAGAATACAGTGAGTGTTTGAAAGTGGTCAGTGGCAGTGTGGCTGAAGATCCCTGCAGTGAGGATGACATGAGGGCCAAGAGGACCAAAGTATCTCTGCTTTCCCCCCTCATCCAAAGCATGAGAGAGCTGGACATAAAACAGAAAGAAATGGCAGAGACTGAGATGCTTCTGAAAGGTGAGACAAGAGGCTGATTAACAAAGGGCATGCAGAAAAATCTCAAATTCCAAGCAGTCGCATTTATAATGGGAGGGCTGACAGTGGTTTGTTAGGTATATTTAGCCTTTCAGAAACTGAACTCAGCCACTGCAATCATTAGTATAAAGAATGTGTTCTGAATTGCAATTGCAAGTTTAACATTTTAAAATTTGATGACAGATCCAAAGTTCACTGCAATATTATTAGATATAAAAACATCATAGTGTGAATATTTTTTAAAAACTTCTGACCCCTTAAATAACTGTTTTTATTCTAATAAAAAGATGAAGATAAAGACCTACGAGAACTGGCTGAGCTGGAAAAAGAAAACTGTTTGCAGGATATCCAAGACCTAAGAGAAAAGGTAGAACGTTTCATTTTTTGACATGATACGGCAGCACAGGGCAGAAAAGATGTTCTGTCATGAGCACACTTATAATGTTTAAATATGCCGTTCTGTTTTGTTGCACCAATCAGATCCTGGATCTGTTGATCCCTGAGGAGGAAGCGGACTTGAGTGACCTCGTTCTGGAAGTCACAGCTGGGGTTGGCGGTCAGGAGGCCATGCTGTTTAATGCTGAGGTCTGCTCCATTAATTATTTATACTTGTGCTTATCAGATAGACCTCTATAAGTGAAAGTGAAAATACATGTTCAAACAAACCCTCAAATATTTTTTATATAATCTCCTTTCTGTCCGTTTGGTCTTCTCTGCTGTGAAGGTGTTCGACATGTACCACGGCTTCGCTCAGCACCAGGGCTGGTCCTTTGACATCCTCGAACACATGACCAGCGACATTGGTCAGTAGATTAGGATATTTTGATAGCAGGAAAGGGGGTCATTCATACAAAGTTTAAGACACCATTTCCTTCTCATTTCCCTGTTCAGTCCACCTTTCACACGTGTTTTGTAATTCCAGTTAGAGTTTGTACATTCTCAATTTCTCTCCCTTTTTTTTAAAGCTGCAGGTCCATATTAATTTTTTGTTATAAACAATGGCATTTTTAAAGGACTTAAAACTAACATCTTTTACTGAGGAGGAGCAGATTTTCAAGCCAGACCAATCTTCACTCTAAAAGTTACAGATTGGTAATAAGTAAACTCTTATCTGTGGTCATCCAGGTGGACTACGCCATGCCTCTGCCAGTATCAGCGGCCCTCAGAGCTACAAAAAGATGAAGTTTGAGGCTGGAGTTCATCGAGTTCAGAGGGTTCCCAAGACTGAGAAACAGGGCCGGATGCACACCAGTACCATGACTGTGGCTGTGCTTCCCCAACCCACGGAGGTATGGCTGGCAGACAAAAGACAAAGGGTTCCAACATAAAACCATATGTGCTTAGATTTACTGGATTTTAAAGTTTGGCACGGTGTCATACTGTGTTGAAATGGGATGGTGGATTGAAGTAATAGCACAATTCTAGATATGCCTAAAAATATTAAAGGACAGGATTTCTTTTAATCCAATATCTAAAGTTTCAACTAAATTTTTTCTTCTTTTTTAAAAGTAATCCAACACATTAGCTTGCATTGTTATCTCACAGGTTAGGTTTTTTCCTCCTCAGCTTATCTTTGGTGTTCCTTCCAGATCTCTTTCACTATAAACTCAAAGGATCTCAGGATAGAAACGAAGAGAGCAAGTGGAGCTGGAGGTCAACACGTCAACACGACAGACAGCGCAGTCAGAATCGTCCATCTTCCAACAGGTAACATCCAAAAAGAAAGATGCCCTTCTTTGGATTGAACACAAACTGTCGTTTTGTTTTTTGTTTTTTTTGCATGTCTGCTTTCAACAAACAAAAATCCTATATGAAATAAGCATGAGTTGTTTGACCCATTTTTTCTATACATGATTTTTTTCTCATATCTTTCCATCTCATTCTCAGTTGGTGGCTGTTCTTCTTTAGTCAGTTTCTGTCTTATCACTTCCCACTTTTGTGGTAGAATCTTTGAGAAATAATTTTTATTTTTATTTTACAAACATGGAAAAGTGTCCTTAGATGATATCTTGTCTGATTTGATAAATTAAATAGTTCCTGCATGTATACTCGTACATCTGTACAGGACAGAAGAAAATTGATATCTAAAGCACAGCCAGATATTAAATCTTTAGTTTTTGTGTTATTGAAACAAATGGTGTGACAGAAAGACCCAAGTTTTATCCAAAACTGTTGGAGTCTTGTATGATATAACCCCGACCCTAAAAGCACAGTGCAGTGTCTATAAAATAATACAAAATATTGTAGTGTTTTTACGTGAGCTGAACATTTCCTAAAATATTGTGATTTCAATGTTTTTCAGTTTTCTATACAGAGCTTAAAAGTGTAATTGTATTTTGTTTAGTAATTTGTTGCTACAGTGGAGTAGCAACAGACATTCCCTCCCTGCAATGCCATTTATGCATTTTTAATGTAGCTCATAGATAAAGGGTGTGTGTGTGTGTATTATCCATGCTATTTGTGCAAAGGCTCCAGGTGAGTAGTGGCAGGCAACAATCTGGCTTTTTTTGGTTTTCTTTGATGTTTTACTTTCCAGGAGGCTAATACAGCTGATTGACTGCCTTTTTAAAAGATTAATGTTCTTTAATATTCAATTCCTAATAAAGAAAGTCTTAAAACTGAAGCAATAAGTCAGAGAGCCATACAGGTAAAAAAAAATCTAAAATATAATCCCATCTCCACTACCCTTTCATTAGAAGTTGTGTAGATCTGCTCTTGGGCACAGTTGTGTTTATTTGCCCTTGTTAGCTTTGGTCCATTGCTTTTTTATGACTATTTTCTGTTTAAACAGATTGTAACATCTAGGAAAGGCCTAAGTAGTAGTTTGTGTGTGTTTTTAAGGCGTGGTTGCAGAGTGCCAGCAGGAACGCTCACAACTGAAGAACAAAGAGAAAGCCATGAAGGCTCTGAGAGCCAAGCTGTACAGCATGAAACTGGAGGAAGCGACCAGTAAGCGCTACAACCAGCGCAAAATCCAGGTGAGATTACCTTCAGTTTGATTCAACAACAGATGGGAGCATTCAATGTAAAATTCAGGTGTGATAGCATTTATCATTTGAACAATCTTTTATAACAATGTTCCAACTCTAAGTTGCTTTAAGCATTTCCTGACTGTCCCTCTGCTCCCATAAGATATTAATTTAGCCGTTAAATGCGCACAGTGAAAGTTAAAACTAGCAGAATGTTATGAATAAATGCTCAGTTTGTTGTATATAGAGTTCGCAACACAGCAGAATTGGAGATACTTCAGTCAGTAACATGTTTTCAATACTTATTGAGATGGTGGTCCATTTCAATGGCTAAATTGAGCTGTACCTTTTTTAAATAACTGGACTGAGTGTATTCCACCTCCTTCTTTTCCAGATAGGAACTAGAGGGAGATCAGAGAAAATCCGGACCTACAACTTTGCCCAGGACCGTGTAACGGACCACCGGATTGGCTTGACAGTGCACGACATCAAGAGCTTCCTGCTGGGAGAGAATCTGCTGGAGGAGATGAACTGCTCTCTGCAGGAGTTTTCAAATCAAGAGACGCTCATGGAGCTGCTGGAAGAGAGCAGCCAGGAGGGCTAATGAGTTTGGAACTTTCTGCTGCACACTCAGCAGAATTTCACTCCATAATGCTGCTCATTCCTACCCTGCTTTCAGTTCTGAGACAAAATGAAATAAATTGTAAAAAAAAAAAGACAAGGAGCAAGTACCTCGCCTGAACTGCGACAGCATGGCTCCCAGTTCATGCCGTTTTCATGTATGATTTCAGGCAATCGTAAACCTTTTTTTATACAAAGAGAATGTTTTATGTAAGGACTGTTCTAAGAGCACCGTGGTCTCTTTTTGTAACACCTGACTGGATGGAAAAACATACTTTGCTGGCAAAATAAATGTGAAATGTTTTTAGATTTAAGATAACCGTGAAATTGATGACGTGTGCCATGTTTAACTGTCATAAAACCATGGACAGATAAGGAGAGAAGGTTTAATGAGCAACCACCCACATTCACTCATTTCTGACACGCTCATTTAGTTTCAGCAGTTAATCTAACATGCATGGTTTTGCAACATGCAAACTCAAAAAGGCTCGGCCGAGATCCCAACTGGGAACCCTGTTAACATGAGGCAATGGAGATCACCACCACTGTGAGCCCTGTTCAACTAAATATGCAGCAATGGAGACTCAACACTGGTGAGTGGATGCAGACTGGCCACAAAGAGATGCACAGGCATCCACTTGTCATTTGACAAAAGTAGGTGCCAAATGACAATTATACTACAGTTATAAATCAATGAAAATATGAAATGCAAAACTGACACACCAACACAATAAAACACAAATTGATTAAAGGCCCTTCTACATTCGATGTGAACAAGGTACACAAGGACAGACGAGAAGGTCACACGCATTTTAAAAATTCGATGCATTTGCTTCAGTCATAAACTGATACCGACATATTATATCATATCTCTATTTATTATATCTGGGAAATGAGCATTAGATTTTTATGAAAACAGCTTAATGTCTTGATTCGGTTTATCCTCTGCTGTTAATATGTCATGAACTACTCAGAAAAAATATGTTTTTAAAAATTACCTACACAAAATATTAAATTAAAGGATGTACTTGTGTATCCTTGTTTATTTATCCTCATGTAAATGTCCACTCTGCACTGTCAGCAATTTAGGAAACAAGAAATGCCTTTGAGTACTTGACTTTGAATGATTTCTGTTTGACATTCAGAAGACATGGAGACACAAAAAAGTCAAATGAAATGGGCATTCAGGCACCAGGGGCCTTTTAAATGTGTTTATAATGTCAAAAGCCATCCCTGGGAGTAAATTGTTTTTTGTTTTTAATTTTTCCGTTATATGTTTGTATAATTTCACCTGTAAAATGAGCAGTCCCTCAGCTTCCTGTGTGCACAGCAGCACCTTTAGAACTGGGAATGTGTGTAACAAAAGGTTGTTGAGCTTAAAATGAACTTAAAGCATGCGGTTTTAAAGTTTCCACACTTCTTTGGTATTTGAACCTGTCACAGGACACATCTTATCCTGTCTTATTCAGGAAACAACTTTTACATGTGGGTTAACGAACTTCATGTCCCATAATGCTTTGCGCTCCCTGGTCTGCTAATCGAGGCCAGCCTCGTCGTACAGCTCGCCCACTCTCGTCAAAATTTTTCTCGGTGGCCGTTGCATCCTGTCTCCAGTGCTACCGTTAGCCAGCTAATAATGGAGTGGTGAGCCAGTCCGTGTTTTCCAACAGAAGAAATTGTGCGTCTATTTGCTACAAGTATGACATTTCTAGCGACAGCTTGTTCGGAGAAAAATAAATGTAGTTTTTTTGGTGCGGCGCAGCTCCCTGGAAGACAGAAGTCCCTCTCCGCGACGTCTGTAGCCGGGCGGGTTTAGCGGGTCGGTCCGTCTTAACCGCGGGGAGGCTCGTCTGTCCGCCGCAGCTACGCCAGCGGGGTTTTGGACAAAGCCATTCAGATGTTGGGCGACAGAAAATACCATCGAAACTGTACTATTTTTATCAATGGTTTCGAAACTGACTTGCTGAGGTGATTATCGTCCGTGAAAGTGACTGCTGGAAGGAGGGAAGGTCTATTTTTGGAGGGCGAGAGTTCGGATCTCGCACCGAGGGAAGGAGGAGGAGAGACCCGCAGAGAAGAAGGGGACGACAATCCTGATGCCAGTGATGGCAAACGAGCCGATCATCCTAAACGTTTATGATATGGTAAGCTTAAATCAATTCCTACTTGGTGTCGATACACTAAACTACAGATTAGTAAGTTTCTGCTACAATGTTCGCCAACAAGGAGCTGAGTCCATCGTTTTCCTCACACAAAGTGCTAATGAGGGTGTTTTATACACTTCAACCTGAAGCTTTGTTGGTGAGATCATTACAACAACAGCCGAGTTTTGGAATAGGCTGATCTAAAACAAAAAAAAAAGCACAAGGAAGCGATTTAAAGCTGATAACACACTTCATATCAGGCTGATTTTGTTTCCATATCTGCCTGGTGTGCAGCGTTTCTTTCACACTAAGCCTTTTAACCTGCTGCTGTTTGCTTTAAAAAAGTGACTCAGTTGGTCTCTGATTCTCATCCTTTCTTTTTTCAGTAGTGTGACATTTTAAATGTCTACGAAAGAAAAAAAGATTGTGGCATCTGTTTTGAATGAAGACCTCTATCAGATGAGGAAATGTGGTTGGACTTGTATGGATTTATCTATGTAGCAAGAATTGGCTTGGGTTGATATTTGAGTCACAATGTTGTCACCATGTGGGATCAGTCAGTGGGAAGTGGTCTGCCAATTGATGCGTGGATGAATCATTGATTGAAATGGACTCCCATGGGTAGTTATATTACATTTAAAAGGGGAATAGCTTTAAAAAGGGAGCATTTTAAGACGATTAATGTGTATACTCAGCCGGCTTTCTGTTTCTCACACATCTAATGTCTGATGTCTTTTTCTTCCCCAGTTTTATACAAGTTACTCTCCATTAAGCTCATAGTTGTGTGCGGTTTCACCTTTAGGTGATATGCTCCTGAACAAAGTGACCTACACATCTTTAAACGTGTAAATTATTGCCTGTTGCTATTGCTTTGTTCATTTTTTTCCTTCCACTCATTCATTTCCATCCTTCCTTCCTTATGTCCTCACCGTCTCTCATTCCATCTATCTGGTGGTGTCCATGCCATCTTTTCTCTTCTGGCTAACCATCCAGCCCTACCTCCCTTATTTCTCCTCCCCCTTCTTTCACTTCCTCTTGTTTTTCACTTGACTGACTGGTCTCAATGGTTTCTTCTCTTTAAAGTCTGAGGAGCTTTTATCGCAGTCTCACTTCATTTCACGTGACCGGCTAAAGAAACCTCGTCAGACTTTGGCGTGTAAATCCTAATGGAGATGTGAGGGATGTGAATCTTTTACTAGATTAAAACACAGAGTTATTCAGTTGCATGAACACAAAATACTGTGGTCAGCACAACGCTGACACACGTTGGAGGATCTGCACAATCAGTTACCGCAGCTTTTGTGCTCTTTGAGTAAGACTCTGGGCAAATGCTCAAAAAGACTTGTTAAAAGTTCAGTTTTCATTTCAGGATCAATAATGTCATGTGACTTTCAGTAACATGCATACAAGCATGATTACGACCCCCCCCCCACCGCCTTTTCATCCACAACTGGCGGCCTGTTAGGTCCTCCCCCGCCGTCTTGCTCCCACCTCGGCTAAATGGATTTCCTGGCCAGCTTTGAGTGCTTTAGTACACTGCTCTAATGAGAGCATTATCTGTACACCACCTGTCTGCCTGCCAGTCAGCGAGCCCTGTGCTGCTTTATCAATGGGCAAACGTGTCAGGATATTAGGTTAAACAGGGCAGTGTAGTGGAGCAGGTTGTGTTTCTGTTTCGGGTGCTGTGCGCTGCAGCTTTCAGACACAGCTGCCACGGCTGCTCTCTGGTCAATAAGACAAAGGGTTTGAGAGTGTGGTCATGCAGAAAGGTAATCATATTTCTAATGAACAAAAATCTGCATAAATAAAAAGCACTATTATTTCACGAATATGAATGAAGGGTTTGTGGATTGTTGGTCAGAAGCAGACAGGAAACTGTGAATGTTTCATTTCTATGTTTTGGTAAACTGTTATCATTTAATACATTAGACACAAATTTAAAGACATATTTTAATGCAGTCACTCCCATTTTGCCGCTTACCTCCACCTACAGTTTGCCTCTTAGTCTTTGTTCAGGATCAGTGCGTGTCCACACAAAGGCAGGACGCCTATTTGTCAGATTTGCATGAAGGGAGCAGTTCAACAGTAACTTGTGCCAAAAGCAGACCAGACTTAACCAGCAGGCTAAAAATGAAACAATTTACTAGAATTCAGCTTGTGGTTGGCAGCAGTTTCCTTTCTTCTGCCTGCGTTATCATTGAGTTCTTGTCATCCTGTTCTACATATTCAAGCCCCTGATTCACCCTGTAAAACAAAGCATTCAAAGCAGCTTCTCATCTCTTCTTTCCATCTCTCTTCTGAGTGTCTTTCATTCAGTCACAAACTGCTCTCTGAGAACTAAAAGAAGAGCCGCTGATGGTCCTTCTTTGTTACCCACTGTAGATAAATGGAGACGATAAACATTTTACTTTAAAACTGACCCAAAATGCTCACAGACTTCTCCTTTTGCGTAGCGGCAGCTGCTTCGTCAGCGAGTTAAAGTTGCTTCTTTTTTTCATTCATTCCATTTGGAGTTTGTGGGTATCTCAGAGTTGTAAGTTTGTCATGTCTTCACAAAGTAACTTTCTAAAAATACAGTTTAAAGTCAGCAGTTTTTTGCTCTCAGTGCTTCTTAGACTGTGTGGAGCTGCATTTGTAGGCTCAGTGGCCTATTTTCCAGGTTATTAAACATACACAGAATTTTATCGCACAATGAGCTGATATTCAAGATATTCTGTGGTGGGAACACGCAGCAGTTGGAAATCATGTGAGCACTGTTGACTCCAAGAATCCCTTCTCATGTGAAAATGTCTCAGATTTTATGGAAATAATGCCATTTTCCATGGAAAATGCAATTCTTGCCAACAAAAAGCCACAAAACCAAACACATGACGCCAAAGTTTGAAGCTGCTTTCAGTCTAAACATAATGAAAGTTGTTAATCATGAAAAGTGAAAACAATTGAAGCTCGTAAATGTGTTGAAATTCTCAGAACTCGACAAAGAACCTGCAATAACACGGATGTTGAATTACTGACAGAAAGATTATATGTCGGTGCACTGTTTCCTTTTCTGTACAAAACCTTGAATTGCCAGCGTGCCCGTACCTTGTTTTTTTTTACACTGGTAGAGCCTTCCAACTTATTAAATGAAGCCAACAATAGTCAACTGTTAACAGTGGTGGAAATCATCACAGTGGTCAGTCTCACAGATTCATCTCACTTTACCCGTTCACAGCAAACACACAGACCACTAATGTGAAGTTTGTCCCTCTAGTTCAGGGGCCTGAACTACTACAGTGTAGTGAAAGAGCATCAAAGGCTGTAAAGGAAACAGTCCACAGAACATTTCTGACAGCAGTTTGTACTGAGACTCTCAAAGGGCAGGCCACAATACCACCAGTCGTTTTGCATAGTTACCCACATTCGCATAAAGGCGAATGGCAAGTATGAATCCTTTTCTCACTCGTGTGAAATGCTTCTAAGACCAGCTTGAAGGAACGTGTTTAATTGGCACTCGGCAAATAACAGCTGTTTCCCCAGCAGTCGGATCAATAAAACAGAGCCCGCATCAGGTCTCCTTTACAGAGACGGCTACCTCCAAGGGTAACAGCTGGTGTGTGGAGTCTGAAACCGAGTTAAAAAAAAAGAGACATGTTTAGATTGACGACTATTTAGATTGATTTTTAAAAAGTATTAATTAGTATTCTGTCTTCTGCTGTGTGAGGCTAGCTTCTGCTGTCAGGCAAAGGCTGTTGCCAGCCTGGGATTAATAAACACACCCTGCAGGATGTGCTGTAACGTTGTGCCTTGATGTAGTTTTGGAGACACGCCTGCCCTGTAGAGGACAGAGGTGTGGCGGACTGGTTTTAGCTGTTAAAAAGCTGTTTAGATGTTAAATCTGCTGAAACCCATAAAGGGGACGGCTTTTTTCTACTTATTTTAGCCCATGTGCCTGTTTAAAAAAATCTTTAAAGATGGAAAAGCCTCATAAAGCTGTCTTATAGTGGTTTCCTCTGATTCGCAGTAAATGATCTCAACAGTTCATCGACGGCAAGAAAAAAAGGACATTTGGAATCTGTTAATTTTTTATTCATCTCAAAAGAAGAAGCTGTTCTTCAGTTATCAAAACAAGGAGAAAAGGTTTATATAATCTGGATCTAGCTTCTTATGTTTAAGACGTTATTGTGCATAAAGCACAAGGGAGGTATAAGCACGGTGGTGATTCCCAGCTGAAAAGCCAGTGCCCAATCTAGAAACTTATTTGTGTGTATCTCTGTTTTTTTTTTAGTATTGGATCAATGAGTTCACCAGCTCTTTGGGTATTGGAGTCTTTCACTCAGGGATTGAGATCTATGGAAGAGGTAAGGTTACACAGAAATCTAACACTGCCCACATCAGGTCTTCCATCTCAGGCTGGTGTTACAGATGCTCTTGTACAGCTCAGAACATGTAATGTCGACATCACTTTGTTTCACCCTCAAAATATCTTCGTAAAATCTTTTAATGTGTTTTGTTGTGCGTGTGTGTGTTTAGAGTTTGCCTATGGAGGACACCCATACCCGTTCTCAGGGATCTTTGAGATCACACCAGGTGATGCAACTGAACTCGGCGAAACTTTTAAGTTTAAGTAAGTATGGGAAATACCAACAAACATGCCCTTGTTCATTTATTATCAAGAGTCAAGTGCTTATTAATCAGCCAGCCTGCTAAGATGTCAGTTTGGCAAATCAGGGACACAGTCAGGCGTTCTGCCAGGTCGCAACTCTGAAGTCTCTGAATTATTGACCTAAAGATCAGTGAACCAGCAAAACAGTTAGTTATTCAGTTCAAATAGAGGCTAAACTGCACACTTAAACCGTCAGGTGTCCGGAAGGAAATTATGAAGGTTCAAAATGAGAGAAAAAACACATTCATGTTGGAAAATTCAAAGTTAAACTACTCATTTCTTAATCAAAGGAACAGCATGTCACATTAAAGTTCTAGAACACATAAAACAGGTCCCTTCAACACCAAGATAAGTTTTTGTTTTGTTTCCAAACTGAGGCTGTCAGGGGGAGTTGTTACAAGCGTATACATGTTTGTGCCACTGCAGTGTCCAGACTAAAACCGCTCGTGTTATTACCAGAGTAACTTATAGCAATGACCTCCAATGCCCCACCAGCACTTGAATGCGAATGCTTTTGTCGTAGGTCGTAAGTTACCCATTGAGCTAAAAGGAATGTCAAATAAACCTCATCCAGCCTTCAGCTCATTCGTGAATCATTGGTTTGTTCGCTCTCTGAGCCACAAGATGTGTCCTCTCATCTTCCAGCTTATCAATGCAGGAAGAGCCCTGTGATAAAGAGTTGGTGAAATGTTATAGCACGTAACACATTTTAGAAATTCATGTTTAAATACACTAACATGGACTTGGAAATAAGCTGAATAAAGAGCAGAAAAAGGGAATGTGCCATTTTCCACCATCACAAAGCAGGAAAAGACAGATGTGTAGGATGTAAGCCAGCGTGTGGTGAAAGAAACAAAAATGTCGAGCTAAGAAAAGACCTCTTGGGCTTTAATTTTGAGCCCACCATGATCCAGCAGCATACAGCGTTTTGTTTGGTTTTAGGATGCAGCTGGTCAGTAGAACAGAGGAGCACTCGGATTGTTGAATGTGTTCAGAGTCCCTGTGTCTGCTCTGAGCTACTGTGCTGCTGTGAATTACTTCTGCTCCAGTTGATCTGCCCTATGGCTTTGGAGAGACTCTGCCTGTCACAGCAACACTCACGCACAGACACACACACGCACGCACGCTGTCTCCATGCAGGTTAGTGGACCTCAAGTATGGATCATGTGGGACCAATGCCTGCATATAATCATGCAGTAAGCCATGTGAATCAACCCTCAGCAAAATAAAGTCATCATATTTCATTTTCATTTTATGACGTTGTGTAAAAAACAGAAAAAAGGAGAGATCCAGGAAAAATCCAGGAAAAGAACAGTTTTTGAGATTGTTAGATCATCCTCTATTCACTATTCACAGAAATCCTGTCTTAGCTTTCAGAATTCTGCATGAATAGTCATACAATGACATTTATAGGATGAAATGAGCCAACAGCAAAATAAATGGCTCAAACCCTCCAGTTAAATAGAAAACCAGAATCTGGATCAGTGGTCATTTATTGGCAGGTTTGTTTTGTGAGTAATCAGTTGGATCTTTCTGCTCTCGTCATTGCAGGGAAGCCATAGTGCTGGGCAGCACAGACTTCACAGAGGAGGACGTGGAGCGGATTGTGGAGGAGATGGGGAAGGAGTACAAAGGCAACGCCTACCACCTCATGCACAAGAACTGCAACCACTTTTCCTCAGCATTGTCGGAGGTCAGAACTGGGAAACACGAATCATCAGTGACACCACATTTTGCCCCTTTACCCAAACAGCTGACGAGATTCCAACTTTCTATGTTTTATTGCCTCAGAGGACCCAAAACATGTGTAATACAAATGCATACACGCATTTATACAGAAACACACCGCTTAATCTGACTTTGTCTACGATTTGTTAAAGAAATACAAAGAAGAAAGCTTGCTGTATTTGCTTCTATAACAACTTAATTAGTGTTTTATGATTTTGGTCAGAGTGTTCAAAGTTATGTGTGCGTGTGTGTTAGATTAAAGCAAAAAGGTCATGCTTAAACATTCAGATGTGATGGATAAGGGTTGAGGGGACTAGGGAACACTTTGTGTCAATGAATACTCCTCAGAGGCTTTAGAAGCAAGTGTGTGTGTGTGTGTGTGTGTGTGTGTGTGTGTGTGTGTGTGGGTGTGTGAGTGTGCATTTCTGTTTGTGTGTCTCCAATCAGCTTATGCTGGAGTGACTAACGAGCAGGGAGTCTTACAGTTAGCATCTACGCTCAGATGGGGGATTAGGACACTGATACAGGCCCAGACATGCAGAGACGGCTGGCAAACACACCTAAACACACACTGATACAGCACATATGTCCTGTAAATATCTCACTTATCTCCTCCACTAAAATGACAGCTTTGATATGTGTTTTGTTACAAAACTGAGTGACATTCCACATTAACCATATGAGGGGCAGTGTTACTGTCAGGGTTTAAGCCTGTTGGGAGGTCACATGGGAGGCTGGCTCTCAGAGGTGAGAAGGAAAAAAAACAGCGTACTATCAAGGCTGTTGCGACTTTGAAAGATCAGGCTTCATAATTAGTTCTCCGGAGAGAACTTTTGTCGGTTTTCTGGTTGTCTTTCTGGACCCCGAACCAGTGCCTCATGTTCTGTGGAGAAATGTCTGTGTTCTGTTTTGTAAATGAAAGGAGACAATATAGCAAAAACCAAAGGAAAGAAAGACTTTTTTGGGGAAGTTTTTATTGCAGTATTAAAGAATATTTTACCAGGTTATATTTTCCACACTTTTACTGATAACTCAGCACTTTCAGCACTCATTAGTTTGTGAACCAAAACATTTCATATGGAGTGAGCAAAAAAGTAAATCAGGATGGAAAAAAAGAAGAAATAAATGAGGGAATATAGGAATATATATATAACCAAAGAGCAGTTTCCCTATTTGATTATCTATTGTAATGATTTTAGAATAAGTTTTTATTTTAATGTATAATATATAGAGATAGATTATAGATGAAAATATCTAAATATGATGAAAAAGTCCTCCGTGTTATTCAATGAATGAATATATAAATAATTCAACTCTCTATATTTCCTTTGAATATATTTTTCTTTGTGCACAGTTAAATTTGACTTCTCGTACTAATTCATCTTTTTAATTCTGGCACTAATATATCACCACAGGACAAGCTGTGAAGCAGCACATACTGGGTGTGGTTAGTGAACCACAGTGTCCCCCCAGAAACCAATCAGCAGTGCCTTGCCTAGGACATGAAACAGATTAAGCAAGAGAAAAAAAAGAAAAAGGGCTAAAAATGTAGGAAATGCATCGGCTAAAATGGAGGTTAGCTTGTTCAAGTGTTCAGGGAAATCAGGGGAGGTCTGCATTGAGTGTTTCTTGCCCATTTATTTTTTTTCGAATTGTCGTTGTTTATGTCAGGAAACATGCCCTGCATCTACCGCATGCAGCCAGCTTATCTGCCATAAGCAGCGTGTGCTGTTAAACCAGGAGATATTTATGGATTAGCTGCTCCTCTGATGAATGTGGCTTTCCTCCTCCAGGCTGAGGCTGTGAGATCATCTGTGCAGTCATGAATGCTGCTCTGATCTCTTCTTGTCGAGCCACAGATCGAGATGGGGAACACACTGTGCGCTCACTGTGCAGTCTGCTGTCATCCTCTGGTTGCGTGTTACATCCACGGTCCCTCGCAGCAGCTTCAGTAATTATGCTGATAAAAGCACAATTAAACCTTTTGAAAGGGGAAGCACTTTGAGTTTCTTGGAAGCGGCATAATGCTGTTATGGTGCTGATGGAGCGGGGTGGTGGTAATTATCCCACACAGTGTTGCTGCCTGTGTCGGCATGCTCGGTTTTTACGGGGAAAAGGGCCACACCGACTTGTGTGCCGGCAGATTGTTTGCTACAACGTTTTAATTACTCCATAGGTATACTGGAGGCTGGTTTGATGCATGAAAAGCCTGGGTCTGACTTTTTAATCCTCAAGTCCACATGTCACAAAGGCAAAATAAGAAGGAATGAAAAAGAGTAACGTGAAGGATTTAAAAAGGGAAGCTAAACTATTAAGAAAGTTTCAAGAGTTTCTCATGAGTAAGTGTTTACTTTGTTGTTATCAAGGATTTTTATTTTTCAAACCATTGGCTTTAATCCTTTTATCATCCTGCTATTATTCATTATTTCAGATTTTTGTAGCAGAAGCACTTTTTTAGGAAGAGAAAAAGTGCTGACAGCCAGTAAAGATGGAGAACTTAGTTTTGTTGTAAAGGAGGCGGAAGGCAGATTAGTCACCATCCAGTCTTTTAAGGAATTTTCTCTCCTTGAACGGTTCAAACATGTTCTTCCCTTTTTCTTCCTTTTACCTCAGATTCTGTGTGGCAGGGAGATCCCCCGCTGGGTGAACCGTCTGGCCTACTTCAGCTCCTGCGTGCCGTTCCTCCAGAGCTGCCTGCCCAAAGAGTGGCTGACCCCGGCTGCCTTACAGTCCAGCGTGAGCCAGGAGCTCCACGGAGCAGGCGGGGAGCTGGAGGAGGCCGAGGACGCCGCGGCCACCGCCTCCCTGGCCTCCATGTCGCCCTGCTCGCCTTCGTCCCCCAGCCCCTCGTCACTGGCCCGTCACAGCCGCATCCAGCCCCGCAGGTAGAAGCTAAAAGGGAAACGTGGGGCTGGACTCGTGGCCACAGAGACAGCCATGTAACAGCTGACGAGTCCGGCTGAAACCAGAGGTCAGACCGTGAGCCGGATCTCTGCCCTGGCCCAGAGCTGTGGAAAGGGTTCTCCTGGTGGAGGCCAGGAGCCCCAGTGCTGACAGAGACAGGAAACCAATCCCCCAACCCATTCCCCTTAAAAAGACTGTTTCTACTCATGGCATTTTTGTTATTTACCTCCCACGTCCAGCTTTTTCTGACAATCTGATTTGGCAGGTTTGATGTAGCGAGTTCAGACGATGTCCACACCAACACACGAACTCGTCTTCCAGCCGTTTGGAAGAAAATAGGCCAACTCTCTCGAGCCAGGTGGAGGTGATTTTATGAGCGAGTGAGTCATCACAGTTGCAGTAAAATTTCAGGCAGAGTGAGGTCATCTGACAAAGGCTGTGTTTCCTTTGTGTTAGCAGAAATGCCTGGCAGGCAGGCAGGAGGAAGAGTGAAGGTTTGAATACCTAAATCCTCCTCAACAAGCATGTCATGTTAGCAAGTCTCAAAAAGACACAGACTTCTCCGGGGTCAGACTCCAGCGACCATGGTTTGAATTTGACCACAAGCCAACCACTGTTACAACCTGATCTGTGAGTCAGGATTTTTCTATCGCAGCTAGCTGGATGTCCAATCAGCATAAACTCAAAGCAGTGACATCACCCGGAGTGGCTGCTCAGGCCCTCCCTCCATCATTGGAAAACACACCCGACGTGGGGATCAGCAGCACTTAGTTCCACACCAAAGCTGTAACAATGCCTTGAATTTTCAGAATGAGGGTTTAAAGCAGGCAGCAAGTTAAAAGTCAGACACTTTCTCTGTGTAGCTGCTGTCTTTTGCCTGAGGAAGTTTAAACTGGACAGTCCCAGCTGTGTCAGTTAGAAAGAAAATGAAGAGATGTTTGGGTGTTGAGGCTCCAGAAATGTGTCTGCAGATGAAGCATTCTTTAGCTGACCTGAGATCGGTCCTCACAGATTTTTGTGTTTAGTTAGAAACGATGTGCATTGGTGCTCACAGAAAGCATAAGTAATACTCTGAAGTTTATTTATCTTAAATTTTAATTGATCTCTTGTGGGGAAAAGCAACTGAAGTCATTGTTCTCCCAGATCGGTCTGTTATCACTTTGATTTTACACTTTCCAAGAAGATGCTGTTCTTCTTGGTTGATGAACGCCTCATTTGAGCTCTTCAGGTGCTGTAAACAACTAATCTGCTGCAGGTTTGCTTCAAACAGCAGCTGATGCCCTGTTAAATATCCTCTGGATGAGAAAAGCCTGACGACCGTCAAGTCTGATAAATATTCCTACAGTTTTTTTGTAATGTTTTTGTTCTTGTTTCATTTCTATACACAAAAGACTGGCCTTTTTGTCTGTTTTGTTTATTTTCAATAAACTCAGGACTCTAAAAGGCGTTGTAACATAATCTTTTAAAGCTTTTTATCCCACATTTCGTGTTTGAGTTGTTTCATCTTTTCGAATGCGGCGGTCACTTTGTGGAGCTTCCCAGTGACGCTGTGTAGTTTTATACTCCTCTCTTTGATTAAACAGATGACTTAAAAAAGGTTTGTTTACAACCTGTATGTTTTTCTTGCTTGCATGACTGTTAGAGAGCATTTTAAACATTTTAGTGTCTGCGGGCTGCCGGCCGGGCCCCCACACCACAGATTCATCCCAAACAATGGAGCACTTAGGGGGCTGCGTTTGGTCAAAGCCAATTCATCCTGAAGGGACTGGATTTCCTCAGTTACTGTTTCAGGGCAGTTGTGCCTGCAGGTAAACTGACTTGGAGACATTTCTCAAGAAACCAGCATCAGATCCACTCGGCGGTCAGTCAGCTTCGTGCTGTGTGTGACTTTTATATGTTTGAGTTTGGTAACCTGTTCCTTTAATGCCTGGAAGGCACAGAGGAGCCACCGTGGCGCCATCTGCTGGCTGTTTGTACTTTTACTGAGGCTTCCTGGAGCTGCTTCAGCCTCACATGGTTTCCTGGCCATACAGTCATTTGTGTTCTTCTCAAATATATTTATACTCTGGTATGTTTTTTTTTTCTTTAACTGTGTAGCTGAAAAAAAAGGGACACTATCCGATCCTCTCTACTGCGACAAAGTAGAACAGCCTGGAGGGGCGTCTGCCCAGAATATCCAAGAGAATTATCTTCTTTATGTCCATGTGACTATTTGAAATACTGACTGAACCAAAGATAGCTGTAACTTCATTCATCTATTTTGTTTTTGTGCCAGAAACCTTCGGAATGACCATCAGCCTCATGCTTTGTTTGTATTTGTTTAACTGGAATGATGAATACGTGTCTCCATTTGGAATCAGAAGTGATTTCCTTCACCGGTTTGGGATCTTAACGCACCTCAGGACACCTCAGTCATGCAAACCACCGGCATTAAAGACTTCAGAAGTTTTTTTTGTACACCCTTAGAGACTCCTTGACATGTTTGTATCCTGTTGAAAAATGATTAAAGAAAAATGCTTTTTTTCAGAATTCAGTCGTTTGACTGTTTTGTTGAGCTCAAGGAAAGTTAATAAAATTATTAAAATACTTCCATTATTAAGCAGACAATATGTGTTGGAGGAGGTGGAGCATCAAATCATTCTTATGTTTCAATTATTTAGAAAAGATTGTCAGTAATTAAACTTGATTAAGAAATTAAAAAGTCCTTGCAATGACACATTACACCATTTCTAAAAGGAAAGTTAGAATGCAGCCTGAAAGGAAAATAAGAATGTGTAAATGACAGACAAACTTTAATGTCTGTTAGGGAAGCCAGATGTTAATAGTGGACTGACGGTGTTTGGATCAAAGGGATATTTTACAGATAAATCAGTCTGTATTGGACTCAGAGATTATGCTGAAACCTCTGTTTATTGCAAACCTAAAGAAAAACCAGCCCGCTCTCACCAGCGTTGATGGTCAGCCGTTAACATTGGTGGTAAAACAAAACAAAATTTGAATTGAAGTATAAAGATTCTTTATTAAAATTGATATATACATTCATATATTAAGAACTTAGAGTACTCCAATCAGGAAACCAAACGTTTTATGACATGTGTTCTACCTTAAAAAGTTGAAAAGATCTTTAACATAACTGAATCAAACCCACGCAAAATCCTTTTAAAACTCAAACAACCCTCAGCGCAATAAAATCCTGCCACCATGTTAAAGCAGAGAAAGGCGTGTGAGAGTAGACAAGGTGCAGATAACATTTTTGGACAGTTTTTCCAGCAATCACTGTGTTCTGGGAACAAACTTGAGCATTATTGGCTTCAGTGGTTGAAACTTCCAGTCGAACTGCAGTGGGATCTGAAGAAGGAAATCTGTGTTAGCGGATCAGTGACCTCTCGGAGCAGTGAGCCAGTTTCTGTTCCAGGGAGGTTGTCTCTTACCATGGTTTCTTTGCACGTTTCCAAAGTGTAACTCTGCAGGAAACGCACGAGAACCATCTTCATGACCAGGATTGCGTAGCGCATCCCGACGCAGTTCCGAGGGCCCAGGCCAAACGGCATGTACGCATACGGGTTCACCTCCCCTTCGTTGTCCTTACTGAACCTGCACGGAGGATTTAAGCTTACTACAGGAAGTGAGGCCACCTATGCCTTAACGGCTGCGAGTCAGTAAAAGCACAGTTAGATTCACTGTTTGTTGTTTTTTTCTTTATATCAGACGTGACGCTGAGCTTTTCGTGTTTGCTGTAAATTTACCTCTCCGGTTTGAAAAGCTCTGGGGATTTCCAGTAACGCGGGTCCATGTGTAACAGGAACACAGGAATCCCGACCACAGTGCCCTCTGGGATGGTTAATCCATGAGTCTCCACAGTCTTTTTGCATATCCTATCCAGCCGAGGAGCAGTGGGGAGCAGACGCATTGACTCGCAAATGACCTGGTCCAGGTAATGGAGGCCATTCAGGGCCTCGTAGGGAATGGACGCCTTGAGAGAAGAGATGAAATTGGAGTCAAGACAAAACTGATTTTAATTCACAAACTCTGGGATGCTTATGATTCTAAAAAGTCTTCAAAAATCACTGTACATCTTTCTGCAGGTGTTCATCAATTTCTTCATGCAAGCTCTGCAACACATCAGGGTTAGTGGCCAGATTGTAGAGAATGAAAGAGAGTGTTGTACTGGTCGTCTCATAGGCCGCAAAGATGAAAATTAAGGCCTGAGAAAGGATCTCGTGTTCAGTCAAACCTGAAAGAAAGAAAGGACAAAAAAAGGATATTTCCACCAGCTGTGGTGTTGTGGTGTGTTGTGAAACGCAACATTCTGCCCCTTATACACACATCACATTCACAGCAGTGTGTGAAACAGGGGTGACATAGACCTCGGTTAGATGACGGATCATTACTCATTTGGTGTCTTATCTGAGCTCACTGGTATGTTAAACAATTCTGAAACATGCTCATCTTTGAATGATCATATTGTTCAGGCCACCAAAGCAACCAGATCGTGTCCTGTTTGCTTTTCTAAGAGCCTATTTCACTCAATTCGCTAGATGACCAGCTGAAAAATCGATTTAATCCAAAAGGACTAAGTGTGTGTTTTTTTTAATGACTCAAAAGGCCAAAAGTGGAAACCTGTAGCAACAAATGTGTTGCTGGTTTCAAAAACCAAGAATGACATTTCTTTCTCAGATTATTTTGTATTATTTTCTGTTTTAGTGATATTCTGCAGTTTTTAACTATTTCTACTGTATCCTTGCGTAGATCTATGTCAGTGACCTTTATACAGCTGCACAACAACTGCTGTGAAAGGCTTTCCATTTATAGTTTACCACCTCTATACTTACAGCACGATACCACTCAGCTCTTGTATGATTCATATCGTTTTATTTGTCCATTTTTGCCAAACAACGGGCTGAATTTTTAAAATCACGATCTCTGAGAGCAGAGGCGTTACCCAGACTTTCAGAAATCCCTGCCGTGGAGGAAACATACCTTTAGTTGCTTGTTCTTCAGCGTTCTTTATCTCTTCCTCTGCTATCTCATTCTGAATCATCACCTGTAGAAAGTCCGCTCGAGTCTGCATCGACACAAAATACATTTACCTAATGTTCTCCTTACACAAGCCACTTATGGTTTAAAACAGAGAAGAAAAAAAAACTTTGACATGTTTGTAGTACTTCCATTTTCCAGTCCAAAGCCTCAAAACACAAGGTTGGGTATTCCTGGCAGGTACCTTTCTTTACAGATTTGATGTCCTACGTTTAATTTAGTACAGTTGGTCTGACTGCCAAAAAAAAGAGCTCCACAACCAACCAGGCTGAGCTAAACATCTTGGTTAATTGTTCAAACTAGTTCAGTTCAGCATTGCTTTAGGTGAAACAGTCGTTGCATCAACCAGCATCAAACATATTGTTTGTTTCATCAGCGTGATGTTATAAAGAGACCCAGCGTTTTGTTTGCATTGTCTGATTAGATTTTAGTTTCATAGTTTGCTCTTTGCTTTATAAGTTGGTATAATGTTGGGAATTATTATAGAAGCACTGAAAGTAGTTGGGGGTGGGGTTAAATGTGGGTGTAAGCTTAAGGTTCTGCTAGGCAAGGTAATATAAAGTTAATTTTAATGATACATATAGTAATATTATCTATAAATATATCTAAAATACAAAAAAAAGGAGTAGACGTGTTCGACAGACAAAAAAAAGCTCTAAATTTATAGATAATCTGCTAATTCTCCTCACGTGGTTAAACAGAGGCTTACCGATTCTCCTGCTATGTGCTGGTCCTTAAAATTCTTGATGATTTTGTAGAAAAAATCTATGCTGAGTCGAGGCATTAATTCGACTTTGAGGAACTTCAACAGACGACCAGCAAAGGGAAACACCACTGGAAGGAGGCCAAAGAGTGATTTACATACATCTGACATCATCACATGACTATTTTCTTGCTATAGCGCAAAGGAGAACATACTTATCAGAAATAAAGGCCAAAAACTGAAATTAAGAAGTTTCTGTATGTGAATGTTAACGGGGTCCTCTGGGTTGTTTATGGAGTCCACATCAACGCTGAACGATGCGCTGGTGATGGCATCCAAACTGTAAGGTGCCACAAATCTGGAAAACAAAGACCCGGGCAGTCATAGCCTCTGTTCTTTAGGACAAAGAGCACAATGACACGACGGCTTCCTGAAGGCGAACTACATACTTTTTGAGGTCAATGGGTTCATCCAAATTAGTTTGCCCGAGTTTTCCAACAAGCCGGTCCGCAAAGCGGGAAACAATCGGAAAAATCTGCATGGGAATGGAAGGAAGACAATATTCAACTTAATCTCCGCCAAGATTGCTGGATATCAACCAGACAACAGAAAAATGTGGCTGATTGTAATCAAAGAGGTCAAAGGTACATTCCTCTGATCTGCCACAAAATAAAACAGAGACATAAACCTGATTTTCTGACCAATGACAAGAAAAACGTAACAATATTTGCAATAAAAACACTCCAATAGTTTAGTACTAGATGTATTACTACTTTGTTACTAAAGAAATGTCAAATCTGAAGATTTCTCAGCTTTTTGTGTTCTGTTCTGCAAGTTGAAAGGGTTTTTGGTATGTCTTTGTTCTACACCTGCGTGTTGTTCGGATAGGTTTTCTATCCTTAATCTCTGGTAATTAGAGTTTGTGGATTACAAAGAAAGTAGAGAGATGCTAACCTGTTTCAGTCTCCCACTGGTGAAGCAGGGAGATATTGTGCTTCGGATACGTTTCCACTGTTCATCTTTAACAACTGTTATGGAGTCTTTCATTGTGTCACCGAATTCTTCGAAATTCTGTGAAAGGAGAAAACAGCAGTGAATGTACAGATGTTCCGGAGTCCCAGAAAGCAGCTGAGCCAAAATAACTCACAACATTACTGCAACATCCACCAGTGATGGTGGATGCTGAATGTCTTCAGGACAATCAGGAAAAAATTGAGAATATCAGAAGGTGATACAAAAGACATTAACATGACAAAGTGAATGAAAGAAGTCGACTATCCACATCAGAGAGTGGTTTGTTTCCGGCAGGGTAAATGGGAGCGGCACAAAAAGTCTAATAAGCATTTTGATGCTAATCAAATAACACATAGCCCAAAGATAACAATCATAACAATCCCCCAAACTCCACACTATCACTTTAAGTTCCAGTATCCGGTGTTCTCTGTGGACAGCCGGCCCAGATCACGGGTTAGCTGTTGCGTCATGAGGAGCAAAGAGAGTCTCTAACAACACGTCTCAACGGGCCTCTGATTGTTTTGAGCTTCATACACAGCAAAGGCTTTCAGCGGGGTCAGTTAAACTCGTAAATCTTCCAGCAGCGAAGACGCAAAAATCTCTGTTTTAATATCATGAGTAAATTGGATGTTTGAAACATGCAAGTAGTATTGCACAGTTATGTTTCCCAGTCTTGCATCAGACAAGGTGTGAATAAGGGATGATGTAATCCTTTATGGGGTTTGATTTACTCAATAAACCCTACAAAATAACTTCCATAAAGAAACGTAAAGAAAAAGAAAAAGCCACTTATGGATCAAACCAAGCAAAGTTAATTAGTTACAAGCTTTTTTGTCTAGAAATGTTTTCAGCTGCTATTTCAATGTGTCAGAGGAGTCAGAACAGCACACGGACAGCAGGGGAAAGTTCATAGGTTGGATTTATGTTATCTAAGATTGTTTGTAACAAATTGGCATCAGAATATAGGGTCAATTACAGCTCACTGATGCTCCACTGACAAAAACCTATAAGCCATCTTTTGCTTCACTGTGGCACGCTGTCTAAAGCTCCTTAGTCAACTGGTGCTGAAATTGACGGCTGTCAAACGCTGCGTTCTCACCCTGCGGTTGGTAAATGTACTGTAGCACTCTTTCACCATCACGGTTTTAATGATCTCGGGGTCTGCGATCATGAGCTGCGGCGTTCTTCCGTCAAACACCCTGAAGTAAAACGACATCACAGTGACAGTTCTGACACGACAAAAAAGAAAAATCAACTCATTCAAAACAGATTCAAAACAAGCTACTCACCCCCAGACATCCCCATACTTGCTTTGGCAATCACGATCAAATCCATGCATGCCCTGCATTTAGACACAGAAAAGACACCTTAAAAGCTGGCTCACGTCTTTTTCTCTCAGGAACAAAACAACACAAAAATGAGACATTACTGCATCTGCACAGTAATATAAACGTTTGCCATGGCCGATGGTACACCAGTGCAACAGGTTTTTGTGTAAGATTTTTGATGTGTTGCTGGTTTGAGTTTCTTTTGAATATATCTTATTATTAGCGGATGATTAATTGATCAGTGACATGTATCAAATGAAACCAATCTAATCTTTCAATGCCCTATGTATCATATTCTATATGTACATTTTGATACCTATTGTGGTTATTAGTATATTATTATTTTCCGGGTTTTTTGCATTTTTGTATGTAGTAAAGATGTGCAAAAATATTCAGGAATTTCCATCTGAAAACATATCAATTCTATTTGTTTTTTAAATTGTATTTGTTACATTTTTAAAAAAAAAATCATAAAATGACTTCAGGGGGGAAAAAGGTTGGAATATTTTCAGGATTTATGGGGTAAATAGTGGGATGTTATTATAACCCACTTTTTTGGTTCCCATGGGAGTAATTTGTTTGACTTTTTAAGGTGACAGTAAATGTTTTCCTGCAGAAAACGAGCGAACAGTCTCATACCCAGGCCGTCCTATCATTATTACAGACGTTTAATTTCTACTATTATCAATTCATATTGGTTTAAGAATGAAACACAAAATCGTGTCCTGTGATCATAAACACTTTGCCTATCTATTTCTTAATGATGTGATCATGTGATCAGTGTCTGATTTGGGTGTTTGTGTTGCGATTTACCTTTCTGAAACCAAGTAGAGTTCCAAAAAACGGCAGAGGTCTTGGTCCGGGTATGCCCAGCTTTGTGAAAAACCTAAATGGCCAGATCGCGTATCTGTAATCAGAGAAATAAATGGAGGAACTGGAGTCAGCGGAGTTCAGGTTGAAAAGGAGGTCAGTAAAAATATTCAGCCGATATTCAACAGAATAAGAAAGGATCATAATTACAGCAGTAGCAGGGTGAAAAACAGAGCCAACAAAGTCCATGTGGTCGCTGAAAACAAAGTTAACAACATGTTTAGTTTTGGCTGATGGAAATCTGTCTGCCCAAGCTAAACTACGTGAGAATTGAGGAAATCCGCTGAAAACAAGTGGATTTAAAGCCTGCCTGCAATGGGTGGAGTCTACTGCTGACATTTGAGTCGCCGGTTTCTGTCATTGTTCAGATTGTAGAGCGTGCTTATGTTATTTTTTATTTAGTTTTATTTTCTTTTTGGATGTAATGACGTAACCACTTTGTTTGAGTACGACTCACTGTATAACGCCGTGGTTTGCAACACTTGCATTGTTATTGTTAAATTAATGCTTGCACATGAAATTCATTTTTAAAAGGTGAATGGAACATTTAGGTGATATCGCTACTTTGGGAATCTTAAATGGATTTAGTCATTTTGAGCCTTCTCAGACACCGTACATAACCCGGAAATATTGCTCCTGCTCCAATGCTAGCGTTTCCATTACAGTACACGGTTAGCGGACTTTTAAAATAATTATCGCTTTATGTTATTCGCACTTTTGGAAACCAAGCTGCAGTGAACACATACGGAAGGTGGGCTCACGGACACATGTGTGGCTTATGGGTTTATTTTTTAACTTTGTGTTCAAAGATATGGTTTTTCGCCTGTCCTTGGCTGATCGGGTTTAGCTAAGCCGCTCCACGTTGACTAACGTTATCAAACAACATGAGCTCAGTGTACATGGAGGTGTCGGTTTTTATTGCACTCGTGATAACAGGTTTTAAGTGTGTTTTTGCGTATATGTTTATTTTTTACCTTATATGGGCAGGCCATGTGTGCTTCTGACTGACCTGACGTAATTTTACTGATGATGACCTCTGGTGCATGAGGTGTCCGAGATAATAATGATCATTATCAACTTTTATAGTGGCGTGTCTGTCGGTCTTTAGATTTCGTGTAGGAGATGTTTTAAAGAAATTGAGGACTTTAACAGTTTTCAAATGTGTTTAGCACATCCTTAGATGAACACACAACCTGAAAGCACTCTAAGAATCAAAGTGGTCCAAAAATATTCACCAGAGCCTGTAGAAACAAATTAAGTAGCAATAATTGAAGTGGTGATTTTCTGTGTAATTATATCAGTTGCTAATATTATATTATATTATGTTGATTAGATTTATATTGATTTTATTCAAACAACATCAAATCACAACATTGTCCATTTATTATTAAAAAAAACAACTCACTAACTAACTAGTCGGCTAGTGAGCAAAACAAAAACAGCTTTGGTTTCTGCACAGCTCTCTGAAGGTCCAGTTTGTTTTTGTTTTTTATTTTAGTAATTTTTTTAGCATTTCCCCAGTGCAATACACAGTCTGAGTTTAGGATGAATGAATGGTTGCATGGTTGTGTTCTGGGGCATAAAGGTAAAGCCACAACCGAAGAAACGCAGTCTTTAGTAGCTGTTAAAGTAGCTTTCAGAGTTGTGCGTTTGTCATCCTGCCCTTTTGCACAGTAACTCACCAAGCCTTGCTCCAATAAAGCAGCCGTTATCATACTGTGCTGCTCTGGGAATGCTGGCGGTGACTCATCCGTGTACAAGGAGTAAACATGAAGTTCATTGATACTCCTGAAGAGGCAGCGAACAGCTTAACAATGAGACTGTTTGAAGATTAAAGAGGAGCTTTCTTTTTGGATTTTTTTACTTCTGACATTTTCCTAAATGATTCAAGACTTTAGTCATTTATTTTGTGGTTGTTCTATACATAGATTTCTAAATCTAAAGTCATGTTTTTTTGTTTGTTTTTTGTGTTGTTTTTTTTAGGTCTGAGCCGCCGCCATGTTCCTCACCCTCACGCTGCTGCGGAAAGGCATTCCCGGGAAGCAGTGGATCGGAAAGTACCGGCGCCCCCGGCCGGTTACCTGGCAGATGAAACGCAACATGCTGGAGAGTCTGGAGCGGGAGGCCGAGAACGAGTACTGGATCAGCCGGCCGTACATGACCGTGGAGCAGGAGCACAAGCACGCCTCGGAGCGCAGAGCCCAGGCTTGGCTGAAGATCAAGGAGGCCTCCTTCACAAATTTCCCTCAACACAAAAGCATAACGGACCACCTGAGCCATCTGAAAACCACCAAGACCTGGTGAAGTCCACCAGATCAGCAAAGACTGCCTTGAACCGTGTGCAGACAATCCATGTTATCTGCCACCTGAAGACTGTTTAAACCTCTCTGTCTGATTTAAACATGTTTGTTTAAAGGTGAATTCATCCTGCAACAAAGGTGTGATGTCTCCTCACAACCAGGGTGCAGCATCTTTGGATAAAACTGCTGAACACACCACACCTGCTCTTTGTCCTTCATTTAAAACGTCAAATAAAAAAAAAAAATGTTCAGCTTCAACCTCCTCACTGGCTGTAAAATCCACATAGAGATTTTACTGAGATGTACTTTTTGCTGCCGGGGCAGTTTGGGGTTAAAGTTCAGCAGCTTGGATGAAGCGTTGATGCTGAACGCATTCGGTGTCATTTGTGACTCATTCAGGTCAAAGGTCGCTGAAACTAAGCTTTGAAATCCTTCATAAATATCCCTCAACAAGTTGGTAAAATCACTAAAAGAGGCAGTTATTAATTTGCATATTTGCTTCTGCCAAGTTTGCCAAACATCCGCACACGTGGTCAGAGTTGTGTGGCTAAAACATCTTGAATGCATAAAATCTTAATGTGAACAACCTCTTAACGGGGCTTAAAGTCTCACTGTTACTTTAGCTGTTTATGCGGTGTTGCTGCTCCCCTAAAAACGCCTCTTTTGTAATTGGTTGAGCCTAACAGAGACATTCAGTGCTTCTCTACGGCGCACAGCCCTGCTGGTTTCCATAGTAGCCATCCAGTCTGATTCAGACCTGCAACCGCAGGTGGATCCAGACTGTGGCGACAGGCGGCTTACAGCCATCAGGAATATTTTGCCTGGAACCGTCTCCTTTTTGAAACTCTGTCAATCTGGGCTTTGCGGCTTTGCAAATACTCGGTCAGCATTAACGAGTCGTGGCAGCAAATGTTTTTGAAAGGGTCCAGTTGTACTTTAGAGATTAAAGAAAGAGAAGAAAATCCACATGGTTCGGTATTTCTGCCTTCCTCACAAAACTATCCACATTCCACCCGGAGGCTCTTCCCTTAGGTGCAGTCTCAATATTAATAAGCTAGATATGGTCACATCCCTCTGAGTCGTCTTTTTTATTCTGCACTTGTGGTTGATTTGCATTTTTTTTTCCTGGTCAGTTCCTTTAATGCTACTTCAGCCTCTTTGTAATGGTAAAAAAAAAAAAACAACTCCAGGGGTTCTCTACCTTTTTCCTGCGCCCTTTCAGGTAAATTCTCCGGTAAATCCACCTCAGGGGGTCAGTCAGAGCCGAGCTGCTGTGCGCAGGATGTCCAGCAGATGGCGCTCCGGGCCCCGGCCCCTCCTGCGCGCTGCGCCGGGCTCCGGTGCTGTTTTCCGCTCCTGGATGAGGAGGTGCGTGAGGCGCACCGCACTTGGCTGAGGAGGCGACTAATAAGCACAGCAGACATCCAGTTTCCCACGAACCCCACGCAGCATGCTCGCAGAGCCGGAATCACCATGAGAGCCGGCCGCAAACTGAGGAGAAAAGACTCACCTGCTGACAACTGAGTGCAGCTTCAGGATGGCGGGGGGTCGGAGGGGACTTGTGGCCCCCCAGAATACTTTTTTGGAAAATATTGTCAGGAGGTCGAACGGTAAGGATGATGCTTTTTTTGTTTGTTTGGCACCTTGGCCAGTTAGACGCAAACAGTTCAGTAAAATGTTGCCAGTTTCAGAAACGGACGCATTAATTGACAGCGTCGAGTCAATAAACTAATTAAAGAAAATGAGGAATGAAGGAGGCTCCTCGCTGCAAAGAGCCCTCACCTCTGCGTGCGTTACGAAGTTACACCAGAGCACCGTTGAAGTGCTCAAACATCAGGTTTTAGGGTGTTTCTGTGCATGTATGGATCTCGTTTCTTCAGTTCATGCAGATGCAACCGCCTTCATGAGAAGAAATGGATTTTTTTTTAAAGCTTCTGCTCCTGCTGGGAGTCTCTGCAGCGTGGAGGGGGAAACGACGCTGCAATCGTTAAATTGATTACATAAGACCACTGAAAGTCTCCGCTGAGAAATTAGATGGAGATGGTTTGTTCCCGAGAACAGGCCAGGTAATTGTGAAATGTAAAGCTGCAGAGTTTCATCAGAAGGGAGTCTATATGACGGTGGGGAATTAGTTAGCTTCACTTTCAAATGGGAAATGGTGATAAAATTGACTAAATGTCACAATCAGCACAATAAAACTTTACATTTTTAAAACAAGAATGACAAAAAACAACTAATCCTATTAATTTAAGCATTGATTTTACTAAAATGAGACAATAGTTAACTAATCTTTCACCCATGCACCGTTACAATACTGCAAATCTCTCTCTAAACTGTAGATAATTGCTTTATTCCCATTTACAGGATCATTCCTAATAGAAGAAACAAAATATGTATTAATACCATCAAGCAACCAGAAGATAGAATTAACCACATTTTAAATGAGAAAACCAAAGCGATCCATAATGAAGCATTTCACACTTTCTGTGGTTATCTTTTTTGTGTTTTTAGTTTGAGTTTTTTAATCACTGGACGGCTGCCTGTGAAACTGAGGCAGTGGACTCGTCTGTGAGGTATTGTGTGAATAAATCCCTAAGCCATAACGACAACTTCTTCAGTGGGTTTCTGATATAGTGGGCTCGCGCTGGCGTTCACTGGCTCAGAATGTGTCTGTGTAAGCACACCTCGGGCTTCTCTGCCCTACTGCGCACATCCACATTCAAATGTGATGGGACAAAAAGGGGAACATGTTCCAGAGGAAGGTCAGAGTCTCCATCCAGGACTGAAGCATCTCCGCAGTCATCTAAAATCCCTGAGATTTAAAATGAAAATGAATGAACCCCTAATTAACAAAAGAGTTTCTCCTATGACCTTGGTGGGTTCATGGATTAGTAAGAAGTTAATCTCTCCCAAGATTGAAACAAAAGAGATGAGCCTCTAATCTGAGCAGAGACTAAGTGGTGGGTGGTCATTCATAAACAATAAAAAAAACGTTAACTAACTAATTTTTGTCAGAACTCAATATCAGTGGTCCAAACAGGTTGTTTGTTCAATGGACTCCTCAATGATGGGAAATAACGAGAGCTCACTTTTCTCTTAATACAAACTTCCCATGGACACTTTCTTCATCAGATCTTTGACATATGATAAAAACATAAGCAAATTCTCTCTGATGAATGCGAAACAAGAGTAATTTGGTCCCCTTAACAGACAATTATGATGGTTTTTATCTCTCAAACATTATTAAAATCATAATGGATTAACATTACCAAGCCAGAAGTGGAGGCTAAACCACATTTAGAAACAGAAAAGTCTCATTGAACGTGTCTCAAAACGAGCTGCAATCAGCACATTGAGTAGCTCAACAGGTCAAGCCAGCTCGTGTCCAAAGACTTGGGGGTCATTGTTGCAGCTGGGTAGAGTAAAAAAACATCTCCTACACGAATAGCTGAGTAAAGTTCTTTCAGAGTATCTTCTTTTAACCCTTTAATGCCATATGTATCATATTTAAGACATACATTTTCTATACATATTGAACCTTCAAACTCTGGGACATAGAATATTTCCTTTCTTTTGCATTGTAGTTTAGAGAAAGAGTGTGCAGACATTTTTAACTTTATGGGGTCAAATGCTTTATGTTAGTCAATGACTTTGAATGACAGAACTGTTTGGTAAGAGACAAGAACCAATCACAAACCTCTGATGGATGAGAGGATGGATAAGATTTGAAAAAAAATTGTACTGTTTGATGCAGGCGAACCCGACTTGGATTAAGTGCTTATTGAAAATGGATGAAAGCATGAAACAGGTGATAAATATGCACTTCTTTTTTAGCCTTGAACTGTGCAGGTTAAAGTAACTGTGTCGTTTTTTGGTTGACATGAGCCATCTTGTTTGTCTGACCTTCAGCACACCTTTCTCCCTGTAATCTGTTAACCTTCTTTTCTTTTCGAAAATTTCAGTTTGGACTCTGTCACATAGGCAGACAGGTATACTATGAAGTTTAATTTGGCTTGCTGCTTATGTTTCCTTTACAGCATCTACCTCTTTGTAATGTTCTGTACCAAATGCTGTTAATACATGAAGCACTCATGATGTTCATTAATTATTTCCTGCAGTAAGAAGTAAGTTAACAGATCCAGGGCTAACAGTCACAGAGCTTCTCAGTGTCCTGTCACTCACAAGACTAATATGCATGTGAACACAAAATATCTCGTCGGCATGGAGTGTCTTGTGCGTCATATTCTGTCCTTGTATCCATGCTTTCAGTTGTCATGTTGTCTTGATGTGACTAAAAAAAGAGGATGTGAGTGTGTAAATGTGTCTGTTTCATGTGGTTTTATGTCTCTATGTTGTGGCCAGATGTTCCCCTCTCTTGCTTTTTCACTGTTGTGTTGTTGCAGTGATTGTGTGTTGTGATTTAGAGATTTTCGTTCTTATCACTTTTATAGTGGTCCCATTGAAAACCATTATGTCTAATCTTTTTTAAACTAAAAAAAACCTTCTAATATGTCATGTATTTCCTTTTTTCCATTTTAGTTTATTTATAAAATTAGCAGTTGATGAAAACATTTGAATTACAGTTGTACATTTTTAAGTTGTACAGATAAATTAAAAAGTTTTTTTTAATCCATTAGTGTTCAGGCTTTCTAAATTAATGGTACCCTACAAGATAGTATTTTAAATATTTTTTGTCTCTGAGCTACATTATAAAACTTTGTCCAAATCTTTTGTTTATTCAGTTGTTTTGCTCACTGATTGAAGATGTATTGAATACGTTGTCAAATTTATTTACAAAAATACTAAATTAATTTGCCTGCAGTCCTGAATGTTTATATAAAAAGCTAATAATGATATGAATTGTATTAAATATAAAATGAAAAATGGTTTAATTTATTCCTCTCAACAGAAACATATGGGAATTACATCAGTGATGACAAACGTAAAAACTCAAGATGCGGAAAAACAAGGCAATTAAACGTAAATGCAGGCTCAGTAATACCTCAATATGAGCAAAATTAACCATCTAAAAACTAATATGAGCTCTATGTAGCAGGAAATCGGAAAAAATAAAGCACTGAAGGCTGCTTTGCCAATAAAGAATACTCTCATAAACATTCCTGTTTATATACTGGTAGCAGGCAGAATGGCTCGTTGTTAGTTTTAGCACCTATTAAATGAGTAACAGGTCAATCTGTCTTTATTTATAAAGTGCTTCAAAAACAGCAAGCTGCCAACACGGCGCTGAACACAATGCTAATATAAAAAAGGGTGATTTCAATCTCCCCTGAAAAGGCAAGTTGGTATAAAAAGTTTATGAGGCAGAGATTGTTTTTTTCTCTTCTGAAGCTCAAATTGTGTGTTTGGCCTATATTTTTATTCTTACTCTATGTTGGACCCAAAAATGAGACCACTGTGGACCATTTTTCCATCTTCACATTATTAAACTATTCCATAGTCACAGTTTATAAAAATTTAATTAGTTCCTTTTACACAAATTGATGCTTCTTTATTTAAAAAGAGGGCCAAAATCAGATACTCAATAATGAAAAATAAACAGCTCCTTATCACACGTTTTTCTCTGAATAATTTCCAAAACCCCTCAGGTGCAGCTTCACCAAATGGTCGATCAGTAAAGTAGGTGGTAGTGGTAGGTAGGTGGTAGGTCAGCTTTTCCAAAGCGAAATCAGGAATTTGTGTGCGATTTATGTCGTCGTCTTTTTGCCCCTGTTTATCCCGTATTCAAACAAATTTCTTTTTCCCTTTTTACCTCCTTTTTGTCTTCAAAACAGACACCAACTTCGTCCTTGGAAATGCCCAGATCGTGGACTGGCCCATCGTCTACAGCAACGATGGCTTCTGCAAGCTGTCGGGGTACCACCGAGCAGAAGTGATGCAGAAGAGCAGCACCTGCAGGTAGGCCTGCCGGCCGCCCCGGCTCGAACCGCGACACGAACTCCTTGAGGTTGGAGCTTCCCTTTAACTGGGAAGTAATTACACAGCTCCTGCTGTTTTACTGCTCAATGGGAGAAGACGCTCCTGTTCCCTTTAATCACGTAAATGAACATTTCTGCAGTAAAAGCAGTTTGAAGCTCTCATGGACGTGATAGGAAGCCAATAATGGAGTGATCCTTTTATTTAAAAATGACTGTCAGTGTTTTAGGGGGTTTTGAGGCAACGTGAGTTGCTTTTTTTGTGGTGTGACTGTGCTAAGAATGTTGTTATCCATCAAACAGAGCTCACTCCAGTAAGGTGGTAATAGAATTATTTGTGGCCTTTTTGAAATGTTGTGAATTGGTTATAAGTGGAGTCATTCAACTCTTGGAAGCACACTATGGAGGAAGTTGCCAATATCTTTGGAACTGGAAGAAGGCCTGCTGCAGCACCTGGTTATCTTTGAGGTTGTCTTGAACATGTTCTTTGAAAGCCTATGAACAATTTTCATTAGTCTTTTTTCATTCAGTTTAATGCTCACATCTGATAATAATTTTGTGTGTGCATAAAAAATAGTTATGCCTGGAGCTTTGGGGTAGGTCTGTTTATTTAAAGTTATGTAAAGGAAATACATTATGATATTTCCATATACAGCACCAGTTGCCTCTTACAGAGGCAGAAAAAGGCAGAAAACACGCAGATCTGTGATGTAATCTGGTTGTAACAACTGAAACAGCCTTTCTACCCTGACTGTAAGGAAAACCTTTGGACATGCACTGTTTGTTGTGTGTGCTCCCTTTCAAACGGCACAAATATAGGAATAAAGGCTGTTCAAGTGTGAGGCATTCTTATTTTAGCACGCCGTTTCTGAACTTGTGCCTGTAATAGGGAAGTCAGCAGCCACCACAAGAGCGGGATCGTAGTGAAACAGTCGGTGCTGCCAGATTCGGAATCCGTGGGAGATGTCATCTGTTGTTGGAGATGTGTTTGTCACAGCCTGTGCCGCAGCTACTGCTGATTCAGACCTGGAGGTTCCTAAACATAAGCTTCACAACACTTGCCAGAACAAATATTGAAGTGAGCCTCAGATGCGGCGTTTTTAGGTTTATTTTCAGATTTTTAGATGCAGTCAAGCCTTGCCCTGGTTTGGAGAGGAGGAAAAGCAGACCCTCTGGCTGAATTGGAGCACCAATAAAGAGCATTATGCCAACACTTTCAAACACAGCACTGAAAACGAGTGAGGAGAGCATGGATGCTTTGTCCGGGCAACTAATTAAACATTAATGAGTAGTTCCTGCAAGGCACAAGTTGAGGTCCTGTGCAGAAGATAATGAGGAGTTACTAAAGAACAGACTAGAGTTATGCTGTATTCATTACTAATGATTTGAGCATCAGTGACATAGTGCCAAGTAGCTAGCGACAAACTCCCCACGAGTGGGAGCCCAAAATGAGTCGCTAATGATTTCTGATTAATGAGGAAGGAGTATTTGGAGCTTGTGGTGTTTAGCTGTTGGATCGGGATTACGTGGGTGTCAGAAATATCAGTATGTAGAAATGGAAATGAGACCAGTTAATATTAAGTAATGCAGAAAAGCAAATATGTGTATATAGAAGTGTACGAACAGGTCAATTAGGAAATGTGAGAGTATCCAAACAAAGATAAATCAGTAGAGTAGTTTTGCATTTTGTTGGCGGATTTAATTATTTATGCAGTTTTTATTTGCATACTTGTAATTAAGTATTTTTGCCTCCATACGATTAACTAGTAAACTCAAACATATCTAACAACTTATTTCTTACATAATTGCTCCAGAAATGCCAGGAAATGGAAAGAATTGGACCTTCAGAGAGTTCACGTTTCTTTAGATTTAGCTGGAAGCGGTTTTTGGACACCAGGTTTTATCACAGAGATAAAGTCTGTACCAAATGATTCTGTAAATATGAAGCCATTCAATATTTACAATGATAAAACACACCAGTAGCTTATCAGTCAATTTCCAGCACGTTTGATTCGTTGTTGCTTCACAGACAGCTACCACACTGAGACAGGACGATCTACTGAGCTCGCAGCCAATTAATCCCAGTGCTGTTCGCTTCGATTTTGGAATAGATTTAATTTCTGTAATTTTGTTAATACAGTTTTCATTTCCTGACTCATATTGAGAGTTACATATAAATATTTTATAAATTAAAAAAAATTGAGAAACCTTAATATGTGGTGTGTTCTGTCTTATTGAACGGGTTGGAAAGAGGAGTTATGCATTATATTAAACCCTGTAAGACCAGAAAAATGCAGTAAGAGAACATCTTGCTTGTCAAATTACATTACATTGCCTGTATTTCAAATTGAAGCCATCCCACCAGTGAGATGTTCGGTGGATCACTGGCTGCCACAGAAGCCCACAACAATATTTCTTCCTGCTGGGATACTTAAGCATCCTCTATAAACTTATCTTTAAAGTTATCAAAAAGTTATAACTCTAAAGTGCAGATAACTCTCATGCCTCCCAGGTCTCTTCCTCTTTGGCCAACACTCTGCACTCTGTATTTGAAGACCTAAGACACAAATCATGGACCGGTTTAAAGAGTGTTTTTCTCTTTTCCGACGCTTAAAGAACAGAGACGTCTTTGTTGAAATTCCTGCTTTTTTCACCTCCTGATATACTGTTATATCACAATATTTTAGATTACTTAAAACAATCTAAAGCTCCTGTAGGTGGGAAAGTGCCAGACAAAGAAACATAACCTGTAAGGCCATGACTACGATCTTGTATCAGTCAATACAGTATCAATCAATACTACCAATCCAGTAACAAACAGAGAACCAGCTGAGTGAGGCCGAAACTCAGTTACAATCACAGCTGAGTAGACTTTGACGTGGCCCTGTAATTGGACCACCATCCCTGTCCCTGTGCACATGCATGTGAAAGGGATTGAGGTATTGATTGAGGTCTGTGATGCTGTGAACTGGGAGGCAATGCTCAGGCGCTCTGCTGCTTCCAGCTGTCTTAATTAGAGATCATCGTGCTGGTAGATGAAGCTGAATTCACCCCACAGACTTTGTCTTTAGTGGGCTGAGTGATGAATTTGTGAGATGAGCACACAATAAAGACAATAATTATTTCTTACAAGCAGAACAACAGCCTCAGTGCTTTAAATGGCGTTAATGTGAGCCTGATTTGTTAGCATGAACTTTATTAGATTATTATCTTATTATTGAACACGCATGCCGGTTTTACATAGTCTTGCTTTTTTGTTAGGAACAGGGTTTGAAAAAAAAAGGCTTACACGTAAACCTAACCTGGGCTAAAAGTCTTTAACAAAAGAGTTTAATGAATTTTCAGTTACTATATTAATTACCAATTCATTTAAGTGTTAATTAAGTGGATTTTCATAGTTTTCAAACTTTTTTAGCCATGACTTCTAGCATGGCAGCTCTCAAACCAAATGGAAATATTTGGCTAGAGATACAGAGCTCAACAAAAATCCGATACCCCACAGTCCAAAAGATAAGATGAATATCCATCACATCACATATTGTGATACAAAATGATAAGATTAATGTGTTTCTTAGGCCTATATTGTCCCTAAATCCATACCTATGTTGATACATCTATGAGGCCTTTAGGACAATATTATGCTATTACCTCACAGCAAATTAACTTTCTCTTTTTTATTATTTTAGATCAGGGTGTTTCTTAATGTGAAAATTAACAAGCCACATTCTCCAAAATGTATTAGCCCTTGTTATCTATTTTTTCAAATGGTGAAGCTGCCCTCTCTCCTTCCCCTTCAAACATCTCACCATACCTTTCATCATCATGGTCTCTCAGCTCCTTTTTTAGTTTCTGTCTGAAGCCATCTTTGTGAATCTGGTTATGAAGCCATAAAACATTCTCTCAGTGTGGGTATGGATTTTTTTAAAGGATGACGAAAACATAAAATGTATATGTAATCCCCCTGAGTCCAACCACGTAGCTCCTCTGGTGCAGATGTGTGCGGATCAAAGATACTATTTCCGTCCTAACTGCTCTTCCTGTGCTGCCTCAGTCATGTCCAGAATGTTATTTGTCTGTGCCGGATCTTGTAAACATGGTGGCAAACCAGGGGGGTTTTTCACACATGGCTAGAAAAGTAATTTCAGAAAATGTCATAATTTTTTTTTTTTGTTCTTTGAAGAAAGCTGCGCAGCTCCCGGCTCAGAGAATAGAAGGAGATCAGGGGAAGACATTCATCAGTGATATTGCATCAAGCTCTTGTCGGAAAACTCTCTGCAGAGTCAGACTGTCTCATTAAATATAGCCCTCCTTTTGTATTTCATAACAAACTCAGAGTTATTTTTAGATCATGCTGGAGCGGCTGCTGCTGAGGGTGGCAGTAGCGCATAAAGTGAGATGAATGCCTCTGCAGCATGGTTAAAGGTGTTCATGGTTGCTTGACCAATTTTTAAGGTTTAATTTGTTTTTTCAGGGGTACTTTGCATTTGGCCAATTAGAGCGTGGCTTCATTTGTCTTTTTATGTTTCCAGGGTACGTTTTCGACGAATCTTAATCTAATACTGTTCTATATTTAATACTTTAATGGTCGTAAATCTTGATAAATGTGCTTTATGGCTCGGTGCAGCGTCAGCCGTGACTGATGGCATTTGTCCAACGCTCGTAAACACGATATCTCAGAAACACCTTGAGGGAATTCCTTCAGTTTTGCACCGGCGTCCTGAGCTGATCATAAAAGTTATTTTCACAGATTTGTGTCACGGTCTGTGGATTTCTTGACCTTTGAGTTTCTAGTGTTTCTGTGGTTTAATTGTGTAGTCCTTTGGGTCAGTTTGACATCTTATTGTTCTCACTTTATCCGTGTTTTCAGCCCTGTGTTGTTTAGATCTGGCCATTACTGTTGTTGTTCCTCAGCTTTCCCTTTTGGTTCTCAGCTCCATTTTCACACCTGTCTCCAACTCAATCCGCCAACAGCTGCAGTCACTTCCTCATTAGTTTTGCTCAGTATGTGTTCCCCTTGGTTTATGCCAGTCCTTGTCACATCCTTGTCATAAGTGTCATCATTTGTGTTTCTTCGGGTCTCCGTTTTCCCCCATTTTCTGTTGTCAGCTGAGATAGGCTCTAGCTTCCCTCCCCTACTAGGAATAACTGGTATGGACAATGGATGGTGGCTTTTCTACTGTTTTATTTATATGTTCTTTCAATAAACACTTCTTCTCTTGTTGGCATCTTGTCGCTTTACACTTGTGGTTCCTCCACAAGTCTTTCACACTGGATCCTTTTGTGGTAGTTCAGTGTGCCAATTCTGTAGAGGACAGAAATGATTGTTAAGTCTATGGCCTCTGGAACAAGAACCTGTTTTAAGTTGGTTTCCATCTGTAGTGCTGCACAAACAATAGCTTTTGTCACGGACATCTGGTGAATGTCTCTTGTAGCTGCGTCAGATGACTCCTAATTAATGTTGACTTCATGTATGCTCTAAAGGTTGCCTTACAGTGTGAAACTCGGATGTGTTTTGTAACTTTTAGGCATTAGTCACTGAGCCCCTGCCTCATGATATGCTTTGAGGAAGGCTCTGATAGCAATCTTCATGTTGTAATGCACTGTTGTGTGCAGGGCCTGCTTTGATCATGGTGCACTGAGAACTGCAGCTCACTTGTTTATGCCTTTTCTGGGTCCTGTGCATGATGGCACTGTCGTATGTAGCTGTGACGTTTTAGAGTTAACAGAAATGGGTCAGGAGAAGGCTAATTCTGGACTTGTAGGAAGGCTTTCATTTAGAAATTAAGACAGTGGCTCCATGGTGCATGCATGGATTTGTTAACCGTCTGGGGATAATGCTTGACGACACAACTCCCAGTCTCACAGCACCCATGAGTCTCTTATTGCAGTTACAAAAGAAAAGGAAGTAAGGAAGGATGAAGCGCCCCACTGAAATTCAAACAATCTCATTTTTTCTTTTTTCAGCTTCATGTATGGAGAGCTCACAGACAAGGACACAACGGAAAAAGTGCGACTAACATTTGAGAATTATGAGATGAACTCGTTTGAAATACTGATGTACAAGAAGAACAGTAAGTAGAAAAGCCAAATGTGAAAGAGGAGGAGAATGAACTTCTATCCTCTTCTAATGCAAATGTATTCAGAGTTTCTCTAACAAACAGCAGAGTTCAAAGGCAGCCCAGAAAATCTCTACCTCTGTAGAAATGTGCTAATTGGTTGACATCCAGACCGAAGGAACCTTCCTTCGGAAAAATATGGTTGTTTTTCCCCACTTGCATATAAAACCTTTATGTGCTCACACCTGTGCATAGAAAACATGGAAAGAACATTACAGTTTACAATAAGCAATCAAACATTTCCTCTGATGTAAGGAAGATAATATGAGCTGTTCCTTGTTGTTTTCAGGGACACCTGTTTGGTTTTTTGTGAAGATAGCCCCCATTCGAAACGAACAAGAGAAAGTGGTCCTGTTCCTTTGCACGTTTAGCGACATCACAGCTTTTAAACAGCCCATAGAGGACGATTCTTCTAAAGGTAAGAGTCAGCAAATGCAATTTGTTTAACTTCATGCCTTCCATAACACTTGCTGTCAACTTAAGTTGAGGAAATGGTTTTGAATCAGTACGTTGGCATCAAATGGCTCAGAAAAATTCCCATCACGACTTTTTTTTCACAATGTGTAACAGACTTCTTTGATGTATAATGTATCAACCTGAAGCAAAGGTAGAATTAGTCTGCCAAGCACCATCATTCAACCTAGTGCATTGTTGGCATGTATCCAGCCTGTCAAACATGCAACAAGATGGTTATCAGGACACAGCGTGAATACAGGACTGTATTAGAAAATCAGAATATTGTGATAAAGTTCTTTATTTTCTGTAATGCAATTAAAAAACATGAAATGTCATACATTGTGGATTGATTACAAATCAACAGAAATATCGCAAGCCTTTTATTGTTTTAATATAGCTGATTATGGCTTACAGCTTAAGAAACCCAAATATCCTATCTCAAATATCGGATTTTTGAGTTTTTTTCAGCTGTACGCCATAATCATCTATATTAAAACAATAAAAGGCTTGCGATATTTCAGTTGATTTTTAATTAATACAGAATGTATGACATTTCATAATTTTTAATTGCATGACAGATAATAAATACATTTATCACCATATTCTAATTTTCTGAGACAGTCCTGTATATTCACAGGGTCACATAACTCAAATAGAGCATTAGGTAGAGGAAGGGAGAAATGGTAAAACAAGAAAAAACAATCCGTCTAGTGACCATGAGACCTAAGATTATAGTTCAGGTTTTAGTAACAGAGGCAGGACTCTGTTAAAGGCAGCCGTTCAGACATCAGGTTTGGGACATGGCCTGCAGGCAGCAATAACAAGCATGGCTTTGTACTGGCTGAATATAGCCAGTGTAGGCTGCAGATAAACAAAACAAAAGACAGGAGCCCTGCCAGGTCGAGCCCGTTAGGAGCATCAGCCTTTTGTTCATATGATATTTGCACAGCATATAGCATCAAATTAAAGTTAAAACGATGTTTTACTCTAAAGGAAAGAGGAAGTAACCCTGCATCTGACTGTACCCTAACAATGACTGTTTGTTTGTTTGGTTTTTTGCCATCAGCATCTTTCTTTGTGCCTGCTGTGTCTAATTTCCTGACCTTGTTGGAGCTCCAGAAACCTGCTCCAAAAACAGTGTTAGCATGCTAACACTTACTAAACATTTGCCTTCTTGCAAGCTCTGCAGACTGGCTGAGAAATGTTCTGAATAATGAGTCACATTTTCATCACCTGATGAGAATAAATCCTATGATGTCTCCACTCATCTCTTTTTTTAACTGATCCAACTTCAAGTGATGAAATGGACCACTCATAAGTATCTGACATGACAAACTTTTAAAAAACAAATATGTGATCACAGCTGAGCTATTGGATGATAACTGGTGGGCTGTTTTGTGTCAAGGACATTAAAATGATGCAACTTGAAGTGTTCTTTTGTCAGAAATTAACGAGTTACTGGGTAGTTGAAGTTCTACATGCTAGAGCAGTAATCAGAAAAATTTCAGAGCAAAAGAAGTATGATTAGAAATGTATTCCTTCAAGCTGAGATGCTGAGGCTCCAGTGAGCATACTGTGTACATTTAAAACGATTGCAAACTATTTGTGTGTGCATGCGATCCTCAGGTTGGGGAAAGTTTGCTCGCCTGACTCGAGCTCTGACGAGCAGCAGAGGAGTCTTACAGCAGCTGCAGCCCACGGTCCACAAAGGAGAGAATGTCCACAAACACTCCCGTCTAGCTGAGGTAGATTCTATTTATCTGAAAAAATAGAAAGATTCTATTTATCTGATATATGACTTAATTCTGTGAATATCTAAACACCTCAGCAGTTTGTTGAAACACCTTCGGTAAGTGTTTGGTTCCTTTAGTGCACCACTCTTCGGCAGGTTCTGCAGCTCGGCTCGGATATCCTACCTCAGTACAAGCAGGAGACCCCCAAAACGCCCCCTCACATCATCCTCCACTACTGCCTGTTCAAGACGACGTGGGATTGGGTCATCCTCATCCTCACCTTCTACACGGCCATCATGGTCCCCTACAACGTGTCCTTCAAGACAAAGCAAAACAACGTGACGTGGCTCGTGGTCGACAGCATCGTGGACGTCATCTTCTTGGTGGATATCGTTTTAAACTTTCACACCACCTTCGTGGGGCCTGCCGGAGAGGTTATCTCCGACCCCAAGCTGATCCGGATGAACTACCTGAAGACCTGGTTCGTCATCGACCTGCTGTCCTGCCTGCCGTACGACGTCATCAACGCTTTTGAGAATGTAGACGAGGTGAGTTGAGAATACAACTGTTATGAGGAAGACTTTATCAGCAAGTCCAGTGGTTTTTTTTTTACTTGATTAAACACGATCCTGCTTCTCATGTATGAGACTTCGCCTTTTTTTGCTCCACTTTGGCTGACAGAGAACAAACATAAGGGGTGTCGCCGCCAAAACCATAAAATGACATTTCAGTGGGATTATTAATTTTTAATCAACAATTATCGGTGAAAATCTCCCTGGAAGGGTTGTTCATTAAGCTCATCATGATTGTGATTTGCACTAATTTCTCAGAATCATATTTGCAGTAGAATAAACATTACATGTTGTGTTTCAGAGGGTTATCGGGGTTCATAATTCAGTTCCCATCTGAATCATCGTTCAGACAAAACTGTTAGTAAAGAAAGCCAACTTACAGCTGTATTAGACTCTGTGCTATCAAATACTATACAATACAACTGAGGGATAAATTCACAACAACTTTTTCACTCTCAGGGGTCAGACACCCAGCGCAATATCTTGTGGATACAGTCAGTATGTCTACAGTTTCAGTGAAGTCCCTCTATGGTTGTAGTTCATTGAGGACATTTAATTACTGGGACAAAGCTATTGTGTACAAATATAGGCAAAGGAGAGGAGTTATTGACTGGAGTATATGAGGTTTCACCATATCTAGGTCACAGTATACGCCCCCACTGCTTGTTTATTGTGGGCTTTGTCCAGGCGACCTTTTACTGTCAGATCAAGAGTTACGTTGCTCAGAGGGTTTGACAGCTTTACAACTCTGTGTCTTATGTACAGGCTCCAAGCTTCAGTTAATAAGAGCAACATAAAGAAGCAGAATAGCACACTAGTCAAAGGGTTGATGGTTAAATTCTGAGCCTCTTGTTTTTGGGTGAGACTCTGAACCCCCACCTCGGGGTCCAGGTGTTGTCTGCTCTCCTTGGAAGAAGCTGAGGATAAAAGCGTCTGCTGAATGTATAACTTTCACATTTCTCCTGCTCTTAATCGTGTTGAATGTAATCAGAGATGAGACATTTGAGACCGAAGCACACTCTCAGCGTGTCTTAGCAGGCTGACATGCTCATGATAATTAAAGTCTGGTTTGGCCGGGCCGATCTGTAGTTTGAAGTTATGGGGCCGGACTTAAACGAATGTCGGCCAACTATGACTGTTATAATATATGATATAAAACCATTACGAATAAGAACTGGGTAAGAGTCCTATCTTCAAAGCTATGCCAGCTGATTACAGCACATCTGGTTAATATGGAGGGTGACGGTCATGTGTTTTTGTAAGAAATTTATGTAATCTGTATGACATTACATTCAGATGCATTCGATAAAAACTATTAATCCTAGTTTATGTATTAATGTCAGAAAAGTTAGTCTTATCAAACAGCCCCATATTATGCTTGTTTAGGTTTTTTACCATGGTGATAATGGTTTGCTGAAGAGCCGTCTCAGAATCTGAGATAATTGGCACTTTTTAATTAGGGAAGTGGCATTGTATTGTTAAATTGGGGCACCCTCCGGTGAGCGGCGGTGTCACAATGCCACAAAGCCATTAACACCTTCTGACAGGGGACAAAGAGACAGATTAATTGGAAAACACATGGTTTAAACACGGGCTTCCTTTTTTTTTGTTATTTTCATCATTTGTAAAAAAACAAGTTTTGTAAATCTTTATGCTTTTCTAAAGCTTCTAAAGTGGTGAATTTGACCGAAAGGAACAAATAACGTCAAAAAACATTTAGTGTTGACGGTGGTGCTGTTTTGGCTTTCTTTACATGTCTCTGGCATATTCTCTAAATCCCACAGTGTTGTTTCCTCCCACAAACACATACGCATGGGTCAAGTGGAGTCCTGCATTTGCCAGCTTTTATGCAGTCAGTGAGCTGTTGTATGAATTTGTGTCCCTTGTCGGCTTAAATGTGTCACATTTCATGATGTATTTGTGCTATTGTGGCTGCGCAGAGTGCTGTGATAGCATGTAACAGCGCGGTTTGTCAAAGTGAGCAGTTTGCAGTATGTGGGCTCATGGGAACTGTCAGGTGCCTCAGAAGTGAAGCAGCAGTAAGGCTTTGTGAAAGAGGCTCGTAGGTGGGCGCAGAGCTCTGGGTTGTTTTTGCAGGCCCAGCGTTTTGATCCTTTCTAGTCTTTCAGAGCTTCAGCATCCTCACTGCTGACGAGTTCAAGTAACCAAACCCAAGCAGTCAGGGGTCAGCAGGAGAGAAAAGCAGAAGCTTTGGAAATTTAAAGGGTAACGGAGGTGTTATTTGATCCTTTCTGAGTCATCAATAAAAACTGTCTGAAATGCTTATTTTTATTACCCTTTTAAAACTTGTAGAAAAGCACATAAAACACCCCAAATCTCTTGCGAAAGCTCCGAAATGTAATGATTTTCTTTCCCTTGTCCTGTTACATAATCTCAATACATTTTTATTTTTAACTTAAAAAATACTAAATTTGATCTAAAGAATTTTGTGGTCAACCTTATTCACATGGTAAAGTTTTCCTAGAAACTAATCAAATCATTCCCATGTGAAGTCATGATATCCACCATGAGCAGAGCAATGTGCTTTGAAACAGAATGGGGACCCACTAAAGGTCAAACACTATGACTGAAAGATAAATGGGTTTATTCCCGACCCAATACCATAACACCAAATAGATATTTGTTACGTTTTGTGGAACATTTCACGCAAATCAAAGCAATTTAAAATCTTTCAAACAAATAATATGTAAAAATGCTAAATATATATCAAGATAATCCATGTTAATGCTCATAGAAAGGCATGATAGGCTAAAGACTTAAGTATATATGAATATAATTTATACGATTAATACCAAATTAATGCTATAATGGTCAGAGACCAAATATGTCTGTCATGCATACTATCTATAGCAGGCTTAAACAAATGCTGTGTAGCCTGTGCAGTAGTGCCAACTGAGCATGTTCAGCATGTTATTTTTCCACTTTTGGAAGTCATTTGCTATCAGCCATTGCAGCTTTAAGCACATTTTCTCAAACTTTTCCTGCTTCATGCTTCATTATCTTAGGATTACCAGGTAATTGGGCAGATAATACGTATTTAATTGGGCTGTACTTGTAGTATTCTGCTTTTCTTTCCTGGCCTCAGCCCTTACAGTGTTTCCCACACAGATGGAGGCACCAGGTTGATGTTTGTTGGTGCCTGTGCTTCTTAGTGCTGCTTTATAAGTTTTGGGGGAAGGTAATGGATGTGTTGCAGGGTTTTCGTCCAGTGTCCGAAAACTTCAATTTGTTCCAAATTGCTTTGAGACAATAACTGTCCAGAGTAAATGAGAGTGAGTAAACATCCGCCTGTTATTAGGGCTGCGTGAAGCACCTTGCTGCTGCAGCTCCTGACGCCTGACATTAATAACTTCTGTGGCTGTTTTCCCTGAACTTGTTTCTAAATTTAAACAAAGGAAGATCATTAACAGGGAGCAGCTGTTAAAGTTATTTTTAATAAAGTGTTAAAAGCATGCTATAGTCTTACTGTACACACTGAAGTGCACAGAGGGAGGTTTTCTTCTATGTGTCCAATCATTTCACTATTGATTATTGATTTTCACATGTGTTTATTCACCCCTTAACAATTATCAGGTGTCCTTTCTCTTACTTGTGCTTCGTTTTGTTTTCTTTTTTTCTTCTTTCTCATCCCTCCGTTCTGTTTGCATGGCCCCACCCCCTTCCTGTTCTGCCTGCATTCATGCATGGAACGTGATGGGAAGAATTGGAACCACCGAACTGTCACTCAAGTAGGCTTCACTTTGATCAGATTGTGATAATGAACAGTTTTGTGTTTTCATTTTAATAGTAGACACTCATACATGCACACATTTGTGGAAAACATCTTCATATGGTTCTCACAAGGTCAGTGGCTCATATCAAAGATTCTTCTTGCACCAATTATCAAAACCATAATTCCCAACACACTTTATTTTAGGCTTGTTCGATATTCATACAGAAATATGTATATTTTCTCATTCTACCCAATAACAATAAACTTTAAACCCAGTTTTAAACATAAACTCTGAGGCTACTTTAATGGCTCTAATATCTTACAGTAGTTAACCGAAAAGCTGTCCAGACATCAAGCCAGTTTGAGACCCCTATTGGACTTTCCTGCAGCTGAAGAGGACAAACACTTTGATTGACATGTATTTTAGAAATGTTCTTCTTCACCTCAGACATGTTCTTCAGCTTTAGCGGTCCAAATATTCCAGACCGTTTGAGTTTCATTGAGCTGAAAGCTGTAGCATTAAATCCCCGACCTCATGTAGCACCCTGACTCACAGCGGTCGATGAGTTTGCACGCTGAGCGTGGTTGTTCAAGCTTTATAGTAACAGAGGCGAGCCCGTGTCGTGTTTTTTCTTTTTGTAGGGATGTGACACAACTGTAATAATAAGGAAGCTCTGCGTATACATGTACTTTCATGTTGAAGAGAGCACAAAGAAGAAATCAAATACCTCCCCAAAAAATGTCAAGAGTCCATAAAGAACAGTTGTGAGCCCGCATAACAAAGCTCATTATTCTTCATAAGTGGCATGTAGGTAAAAGACTTACAAACGCCTTTAAATCCTTATCGATCTGACATCCTGCCGGTGTGACGCTGCATATTTCAGGACTAATCCGGGGTTTTCCTCAGACCCCCTTTCTGTGTACCTATTTGGATATGAAAGCCACACTTTCAACCTTTCATAAAAGAGTGTGTAGAGCCCATAAGACACAGTTTGAGATCTAAAATGAAAAGTTTTATAATATTCATATTATTATACATATATACATTTTTAACCAATCGTGTCCTTATTGTGTGATTACATTTAGTAATAAAGTCGTTTGGACAATCAGAACCTTAAAAAAAACTGCATAATGCATAAATACACGTTTTACATTCCAAGACATGAGGAAAAACTACCTGTGCCATGGACAGAGACTTGGGTTTCAGGAGGTTAAAGAATGCCTCTTATATCCCTCAAAACCATTTTTCAAACTCATCGACCGTTGATCTTTTCTTCCGGCTTGTCTGTGCGGTGTTCCTGCAGGACTGAAACCAAAAAGCGCTGCTGTTGCTCTGATAACTAAATTGTGTGGGATCTCAGGGCAGGAAGGTGATCTCAGATGAGCTGAGGTGTCTGGCTGGCAGCTAGATTAGATCAAGTGACAGCAAGCACTGCAGTTGTACTCCCATTGCAGACCACAGCACATTAGTAAAATCAATAGCACTGGCAGAGCGCACACGCATACACAACCCCACCAGCAGGAAACTCTGGCGCGCACTGATGGGATTGCAGATGTCGGTTTTAAATCATTTAGGGGGAGTTTCAGGCTACAGTTAAGCTAAGTGGACATTTAGTAGACGGTTACATAAGTCTTCAGAGTTGTAAAAGTTTGTCTCATTGTTTCATTGCAATGGCTGCAACAGCTCTTTTAATGTTGTTGTTTTTTTCCCGTATCGTGTAAACCTTATTTTGATCTTGGTCTCACAGCATCCGTCTGATCAAAAATGTTCCTTTCTCTTCTTTGATATGTTCAGAGTTCACCTCCCTATCGTTCATACTCACTGTGGTTTTTATCTGTGATCAAAAGAGGAATCAAACACTGAAGATATGAGGCGGTTTGTTCGGGATTTTAAAGCATTTCCGATCGGCAACACAAAAAACATGCAATAATGATATTGTAAAATGTAGGAGGTTAATATTATTGTTATTTTCACCATAGATTATAAGTATCGGTTGTAACTAAAATAAGAACAACATTTTATAGGATGTTGGAAGACATCTATTTGTTAAATAAGATTGATTAGCATATTAAGAAACAATGTTAATGTTGAACAGCCTTCAAAACAGAAAAAACCTAAATCAAGATTTGAACAAAATGTTAAGTGTGCTCTTGATTTGTTTGGGTTTTGTGTCCTCTTTGGGGTTTTTTCAGGGCATCAGCAGTCTGTTCAGCTCTCTGAAGGTGGTCCGGCTGCTGCGTCTGGGCCGGGTCGCCCGTAAACTGGACCACTACATCGAGTATGGGGCGGCAGTCCTGGTTCTGCTGGTGTGTGTGTTTGGGCTGGCTGCCCACTGGCTGGCCTGCATCTGGTAAGTCAGTGCCCGCATAACTCGTGTGATATAGGATGACAGTCGGGATGTTTTCATTTCAGAGGTGCAGTCAACAAAAAGCGAATAAAAAAGCAGATCATTAAGCATTTATCATTTTTTCAGCACTAAATCAAAGATAGTTTATTCCTAATTGATATGTAAATTCATGGAGAATGATGCTCCAAACTCTAATCAGATCTTCTCCTCTCCAGGGGTGGAGTGTGATGGATGCATTAGGTTTCCATCATGTGTTGTTCCTGATTTATCATGTTTATGAGAACATAAACACAAAAAACTGACGCAGACTTCATCACGAAAATTGAATCTGAATGCGTAAAAGCAGGGAGAATGCTTCTCTAATTCTTCATGTGCATGTGAACGTTTCTGCTTTTTTTTTCCTCCAACCAAAACGACCTCATCTCACCAGCTCGCACATTTTTCTATTTCACAGAGGCTCTAAACAGGCTGATTAACATTGTCAATTGGTCTCGACAGTATAATCAAACTGGAGCAAATGAAGCTGGTGGTGGTCCAAAACCAGACAGCGAAACCAGTAAAAATAGCTCCTGCACGTTTCCTCCGGTTGCCATGGTCACAAACGGAGCCGCATGGCCGACTTGTGAAAAGTTAAACCATCATCAACTGGGATGACAGCAGCTACACCGGCAGCCCCTTTCTGCCTGGAGCTGTCACTCCTGTTACAGTACAAACCCCGGGGCTGAGAGGAGAGGAGCCTAATAATAAAAATGTTGCCAGGTTTTACCTCTCGGGGCTTATTCCGTTTATTCCAGAGATGCAGCATGGTGACAGACGTGCATCCTGAGGAGATGCATGGAGGAAAACTAAATCGTAAAGGGCCTAAAGAAACAACGTTAACGAATCTGGTGTTCCTTAAACCTTTCAAATGTTGATTTCTTGATGAATGATGTTCAGAAATGTTCCCATCAGCCGCATGACGCTGCAAAGTTAATCTTGTGATGCTTTACACTAAATTGAGACGGTGACCATGGTGACGGTGATGGGCTTTCAGAGGTGCGCCATGGGTGCAGGGTGCTCCCCACCAATGAAATCACACACACTGATGCAGATGTGCGTCTCTCCTAGTCCGGGGATGGCTGGGCGCGTTTTGCTGCTTTTGTGGTCATCTTCTGGCTTTTTCTGTTCATGTTTCACTCTGTTTTCAGTTCCCGTTGCCTTGATTTCATTTTTCTCAGCATAGTCTTTTTGGATCTGTTTCAGTTGTTTTGTTGTTTTTTTCCCCATCTCATTGGCCAATTATGTCACTTCGGTCTTTGTTCTGTTTCACTCTGTTTTCATTCTCTTTGCTGTCACTTATTTCTTTGTGTCTGTTTTGTATTTTGTCTAGCTCTTTCTTTCTCTGTCATCATTTGGTAGAAACTTGGAGTCACATTATTTATTTTTAACATGCTAATTTTCAAATATTCTCCATTTTACAGAAATTATGCTTTTTTGCAGCATTGACCATTTTTTGTGCTCACTTCATGTCCCTTTGTCTCTTTGTGGTCATTTTTCTCATCGCTCCTTCCCTCTGTGTATGGGGAATATTACAATGGCGAAACAAACCAGCATTTAGTTCAGAGCACTGTGTTGGAAAGTCTCTGAGCTATTAGCTTGCGACCTTTTCTTTCCAATTAAAAGTGAGGATTGGACAGTGCATAAGTAGTCCTGTAGAGTTCAAACATCTTTTGCATCTCTTCTCAGAGCGTGAGGACGTGTTCATAATGAATTGTCAGAGATTGTATCTATGGATTAATTGAATTTTTGATAAGGATTTTTAAAATGTACTTTGTTTGAAAGATGTTAAAAGAACAAAACGTTTTTAAAATAGCATTTTTATTGAAAATGCATCAAAGCAGGTCAATTCATCTGCCATGATCTTTTCTTAGTTAATAAGCAAGGGAGAAAAAAGCAAATTTATCATTATTCTGAGCACCAGGAAGCCTGTCATTTTTCTCATTTTTCACAAACAAAACTGATTAATGGAGTGGCACCAGCAGCTTAGTCTGTAATGAAAGTTTTTTTATAGGCTTTAGTGTTGGGTACAAATGGATTACAGATGGCTTAAAATATGTCACTTCTATGTATTCGCTGTTTTTCTAATGACTAATAATGAATCTACAGGTACAGCATCGGTGATTACGAGGTTATCGACGAGGAAACCAATGTGATCCGCATGGACAGCTGGCTCTACATCCTGGCTGAGACGGTGGGCCGGCCGTACCGTTTCAACGCCAGCGGCTCGGGGAAGTGGGAGGGCGGTCCGAACAAGGACTCGGTCTACATCACCTCTCTGTACTTCACCATGACCAGCCTGACCAGCATCGGCTTTGGCAACATCGCCCCAACCACAGACGGAGAGAAAATCTTCGCCGTGGCCATGATGATGATTGGATGTGAGTGGGAGTGCTTTAATTTCTGTCTAATGTAGCAGATCCATGAGGAGGCCAGCTATGCTCTTGAGAGCAGCAATCCACTGACGCACTTGAGCGGGTGAATTATGAAAAGCGGCCGTCAAAGTTCAGAAAATAGAGTCTTACAGATGATTAGCTGAGCGACATTTTTAGCTCACTGCCAGACTGACTGGCTGAAGGCTTCATGTAATTAACATTAACCCTGTGCTGTTGATTCGCTGTGGTTTCACCGCCTACAACCTACGTATCTGTGTTTTTTGTTTTTACAACAGTTGTTTGTGTATTCTTAAGTTCTTTCACTTTTTTAAGTATTATTGCAGAAATAAATATTTTATCCTGTAATATTTAGACTTTTCAAATGGATATGGGAATTTCAAAGTCTTTAGATGAAAAACTTTTGGATAATTATGTTATTATATAAGTGAGATGCCAAACTTTGACAAGAAGTAATTTTTAAGGCGTTTGTGATCATTTAATCTCTCACATTCTTATATATCTTATACATTCTTATATATATAATTGCTTGGTTTTATTATGATATGTCACAACTTTGCTGACAGATATGATCATCTTAACATGAAATAACTTTCCCAAATTTTCTGTAATGTTATTTTTTGTCATTTCCCTTTAAATGTTTAAAACTGTTTTTTTTCTTTGTTTTTTTTTTAAAGTTTTCCCTGACAGAAAAACTTAGGATGAGGAAAACCTGAATGTCTCATAACTAAAAGCAACAATGACTGGAAACTAGATTGAACCAGAGGTTTACAGCTATGCACAAGAAATGCAAACTATAAACAGAAAAAGACAATTTTTTCAGGATAGCTATTCTACACTACAGAGTACATCTCTGGACCGCAGATGCACACAATTTGATCCACACATTATTTTGCCACAGGTATTAGGACACATAAATGCATGTGTTTCAGTCCCCGACTGCTGCTACAAATGTGTGAAAGAATAGGTCAGGAGTTCACTGACTTCAAGACTGGTCCCGTGTTATGCTAACATCTGTGCAATAAGACCCTTGGTGAGATTTTCCTCCATCGTAAATATTCTGTGCTCAGCTGTTTGAGGTATTTGAATAATGGAAGCAGCTAGGAACAACGGCAACTCGCACACACAGTGTGTAAAATCCCAGAGCTGAGGTGCAAAGTGCACACAGACGGGTACCTTTCTGCTGAATCAGTGGCTGCAGACCTCCAAAACTCATGTGGCCTTTTAGGTTAGCTTAAAAATGGAGCAAGAAAAGCTTCACATTGGGAATTTGAGTTGCCGAGCAGCTGTACAGCAGTACAGCAGTGGAGATGTGTTGTCCGGGGTGATAAATCACGAGGTTCTTTCAGCTGGCCATCCAAAGCGTGAGTCTGGGTTTGGCAGTTGCCAGAGGAACAGTATTTTCTAGACTGCGTTGTGCCAAGTGGAAAGTTCGATTTAGGGAGGATTTTGGTTGTTTTTCATCGGCCTCTTCAATTCCAGTGAAAAGAATTCCTAATGCTTCAGCAAATCACGACACGGTGCAGAATTGTCCCCCCCCTCCTTTTACAACATTACTGCACGTCCGTGCACAAAATAAGGCCCATAAAGACATGGATGAGCGAGTTTGCTGCAGAGGATCACGGAGTCCCGACTTCACCCTGATAAAGGACCTTTGGGATGACTTAGAGCGGGGGCTGGGAGCCAGGCCTTCTCGTCCAACATCCGTTCCTGACTTTGCACAATTTGTTCAGGAACAGTCTCCTAAACCTAAGCCTTCCCTGAAGAGTTGAGCCCGTTATAGCCGCAAAGGGTGGGCCAACTCCATGTTGAACGCTGCAGAGTGAAAATGGGATTTCATTCAATTTCATCATGTGGGTATGAAGGCCATTGTCCGAACATTTAAGAAGAAAAAAATCTCACAAAGGCCAGGAGACACCAGCATCTAGCTCCAAACTGATAACCCTGTGGTTCAGTTTTTGTTTTTTCTTTGTCTCGCTTGCTTTTTTACTTTTGTTCTATTACTGCAATCGCAGCCTGAGAGACGGTAAATCTGCCCTAAAACTGCCCCTGAGTAACTCTGATGTGTTCAGCTTTCACTGAAAGATGTAAATCACTGTAAGAAGAAAAAAAAATGTAAGCAGATCCGAAACAGATCACTGCACCTCGGCTTTAAACAAAGTAGAACAATGTCAGCATCTCGTAGAATGAAACAAAAACCGAGCAGCATATCCTGATACAGGTTGCAACCTAAACAAGGCACACTTCTCTGCACATTCAACACAACCCAGACAAAAAAGGCAAAATTACTTTTGACTTTATGTGCCTTTCCAATCTCAACTGCACCACTTTAGCTGATTTATTAGTGACACACGTCAGTGTCATTCACTCAGGCTGCTGTGCCAGATTTAGTTTAATTATTTAATTATTATATTTTATAGTGGAGCAATTTCATACAGTTCTAAGGTTTTTCTTTTTTTTTTCCGGGGGGGGGGTGTACAGTGTATCTTTTTCCATATAACGTTCAATTTTACAGTCTTTCCCTCGGTTTTTGAACAATCTGCTTGGGGGGGCAGGCAGATTTTCGCAGCATGCTCGCGTCTCAATATTAATAAGGCGTCCTCTGCCTCTGTGGCTGTGGAACGGCGTGCGGCACAGCGCCGTTTTGTCTGACTGCACACTGAGAGCAACCCCTCGGAGCAATAACTGACACTGCCAGATCAATTTAGCTCAGAGCTCCCTCCAATCCCGCCGCAATCACCCCTCACCTGTGCTGTGCTTTTGTCTCACCGCGAGACGGAGGGCCAATGACTCCCCCCACCCCACCCCCACCCCCCGCCACCTCCCCCCCCATTCTGATTCGGGTTTGTGAATGCAATCTTGAGGGGAAATACAAAACTCATTTGCAGGCTTGTCTTTGTCAGAATTTTTCCCTGTGAGTGACAAATCAAATCCAATCTATTAGGGGGAAAAAAATGAAAAAAACGAGGAGGATTCTGTTTGAGACACAATGGAGAAGTCCGTGGCTGTTCTCTATGAAATATGGATGCTGTGATACTGAGCTATTTTTACCGGCGGCAGCAGCACTGGATCGGCGCTGGCAGCAGAGGATCACAGCGTGACGAGGGATTGCAGGGTGGCATGGGAAAAGGATAGGGGTGGGGAGGGGGGCAATATACATAGGTCCTGTTTCTATAGCAACTGTTGGCCTGGGGCGAGAATTTCTGACAACTAATGTTTTAACTAACTTCAAATGAGCCAGCTGTTTGATGGCGAGCAACCTGGAATGGGCGAGGATGGAGGCCGCTTTGCTCTGCTCTGACCCACCCAGCCACATTTTTTTTTTATTCTGTTCGTTTAAAAGCCTCCTCGGCCTGTTCATTCCCAGCTTGTTGCCCACTGCTGTGGTACCAAACAGCCGAGGCCAAGCTGCAACGCCTGACGACATGGCGGCTGTGCAATATGAAGAAGGGATGGAAGGCGTATTTATCCTCCCCCCCTTGAGGAGTTTTGAGCACTTTTTAATTAGCGTGACTCCCCCGTGAAGTTTTTGCAGCGCTTTGATTGTGAGCAGCGCAGGAAACAAACATGCACAAACGTGCGCACAGGTTACTGTCATCATCCGAGGATAATTGAAACGTTCGGCTGGCGCGTTTCCTCTCGGTCCCTTCTAGCTGGGCTAATTAGGGCTCCGGTGCCAAGAGAGCACGGCTCACACAGAGCAGGCATCTGACGGCTTTGATCCACACGCGTTCGCCAGCTGTTGCACCAGTTCAACCACCTTGGATGCTCGGCAGTTTTTTTCTCTTCTGCTTTTTACAGATTATCTGAATCACGAGGCAAATTATCATCAGAAAATATCCACATCTGATACATTCACAGAATCATTCTGCAAATGGAGCTTTTCCCTTTCGGTGAGAGATTTGTTGATTTTGTTTTGAGGCAGTGATCATTCGTAATCACTTATTTCCCACGTGATTAATTAAAGCGTTTCTTCCAGAAATTATATTCAAAACTGAGATAGCGTTTGGTCTGATAGCTTATGAAATGAAAGTGTTTGAATATTAAGAACCTCTGCAAGGTGCAAATTTCCTGTTTCACCTCTTTTCTTTGACTCAGGACAGCCGAATAGTTCTGTAATCTGGTTCTTAGCAATAGTTGCTCCAGGTAGTCAGATAGTCAGAAAGCTTGTCCCTGTTGTCTTTAACTGAGCTCTGGGCCCCTGGCAGCATCATTGGATAAAGAAAATATACTGGGAGAATTCCATGAAAATGGCAACTCTTTGCTTCATCCAATGCAATTTAAATTTGATAAATTTCAAATAGTTCCTGACAGTTGGGAAGTTTCCAAAGCAAAGCCAGACTATTCGACAGGTCCCCATGCTTTCTCACAATTATTCTCTCATTTGTATTGTCTATTTCAAATCCTACCTTTGCCATTTGCATCAAAGCAGCCTATCCAAAGCCACCGAATGTTTTTATTTTCTAGTCTTACTCAAAATTATGAATCCCAAACGGATATGATACATATAAGACTTGATTAATCTTATCATGGTTTGCCTTACAAATATAAAGATAACCAGGATGTAGAAACACAGTCCTTAAGAAAGAGGATGGAATCCAGGAGAGACCTGACACAGCCGGAGAAAGTCTCTGGACCTTCAATTTATCCATGCACTGTTGGCCAATGGGCAATATTATTGTAAGTACATGTCACTTATAGCCAGTGGTTGAAATCCAGAGAAGTTTTGTGAGATCCTTTGTGGAAATGGAAGTCTTTCCAAACAACAACCATCAGGCCTTTATGGTTGAGTGGCTGGGTGGGGGCCATTCCTCATCAAATCAAGGGAAGCAGAATTCTCTGATTAGATGAAATAGACTTGAAGCGATGCACATCGACTCATTAATACCGTCCCTATGGTTAAACACGGAGAGGGCACAATCATTTTGTCGTGTTGTTTTCATGGGAATGGGCTGAGAAGCATGTCAGCACAGAGAGGAAGATGAACGCCTTCAGCTGTAACGATCCTTACTGGAAACCTCTGTCAGGAGTCAGTCTGTGAAAAACCAGAACCCATAAAATACTAAACTGTTCCATAAAAGGTCCAGGGGACTGACAAATAAACAATGCATACATTAGAATAGACTGGAAATGCCTGTTCTTACAAACAAGGGTTGGAGGTACGGTCTCGTACTGTCTCACAGTCATGGTTGTGCATCAAAACAGCTCTTGTGTTATTGGAATGCTTTGTTAATGTGCCTTTAAGAATAGAAAACTGGGATACTCATATCATATCCTGTCAGCCTGATGCTTAAATGTGAATTTCTTTTACAGTGTTTCTGTTTGTCTTTTTGCAGTGTTTTAACAAGCAAATGATTACTCAAACACATGCATGCACAAAATCTGCCTCATGCATCTGCATATAGTTTCCTAATGATGGTGAGTTGTGAGAGAAAACTTTGTGAACACACAACTAAATAAACTGGTGATATGAATGCAGCTGCACATCTGCTTTATTTGTACACACAGTTTTAGTGTAGAGATATGACCCCTGGATTTATTAAGACTCATGTCAACCAAACTGAAGAGACCATAAAATGACCTGGTCAACCAACCTAGTTGAGGTTAAATATGTCTAGATGTAGAAGAGCCATTCCAAAACAATCACATTTTCAAAGATTTCCTAGGTCTTATAGGCTACATTCTTGTGAAATTGCCTCATTTGTGTTTCCCCAGCCCTTCTTTATGCCACCATCTTTGGTAACGTGACAACCATCTTCCAGCAGATGTACGCCAACACTAATCGTTACCATGAGATGCTCAACAGTGTCCGGGACTTCCTAAAACTCTACCAGGTGCCCAAAGGCCTGAGTGAAAGAGTTATGGACTACATTGCCTCCACCTGGTCCATGTCGCGGGGTATAGATACCGAAAAGGTACGTCGCCATGTGATTGCTGACTGTTGCCTGGTACTTATTTTTTTTTATTAAGACCGATTTGTCCTTATTAAACTTGGCGAACAATTTGGTTAAGGATTAAAAACAACAGCTCTGTACCAGCCCGCAGTGTAAACACGAAGGTATCTGCCCACCGGCCACAGCAACACTGCCATCCTGACGAATTCAGACTGTATTTATGTGATCTGACCAATTGGAAATTGAATATTTACAGCTGAAAGCAGATGCATTAAGCTGGTGCCATTACTTTGATTTGAAGCCAGGAAGCATTCATATTACCGGATCTAATAAAAATCCACCTGTCCAAAGTCAAAATCATTTTACTATTTCACTTCAAATTACAATCATTAACTTCTAATTACAGGCATTTTATCACCTGCAGAATCTGTGCGCCTGAACAGCTCACTTGTAATGAAAATGAGGGCCATTTGGGCCTGTTCTCCATCTACAGGTTGTTTGTTAGTCTGGCTACAGTTTTAGAGCCGCACTAAAGGGTCTAAATGTGGCACATCAGCCTTTCTCTGCTTAGCATTCATCTTCAAAGAGGTCAGTTTTAAAGGCAAAGCCCCGTGACAGCCTGGCACCCTGCTGATCAGGTGCACTGGAACAATTTGCTGCCACTGGGTGACACTCAGCAGATGGACAGCTGGTGGCTGCCTTCTTGTTGCCCTCGCCTGAAGTAAAATGGGGAGTTGATGCTTTAATTACATGTAAAGCACATTTTATCTCCTAAAAATCACGTCAGTTTTTCAGTGGCAGCTAATTTAAGTTTTTAAGCAGATAGTAAATTAACTGCAGACAGGCTGTTTGTTTAATGAGCTCCAAAAGCTCTTGTTAACGGATTGTTGTTTATTACAGTTTCACTTCAGTTCTGACTAAAACGTCTCTGAAAATATAAAAATTTAAAAGAAAAAGCAGGTTAAATGCCAAGAAAGGCCATTTAACCTGTGTGTTGCCACTGGTAAAAGACTCCCTGCATTGTAGCATACAGTGTCTGTGAATATACTTTCTTTTCAAGACACCACAAATCACTGCAATGACCAAATTAAATGTTTTATTCCCATTTGAACATCAGTTAATCTGTTGTTCACGCTCTGGTTTGTCTCCAGGTGCTGCAGATTTGTCCAAAGGACATGAGAGCCGATATCTGTGTTCATCTTAACCGTAAAGTTTTTAAGGAGCACCCGGCTTTCCGGCTGGCCAGCGACGGGTGTCTCCGAGCTCTGGCCATGGAGTTTCAGACCATCCACTGCGCTCCCGGGGACCTGATCTACCACGCTGGGGAGAGCGTGGACAGCCTGTGCTTCGTGGTGTCGGGATCCCTGGAGGTCATTCAGGATGATGAGGTGGTGGCCATTTTAGGTGAGCCGAGCTTTTTTTTCTGGCTATTGCTGCTCCCAATGAGAGGAATGTGTTTTAATTTGGGCTTAACATGTTTTTGCAGCAAACTGAAGTCTCAGTAATTCGTATATTTGTTACAATTGTTGATTAAATTAAAACTTTTTGCCATTTTTATCTCATATAATTAATTGCTATAGAAACTACAGGATCTTTTCATAATGTCTTCATAATTCCTGGTTTGTATTTCTACCCAAAGGATTAGGATATCTTGCTGATAGTTTACTACAAAGGTTTGTTTAAAGAAAGATGCAGATGAAGGCTTTTCCTTCCATCGGGTCTGCTGAAATGTCAGATAGAGTTACACATTTCTGAAGTTGTGACATAAGATCTGTAGATAAGTGGTGTCTTATCTGAATTCAGTATCTTTTGGCACATGAGCACTTAAAAACTGGCAGACTGCAGCAGAAATGTGGTTCAAAGTGGCCGCTGGGATTGTTCAAATTCAACCAATTTGCACCATAGCAACGAGACACATTTTCCTCTAAATACTTAAAAATGTGTTTCTGACGGCAGTAAAAGATGAGCTGGCTGAAGATCATTTTCTGCTGGGTGAGGGGAATGAACTCAAATTTGTTTGCTTTGTCTGATAGAGTCGTCTCAGCCACTTTGATCTTTTTCAATCAGCACATTTATTCTTGGAGTGTGGATCACTTTGCAATTGTACCAGATGTTTTCTTTTTCATTCGTACTTTAATGTGTCTGTTCCCACTTACCGTTGTCAGTGCTGCCCGCTAGAGCATTTTGAGCCAAAGCTGGCGTGTAAAGGGGTCTTTAGATGGGTTCTTTTTCAGTCTGAAATACATACCAAACATTGAAAAAATCTAAGAACAACAGAATAAACTGCCCGTGTTTGAAAACCTTCTTGGGCGTGATTGTTGAGCTTAAACTGCAGCTCCCGTTTCATTCGTTCACCATCTGAGTTCACACAGATAAAAGCTCAGCTGGGATCTTGGAGTGCTCAGAGCTTCGGATCAATACATGTGACACACACTCTGACAGTAACACGTCCAGACCAAGTGGCTGTGGAGGCTTAGGTTGAGTTTTCTTCCATTTGTAGAGAAAGCTTGGCTGATTTGCTGCTTGTTTGACAGAAAGTGTGGAAAAGAGGTCTTTAGGGGCACCAAACAGTGGGTGTAATGTAATGTAAACCTGAGCAGAATCTAACAGAGGGGACCAAAACCAATAAAGAGCTGCACTTTAAATGATTGTTAATGTGTTTTTTCAAACAGCAAATGATTTTTTTTTAACCAATTTCAAGCTGCCACAGTGAAATGACACTCTATCACTGTGAGAGGGTGTCTGTTTCAGGAGGGGATTGTGGAGTTTCACCCGAGTCTTGCTTTTTAGTCCGTTGTGGCCAGTTGCATTTAGTTGTTTTGGTTGCTTGGATACAACTTCATGGCTTTTGTTCACACCTTATCAGACAGACTGTTGCCAGCTAGCCGGTCAACACAGTGGAGTGTGCGACAGCACAAACAGGCAGAGGCCTTTCTTTCTTTCTTTCTTTCTTTCTTTCTTGACTTTGAGCACTGGATGTTTTCTTTTCTTTTTTTCTTATATCTGTAAAGTTGAATTTTAACTAGATTAGTTTTCATGCCTGGTTCAAGTGAAAACAGAGCTATTACCCTACATGGATTTACATCTTACAGGATTTATTTAATTCATATTGTACTGATAGGCTAAAACTAATTAATTTTAGATATTACGTATTCAGCCATTTTACTTGTGTGGTGTATTGTGAGATGGTCGCCTTCGAACTGCTGATGATGCTCCGGGAAAAGACTCTGCTGACACAGACTTAGAGGAACAAAGGAGAATTTTACATTAAACCTGGCCTGAACAAGAAGTAAAAATAAATGCATCAGATCTGGTTTGATCTCAAAGCCAAACACAGAGATATCTGTACCTAACGTTGGCCACAGCATCCTGCAGTCCTGCCATATTTGGGCCTGTTTATTCCTCAGAATATGAATCCTGCTATCTTGTCTCTTACTGCAGGTGTTTAGACAGTACATGTTTTGCCATATTCGGCTAGCCCTCAGCATGTGGCTCTGGCTTGGGACTGTGTTTTCACAAACATCTCTGTCTCAGAGGCACAAGCCCACCTCTGTTTGAGCTCCAGACACTGCACGTGGTTTTTACCTGTTTGATCTCCGCGGTGATTTATTCCTTACCTAAAGGATTTGTTTCTGTGGTTATCTTTGTTGCATACAGATAAATTATTCTGCCTGATATTGTTGGTCTAGATGTAGGTGGATGTGATTTGATGGTTTGACTTTTGACAGCCACGCCTCTCCCTTTGACGGACAAAATACTGTTTTCCTTCACAGATGATAATAGATAACAGCTTCAATTGTAAGGGATGGAGTGGTAACATACCTGTGTCTTTGTACTGTTTCTTATCTGATGTCTGATGGCTCATCTAGACACATTTGGTACTAGAATTCATTCCATGACCTTAAACACTCATCATGGCAAACTGCTTAGTTATGTTCAACAATGAATGGGCAACAATGAGTCCATAGGAGAAAGTGGTCTGAACTCAGCTGAACACATATTAATAGGTTTGTGTTGATCCAATCGGCTTTAAAATACAAATCTATTTTCAGGTGTCCACGTTTCGAAAAAGAAAAAATATCTTTGTGATGAAAGTTTTTTTTAATCATGTTCGTATGTCCGTGTGGTGTTCTTATATCTACGCTAATCAAGGCTGTCAGGAGCAAAGCTAATGCATCATTAGCAATACATTACATGTGTTTGGTTACATAATTACGCTGAACAATCGATGGTGTTTGTGCAGAGTTGAGGAGGAGCAGCTGGAGCCTGGGAAGAATCGTAGATGGCAGCGGGGCTCATTTGCATATTCATTGAACAATGAATATTAGATGAGGCAAAAGTGTAGAGCTTTAACCCAACCTGTTTAACGTCAGTAAGCAGCTATTTTCATAAATAAACTGTCTTAATATGTAAATGAGACATTTGGGAGTTTTAACAGCTGTCAGGACAATATTTCAGATAATGGTTGAATGTCATGGGACAAATTAAGGAGGATTGTCTTTAATCAGGCAAAAATATATACAATATCACAGGCTGAACCCTTGTGTTCATTAAATCTTTTGCCAACAATATATCTTTGTCATGCATGAACTACATTGACCATTAAAGAGGAATACTATTGTTATAATTGGTTGGACTGAAAGTAAGACCAAAGGTGGAACTGAATTGATTCTCAATGTATAACATATGCGTTAAATAACAGTCATTTTTGTATGTTTTACCCCAGAGGACAAAGGTGAATGGCAATCAGAAGGAAATGATGGTCAAAATATGCACAGACTGCATGTAACCAAGAAAACGTCAATCAAAAAAGTTAGCAGTTTACGAGCCCGCCTGAAAGAGGGGCTATTCTGATAAATACTGACGATAAAAAACACAACATTTTAACATAAACTGCAACTGAAAGCAAACAATAAGCTTTTAAATCTGAGCTTGACTAAAAAAGTAAAACAAATTGGATTAAATTTAATGTTACAATGTACTTGATAGTTAATTTGTCTGTTAAATGCATAAACGTAGCTGACAGGTCATAGAAATACCCATCACCTTCATGTAAAGCACAAGTTAATTGACCTGTGATTAATACATTTTTTTAAAAGTTGAATCTGCTGTTGATACAAGACATGATTATTTGTGAGAAAGTGACAGCAAATGAAAATTAATCCTCTAAAAAGCAGTGTAACGTAATGTAGTTTTAAGCAAACATGTAAAAATACCTGGGTTGAGGGGAAGGTGTGTGTTGTTTGGGACTGATGGAATATTTATTTTAGATTCTCAAACTTTGCTTTTTTGCAAAGAAGACCTGGCAAACCAAAGCAAAACCACATCCATAAAAACAAAAGTCTGAAAACAAAAAGTACACCCCACACACACTCAGAAAGAGGCCTTTGGTGCCTGGCAAGCCAAATTTTGTTCACATGAAAGATGTATGACAATTTTTTTTAAGCACTTGTGAATTATTCATCCACTGAAGCCTCTTAGAAAACCAGACTTCCAGGAGGGAAACACAGAAAGAGGTAGTTTATTTGTGTATTTGTTTACCTTGAAGAACAGTTTTTTCGGAGGTGTTAGAGGATGGAATTGTGTCTTCTCTCTGCAGGTAAGGGAGATGTGTTTGGAGATGTTTTCTGGAAGGAAGTGACTCTGGCTCAGGCCTGCGCCAACGTCAGAGCGCTGACCTACTGCGACCTCCACGTCATCAAACGGGACGCGCTGCAGAAGGTGCTGGAGTTCTACACGGCCTTCTCCAACCACTTCTCCAGAAACCTGCTGCTCACCTACAACTTGCGAAAGAGGGTGAGTGACTCCTCAGATCTCACCAACAAATCCTCGTTTTACAAAGAAATGTTGGACACAGGCATGAAATGTAAGAGTTGATCAATAAAATATCTTATTGTTAGGAAATATCTCCAAATATGAGCATTATTTTCCCCAATAATTACAAAAAGATTGTTGCACAACACAAAGAATCAGTTTGCTTAAACATTCTAATGAAGCTGTTCAGGCCTCAAGTGGATGCTAACCCTACTCCATATACTAGATTTTTGTTGAAATTAATCATTTTTCTCGGCATTGATTCAAGCCTAAACATATTCAGACCTGATGTAACAGAAGCTTTATTTTTTACCTTTTAAGCCTGATGCAACCTGAGGGTAACATCATCATTTTCAAGACACACACAGTAAATCTAAACTCAAGTGTAAAATTTATTATAAACCACAAATGTTCAAATGTTTTCTTAGAATGATCTCTTATAAGCTTAATTTCACTTTGAAAAGGTTTTTTTTAAAAGACATTTTTAAATAAGCCTTTCTCTTTTGATTAGAATTACACAGATGTAAATGTTTGCCATCATAACCCTCTTATAACCCCTTTATACATCTAAAATGGCTTAAATGTAAGGCAACTCGCCCACTGCCTGCCCGCTACTCTGTTGGGGAAGACGTATGATGCCACATAACAACATGCTGGTTGTGGATGTTTTCCACGATTTGCAAAGCAGGAGGTTCCAAAACAGTGTTGCAGCGAATTAACATCTCATCTTTGTCTTTTCTTTTAAGTAGCAAAGAATGTAGAAAGATCAGATCAATTCTGATTAATAATCATAGATTTACATGTGTTTGGAGGTGGGGAGCAAATAGAGGAGCACTGCACTCTGAGCAGGACGAACTGGGAGGGAAGAAGGCGCAGAGCTCAGCCTACAGTTCATGAGCACAGATGGAAAAAAGACATTTAAAATGCACACCGAATGTAAAGCAGGAGAGCTTCCAGTACACAGCTAAGGCTGATGCTTAACTCAAGGACAACAGAGGCTCATAAATACAACACAGTATAATACGGCCCGTAATCTTTTACTTGATACTAATAGCAGATAAACCCAGTTTGCCATATTTAGCTTGTTCTTATATTGATTAAAATCTTTCATTGATGTGGAAAAGCTCAGAGCCATTTGTTTCTCAAACAATGTCTTTAAGCTTTTCTATTGAGTTGGCCCCTCAGCTACATAGTTTCAAACCCTAACACAGAAATATGCTGCTGATATGGACATTTTTTCATGTCTTATATTTCACTAAAATGTGGTCTACAGATTCACCACACATAATTCTCGTGTAAAATTGTAATGAATTTGACGTTTTTAGCTGACCATGAGGAGCTTTATTATCTAGTCAGCTCTTGTGTGAAACTGCTATCCATAGCAGAGCAACAAAAGCAAACACCAAGCATGACTTTAGAGTTACAACTCATCCTTAGGCAGAACGTTGGCTGAGTATCTCTATTTTTTGTCTGTCAGGCATTTTTTCAAAAAATGTGCTAACTGAGTTGATATTGATTGTAAAAATAATTGCCTTTTAAAGTGGAAATCCATTATTTTCTTGTTATTGCAAATCATTCTGAAGAAGTCCACTTTCTAATTTTGTGCAGGTGCATATGAAAAGATGGGAGAAATAAAAATGCCTATTAATGGATTTTTATAGGTTACTTCCCCGGCATAACAAAAAATATAACCTTTGCCTCTTAGACAGCACCCCTAACACCTGGAGTCCCTGTTTTACTTTGACTTTGTTACTTATAGTTGCGATTTCATGACCTCATACCAATTAATCTGCAAAGTCATGATGTCACAATGCTGTCGTGTCTGTTTACTAACCAAAAGACACAAACTTTTTGTAGCGTAGAGGTCAGCCATTACCATAAAGAACCATGTGCAATTTCATGCTGCGTAAGGCATAAATAGTTTCTCACACACTTTACAGCAGAACAGGTGGCTACACCTTGTTTCAGATGTAGAATGAGTAAAGCTCCTCATCAAAGAGCTGCTTTTTCTTTTGCTGTAAATTCACCATCCCCACAAGATAACTGATTATTTTATATTAAAGTGGCATGTTTTAATTGGCTGTGTTTCAACTAAAGTAGTTAATATTCAAAGGAGTTATGAGACGGAAGCAAAACCGGATCAAATGTTTGTATAATTTAGCAAGAAATGTGACTGCTGACACTGAAAACTGCAGCACTGAGAGATTAACACTGAACACAGAAAGCCATAATCAGAAAATAACAACATTAAAAAAGGAGATGCAATAATTTAATAAAACTTTCAACATACAATTTTGTTCCATTTTAAATGAGTCCTGTTCTAATTTACAGCTGTGCTACCAGAGCAAATACATATGAACACTTAATACAGATGCGAACTTCAATTAAACAGTCACCGTAAATTACAGCCACTCTCACATCCTTTCCTCAGAAATGAACAGCTGTGATCAACAACACACATGTAGCCACCAATCATTAGCTCATTTACATGGTTAGCCTGCCCAAGAGAGTCTAAGTGCAAGATTAAATTGCCTTCATGTAAAGAGGCAATCTCATCTGCTGCATCAAAGTCACTTTTCACAAGGGTCCAATACATTCTCAGTGTATCCAGCAGGGGAATCCAGACGGATCAAAAAGGAGCCAGATGTTGCCTTCAAATGCTGTTCTGAAGTGTTTTTTGAACGATAAAGTACAGAAAACAGTATGTGTTCGACAACTAAGACGTGATAATAAATGATGATAAATGATGACTGTATGTTCAGTATCTCATCATCAAAACTAGGAGTGAGAAAGCTGACATAAACAAAACTAAAAGATATAAAGATGTAATTCAATCAAGATTCATTCTGATCAGATCAATAGTTTTGGCACATCAGTATATCATTATTCAGCATTTTCAGATGAACCACGGCTGACGAAAGTCTTCTAACCATCATCCTTAAAAAAAAAATTATCATTAAAAGAAATTTGAAGATTGATGTTGCTCTTAGATTATAAATAGATGGCTCGAGCTGTAGTACACCTATCAGCATAGGTTCCATGTTATTTCGATCTCATCTAGGCCAGCCTTTCAAGAGCTGTTAGCTACTATTATAACATTAATTCTTCATGTGTGTATCACAATTGCACAGACTGAGAACCTTTTGTAATAAGTATTTTTTAATCTATAACACCCTTAGGGATGAATGTTTTTCCCATCCTTGCTGCATGATGCAGTCCGTAAGCCCCTCTTACACTTAAAAGCTCAAGAGAATTCAGTGAATAGACTTTAAATCGGCCATTTCTGAGAAGAATAATAGCCACTCGTGCTTAAAAACTTTTACATCATCCTTCCACAACAAGTTTGCACGAGATACTTTTCAAAAGTGTTTCCTCTAAGTTAGGCTGCTTCACACCAAGTCTGCCTTTTTATGTCCATTTCTTTAATCTATCATCCAACATTAATTATGCACAAAAGGTTTGCACATGAAGGCCAGTTTTTTTAATCTACCTATCCTAGTTATTCTCCATATGAGGTGAAACTGAGTCCTAAAGCAAAGAGGGTCTTAATTATGTTCCCCTTTCTGCTTCACTCTACAGAAAGAAAAAGTGAACACCGTGGCATCAAATTATAAAAACTTGCAGAACCATTCTGATCATTTTCATGTGTATTTTGCTTTGTCAGTGGCCCACTCTGAAACCCTGTTGGCTGCACATAAACCAAACATTGACAAAAGACGACCAACACTTTAGACAATCCAATTAAATAATATTCTTCACACCGTCATAAAGTGGTTGGTACTATGAAAGGCCGCTGAATGAGTCTGTCAGATGTCATGCAGAATAGCGGGGCTCTGAATAGCCAAATAAATCTCAAAAGACATTTAACAGTTTGAAAAATAAAATGATAAAAATGACGTTAGTGATGGAACAGAGGTCTGGGTGTGACTGACATCATACAATGTTGGTGTTGGCATCATTATTGAATGCATGACAATAACAAACAACAGTTATAGACCTGTGACTTTTGACGGATAAACATGTTTAGGAAAAAGGCAAAAAAGTAGTTTTTGAATATGTTTAGCTTGTCCATTAGCAGCAGCTGGTGGTAAGCATGCTGTGTGTCTTCACCCTCTGAAGCCAGAGGCTTGATGTGAACTTTCTGTCTGTGCCATGGGAATAGACTGTTTAAAGGTTACATTGACAAGGAGCACACATTTAAAACGTCTGTCCAACACAAACAGCACAATCAGTAATTTGGAAGCATTATTTGGTTTTATGTTTTCATGATAGACAACATTGAATTTTGAAATGAACAAAACACGCAGTGTGTGTACTGACAAATGCTAATGTTCGTTACCATTTTGATCTGTTTAATCGTTATTATGGAGCAGTTTTGGTCATGAGAACTTTAAATTCTTTCGCAGATTGTCTTCAGGAAGATCAGTGATGTGAAGCGCGAGGAGGAGGAGCGACAAAGACGTAAAAATGAAGCCCCTCTAAACCTACCACCAGATCATCCGGTCCGAAAACTCTTCCAGCGTTTTCGACAGCAGAAGGAGGCCCGCATGGTGACTGACAAACCAGATCTGGATGAACCAGATATCGAGAAGGGCCCCATCTATGTAGACGTCTCAATGTCCAAATCAGCCATCACGACAACCAGCGTTGTTACGGTGACGGAAAGTCCGGCGACACCCTCCTCTTCAACACCTTCCCCGTCCACGTCTCCCAACGGCACCCCCTCAGACAAGGCAAAGCTGCAAGTGCCCCCGCCCAAATCTCTGGTGGGATGCCGGTCTGCTGAGCCAGTCAAAGTCAAAGGCTGGGGCCGCTTCAAGGAGTCCATAACCAAAGCCGATACCTGGAGCAAAGTGTCCAAAGCCGAGTCCATGGAGACCTTACCTGAAAGGACCACAGCGCTCGAGTCGCGGACGTCTCTAAAGAAGACCGACTCGTGTGACAGCGGTATCACCAAGAGTGACCTGCGCCTGGACAAAGTGGGCGAGTTCCGGATGACTCCCCAGGACCGCAGTCCCGCCCAGCCTCTGGAGCCTAGGCACACTTTCTACCCCATCCCAGAGCAATCGCTTCAGGCCTCCCTTCAGGAACTCAAGGTGGAGCTGAAAGAGGACCTCAAGAGCCTGACCGTGCGAATGTCCAGCCTGGAGGCCCAACTTGCAGAGGCTCTTGAGCTCCTAAGAGCAAGAAAATCAAGCACTGGATCTCTAGAGCCTCTTTTTGACATTTCTAGACCAGCATCACCAGAACTGGAAAAAGAGGACATCTTCTCTTGAAAGAATGGAGAATCATCAGGTAACAATTCACAGAGGGCTCAGCTGGAATCCAGTGATATTGAGATTGCTCAGATAGCTGAGGCTGCACGAGGCACACCATCTGTAGGCTTCGCCGTGCTCTAGAAGAGCCACCGGCCTTTATCATAGGGGTGCACGTGCTGGTAAACAAGCAGGCTGTGGCAAGTCGAGGTCATAGCCAAGATTTTGGTGTAGCACTGAGCACTTGGAGGCTAAATAAAAACTGACAGCTCTACGTTTGTATATATGTTTGATGTATTTTTTTTCCACTACACCATGATGGGGAAAAAAAAATATTTGCAAAGTTTGATTTCATCTCAGCAGAGAAACTTAGACGTATCTGTTTTGGGAGGCTCCAGTGGAGACAGCATGACCCACTGCTTTGTTATTGAATCATTTGTATGAGATTCTTTGCATGTCATATAAGATAGACGTGTGCCTCATATTGCAGACGGGGGCATGCCTCATAAATCATGGATGCACAGACATTTGCATTATTTCAAACTTATAGCGGAGGAGTTTGCAGATGTTGATACTCTGAGTAATTTCTCCAAACGCAACTCTTATTAAATAAGCTGCCAAGAATGATATGAATTTTACTACAGATAACTCTGGCCAGGCCGTCTGATTTCCAAAAACATGCTTGGGTTTAACTTAAAGTGCATTTCCATAAACCACAGATCTTCGTGCTTGATGAAAAATGAATTTAAATGCTAACTAGAGAGACAGAAATGAGAAATGTCTCCATCTCTCTTGCCCTGGATTTGTTTTTCTCATTTAGAGACACCACAGCCACAATCATATTTCAGTGTTGTCTATGTGTCATGCTTTATTAACTTTGGGGATGTAGACATTATATAGATGATGCAGACAATGTCTCGGCCTTTAAATGAGTGATTTAACCGTTAGAATGTATTTATTCTAAACAGAATAGGCTCTAATAAAGTGCATGAAATCACAAAATCATTAGCATCCGCCTATAATGAATTATAGATGCTCCCTGCCATACATGTTTACCTTTTAAGCCAGCTGTCATGTCTGGCTTTGCATGATGCACACTTAAATTCTAGTTCATCTTATATAGGCACTTTATAAAGCCACATAGGTCCCTTTTATGTCTAAAATTAGCCTCCTGCTCCCCGAGCTAATCTCTAAATGCATACTTTCTTCTGTCTGGCCATCACCCAGAAGTCAACTGGGAGACAGCATGTTTAACTCAACTAACTTTCTGTTTTATTCTATGATGAGCTTAAAGCTCTCTTTCTATTCAGCTTTTGATAGATGATCTGCTACAGGTTCTCGAAAACCTGCAGTCCTACATAGCATGTACATCTGAAACAATCAGTCATGTGGCCAGTTATTTTATGACCTTTAATGAAGTTTAATTAGGGGGTTGTGTTCTAAAAAAATCCTTGACCAGAGCACTTATTTTGATGTTAAAAATCACAGAGTTATGACAAATGAAAATACAAAAATCTGCTACTTTGTTTTGTGCCCCCAATATCTAATTTAGTGACCTGTTCAGACTTGTCAATGGTGAAATTCACCCTGCATCCTCTGTTGACCTCGACCTTTGAACCCTGCCCTCCTTTTTTTGCCTGCATTGAAACCACCTGAAATTAGGATAGTTTCAACTGGAAATGTTTTTTGTGTTCAGCATGTATCTCGCATCTACCACCAGCCTCAGAGGTCCTAGGAGCCCAAAAGATATGATGGGTACACGTACAACTGTATGTGAGACGAATTATCTAGCAAGATTTGGTGAATTTTCTGTGTTACAACTGCTTTTCATCCAATTGTTTAATCGACTTGGCCCAGTTCAAATTTGAAGCTTCGTTGTTGGTTATTTTATTTATTTATTTATTTATTTTTGCAATGTTAAGTAGTGAAGTTGTTCAAACTTCCAAGAAGTTATTACTGTTACTTTCTGGGAGATTAAATTGGCTGTTTCGGTATTACTTTCTTGACGGTTGCGTTCTGTCCTCCAGACAACCCGCAGCTGTTTCGGAGAAGTTGTATAATGAGGCTCATGTCATTTCAGCAGGGCTGTGCAGCCTCACCTGCATGCTACCTGCTTCTTTCACCACCTACTGCTGCTGGCGCACGTGTTGTTTACTGGCATGTTTTTGATAGAGAATATTTAATGTCACCGGTGATACTAAATGTTTAAACAAAGCGATACACGTGCATTTCTATGAGATTTTCTGGTTGCACCTCCTGCTAGTCCATTAATGGCACCTGGTTTATTCCCTAGAGCGTGAAACAGTTTCCCCACTGGGACCAAAAAGGTCACCATGTCTACATAGGGAGAAACACTTTAACTGTTACCGGCGACGTGCATTTACTGCAGGGAAATGTACATTTGTTGCCATCCAGTGTTTTGATAACAGGTAACACAATGAAAAGCAACATATGCTATATGCTCACATCTGCATGATGGTTTGCGTCCACAGCCAAATTACAAACATGCAAAAACTAACTGTTAACCCACATCCAGATGAGGCTTTGATGGTCACACTTGTTCAGGAACTCTGTTTCAATTCTTGTTCAAGATTAAACTGAAATGCTTTCATGGACATGTCATAGACAGAAAGGACGTGGAGTGAGCAGCTGCCCACTTCCCCACTCACCAACTCCAAAGAAGTTTGTGTTGCTTCGAGTAATATTGTGATGAAAGCATTCTCATATAATTTATGAAGACCTCAGGAAATTGTGTCAACTTGCCAAGAAAAAAAGAAAAAAAAGATGACATACTTAGTCTCCTTTAATAAGCGACAATAAGCCCTGGTATCTGAACACCAGGAAGTCTGTTTCATTGTGTCCAAAAAGTTTAAAACTTTAGCAACATCAGCTTTCGTCAAGATGTGTGGCTTTACAAAAATATAAATGAGAAGTTACGTCAAATAAAAAAAAAAACAACTAACATGCAAATTGGTATAATTACACATTTCATGATCAGATTTTTTATTATGTCTATGACTAACACAATAATGTAAATAGAGAGTGGGTGTGGAAGATGGGAGGAGCGAGATGCAATTTTGTGGTAAGAGACACAGAAGCTGAGTGAATAATACATTAAAAATTGTATAAATCAGATCCATGAGTTGCAAATTAAGTGATTTTAAGATTACATTTAGCACTTTTAGTACATTTATGTGTTGAAGCATCACATGATGCCATTTGAAAACAGTGATCAATGAGATTTTGAATCAGTAAATGTGAATTATAGTCTACAAATTTACTTTAGGATTCAACACAATTTGAAATGATTTCTTTGACTTCGGAAAAATAGATAAAAAAGCTTCTATCTTTATAAGAGATTAGATGTTATTTGTTTTTTATATGGATAATTTATGTTCCCTGCATGCTTTTATCTCCTAACAAGACAAAAGACATGCTGAGATGGAAAAAAATAGATGCTTAGGTTTCTGATGCCTCCATTTCCATCAAAAATTTAGCTTGCTAAAAATAAATGGGCATGTCATCACAGAACCGAGAACTGGTTTAGAGCCAAAGTTTGTGGGTCATTCTGAGTCTAATTCCACGATAAAAAAGAAAAAGCACACACTTTGCCTCACATTGGCCTTTTTACCACAGATCATTTATGAAGCTGCTGCTCCAAAGAGTTCACAGATTAAACTGAGAAAAACGAGGTCAGGCACTATTGCTGACTAGGTGTAAAAAATTATGTAAAAATTTTTTTTGTTTATTTATATTACTCATTTATTTTTCAAATCTGTTAATATTTAAACTCACTGGTTAGTATCAAACTGATTATTACTTCAAACAATCTTCAGTTTTTTCTTTATTCTATTTAGAAAAAAAAGATTAAATCGTTACTAAATTAAATTTGTTGTTTTAAATCTATTGTTTTGATACAATAGATAAAGATTTTAAGAATAGTTGAATAATTGATCCTTCTAGAATTAAGTTGTTGAAGTTTAGTTGCCTGCTGCTGTGCTGAAGACAAGAAGATCCAATCTTCTTATTGGCTCTGATGGCTATAAGATTACCGAGGTCACAGATCACACTATTCTTATTAAAACATAGATTAGTGTTTTAATGGACACCTTTCATAAATTCAGTTTTGACAGTTTTTGAAAAACTTTGTGTGAGGTTGTTATCCCAATTTTGACCTCCCACCAGTTTATTGGGTTAGGTCACTTTAAGATTTTACTTTTGTATTTTGTGACCGCAGGAATTCTTTCAGTAAAACGTTGGCTGGTTAAAATACATAAAAGTTGATGTTGTTTCTTTCAAGTGTAGTCATGTATGGAGTCTATCTACCCTACCTGCTGTAGACAGCATCAGAACCCACATCTAAACAGGGTTACCAGGAGAGGGATTGTATCTAAATCAACTTCAACTGGAAATATTTCCGACAACTCTAACCCATTATCCAACAGCCACAAAGGAAAGCCTCAATAAAGTGTAATTATTTCCACTGCCTCAAGTCTATATGTGAAGCCAACCAAGTGGACTGCAACTAGCACACGTGGCCTTTTCTCAACTAGAAGTAATAAAGCATCAAAACTATTCCTGCTAAAAGAGGAATTGTGGCGTTGGAAAGCCTGTATGGTGGTTTAGTACTTTTAAAATCAGTCGTACTTGACCTGATGGGAATAGCCGTTGAGGTTTTTTATGTGTGTGAGCTTCAGTCTCAGACAGTAAGAACGACAGCTTTAAGATTCAATTACAAGTCATGAATGTCACACAGCTGTTTAAAACTAAACATCTGCATTGACTGATAAATCCTATTCTTATAAGAGGTGCTTAACTTTTGAGTTTTTCTCTACTAGTACAACAAAAAACACTTGTTTTCTACAGCAGATATTTTCTTGTACTTAGGAAACTGATTTGTGTCCTTTCAAGCTTCTTGCGGTTGAATATTTTCATCATAGTTAAAACAAACTGCTAATTAATTTAACCAAATGACAGATGAATGACAGATGTAAACATTTGAAGTAAACCTTCAACTTAAACTTTCAACCAGTGATTGCAGTACCTTTGTCTTCCTGTCCGGTATGCTCTGTGTTCTCATGTTTTGTGAACTTACAAGTCTTTGAGTTTCTTCCCATTTTAGGGTCTCCGACAGGAGTATAGTTAAATCAGATTATCATCTTCACCAAAACAGTAAAAGGTCCGCTCACGATTACTGTAACGTGAATGAAATCTGCTCCAAAAACACTCTTAAAAGCAATACGTTGCACTCTGTTGTAATATTACTAAATAAAAGCCCAAATGGTGATTACAAATACTGGAATCCTTTAGCTACTGCACTGCTTCATCTCACTGTATCTCATATTACTGGAGTCTTTACCTTTGATTGTGACTCAGAAGCATGCAAACCTGTGCCTTCCATAACATTGCCCCAAACTCCTTTTCCTGCCTACAAAAGCAGTATTTAAAATCCAGACTCGTGAAATGATTTGAGCAAAGATCTATTTTTGTGGCCAGCTCTACACAAGCTGCCTAAAACTCTACAGACACAGATATATACATATGCACTAAATATACTGCAATGTTTAGATTATTTAAAAAAAAAAAAAGTTTGAGTTTGATGTATGGTGTATGTATTATGCACATGCCTCTATGTTCACATGTCCCGTGATGAGAAATGTACTATTTCAAGCACAATGGGAACTCTGGGTTCTGAGCTGTGACATACTGTGCTATTCATAATAAATATTTTATACGTACTGCACCCTTTCCGTTGTCTCTGAGGAATGACTTGTGCCGTGTGTCATCCTGCGTGAGTTGTGGATCCCCGGCTGGCAGTGAGGGTGCGTCTCGAAGACGTCGTAGCTCAGCAGGTGTATTCTCCCGCTGATCTTCTTACGTCAGATAAAACCTTTGCAGTTTTTTTGCTCATTTAAGAGGATTCCTCGCTGACCCCCGCTCACACTGATCCTACTTACCGAGGCAGATATGATAATCCCGAGTACAGAAATCAGCTAATGGACACCTTGAGGCTCAACGGAACAATGCAGAAAAAGAACACGTCGCAATTTAATTACACCCCGGCAGAAAGCTGGTGTTAGGAGCAGGGAGGCAGGCCTGCTCTGGTAACAACGTGTGCAGCAACGTGTGCAGGTTGGTGATTAGGCAGCGGCACCTCTGACTTAAGATTCACCAAGTATTAAACTAATCCCCTTCATGCAATACCCCAAAGCTGTTTGCTCTCTTTACTGTGCACAATGAAAAACACAAGGATCAGATTCTACTTCTCACATCACACTCTCAAAAAAAGCTTCGTTGAGCTGAAGTGTTTGCATTCAAAGCACTGCTCAAAAGAAGGTTTCAACCGACACTGAAATAGATTAGAGTTTAAGATGCAAAAACTCTTCTGGTTGTTAAACATTTGTGAACGGCTGTGACTAAGTCCATACTTCATCTTTTTTAATGTGCTGGTCTTAAGACCCTGCTAATTCCTTTATACACTGACAGAGACACAAGAAACAGATGCAGCAGAATTAAAGCTTGAAGCTTAAAGCATGAATTAAAGCTTGACATTCAGTGTTTTGTCTGAGCTTCTTTATTTTCCATCACAACCATTTTTGTCTTTTCTTAAAGGAGTCTTCAGGAACAGCTTTTCAGGCTTCTTGAAGGACAAATCTCCTCCTCTGATGTTGGATATCTCAGGTCCCGTGTCTTGCTATTTTTCTAATTTCTTTGGAAAAATCCATCTCAGATACTCTTTATCTACTGTTGACAGTTAATTTTAGGCCTGCCATTGCTTTTGTCTTCCCTTTGTCCAGTTCCCTCAATTGGTAAGAGCTCATGGCACTTCTTTGGAGCAAAAATGCTATTTCATATCTGTCAAACTGTCCTATTTGAGCATATGATATTTAAATGCCTCTCTGCAACTGCAAATGAGGTTTTCCCAGTTGTCTGTTATGTGGTGACATAACACTGATTTACCCCTAGAGTTTGGTATTTGTGCTTTACTGGCTAATCTTCAATGTTAAGAGATTTAAGTGATTTAAGAAGCAATAGATTAGTTCGCTGAACATGTAGTCTTATGGAGGTGGGAAAAGCAGCCACTGTCCAAACAGATACTTAGAAAAACATTGGTAGGTTGGAGAACATAAATGTAATGTCAAGTTTTCAAGTTATTTCAAAGTCTTAACCTGCCAGATGAGGAAGTTTAATCAGACCCTTCTCTTCTACAGCAGGATCTATTAGCCCTGAAAAACTTTGTGGCTTGTCATCTATTTTAAGCTTCAAGTTAAGTTTCAAGTTATTTTTTTTAAGATCAAAAGGTAACAGAGAGTTGACGTGAGAGCCCCAAAACTGAACCCTATTCGTTTTCTAATCTTCTAAAACCAATAATATATGAAAAATGTTATTGCTGTAGTGCAGTCAGTCTGTAATTTTCAGGTTGAATTATTTTAACGAGTGGCAGCTCTATCATTTGGTGATTACCCCCTTTGGTGATTTCAAGCCGTTTCACTAATATCCTTCAGCTCTCGTAAAGGCCGTGCAGCTCAAAGAGTCATTTATTTATTTTTTTTGTTTACAATGCTGGTGTGGAGTAGATATTTCTTTTTAAGCAACTGTGAGATTTTAATTAGTTCATTTTAATCATTTCAGGACATCAAAATGATGACGTCAACCATTTATCTCTCCACCTGAATTTCCATTGGTCCTTTCTTACTTGAAGCTAATATTAATGATGACTCATCTGCTTGCCAGCATACAGAAGATTATGCATATAAAGACAGCTCCAACTGTCTGCCTATACTACTTTCCCTCGGATTTGGGGGGGGGGGGGGGGGGGGGGGGGTCTTAGGTTAGCACACACAGTTGAGTTCAGGTGTGAGGCTTCCGGCCGTTTACAGCAATCTCACGCTGCAACTTAAGCAGGAACACAAAGCCACACCAACATTTCTCACATCAGGACACACAAAGGCCTCTTCTATGTCCCCCCCCCCCGCCCCCGCCCCCCCGCCCAGCCCAGCCCGTTTGTCTCCATTAGCCAGCAGAGGAGGCAGCTGGGGGAGCCTGAACTGCAACAAGGCTGCAGGTCAAGAGCGTGTCAGCCCCGGTGTCCTGAGGGCCTGTTCGGGAAAAGCTATGTGGGATTCCATAGCGCATCCACAGCTACAGTGCTGTGAAAGACATTCTGCCTTATTATGGTGCCTAAATAGAACAAAAGCTACTAGACTTAGAGATTAGAAACCAGTTATTCTATCGCCCCACACTGTCAAGATCCTGGAGAAAATGTTGCTGGCTCAACTAAACAACCCCATGAATCATTTTCAGGAACCACTAAGGTTTTCCTTATTGACCTGGGAGGGTAGTTGGTGATGCCATTATCTAATTGCCTCAGTAAATCCATTCTCATCTGGACAGAGCAGGCAGCACTGTGAGGATCCCAGTCTTTGATTTCAACAGTGCCTTTAACACCATTCATTGGGTCTGAGTAAGTCCTCAGCAGCACCGGAGCCCCACTGGGGACTGTATCCCCTTTGTTCTGCACTGCTCGAACTTGTGTACAAATCAGTGCTTTCGTCTTTGGATATCTCCAGAAACATGTACAAAGAGTGTCCTCTGGACACCGCTATGGTCCCAGTACCTTCAGTCAGAGGTTTCTTCAGCTCCACTGCAATAAGGACACACACAATAACTTTTCAAGTGAATGATTTATGATTAGGTTTTTCCTTTCTTTATCAAACACATTTTAATCATTATTGTACTGCAGCAGTATAATTTCCCGTTGGAGATTAAGAAAGTTATCATCTTTAATATCAAAACATACTACATCTTGTCATTTACTTAATAAATATAGGACCAAAAAATAAACATTGAATAAAAAAACTTGGCTAAACTTAGCTGTGGCACTGAAAAGTTGTGATTTGGATACAGTTCTAGAACAGTGTTAGTGTCTCAAAATGCTAGTGTATAGTCACTAAATCTTATTAGCATTACTAATGGGATTCAGCTGAGAGAAGGAAAAATATTACGCTGAACAGGTTCCTTCCACTCTGTTCTTCACCTATGGGCTAAATTTGATTGCATAGCAAGCTAAAATGGGCAGCAAACATGAAATTTCTCCAGTTTACTGCACCACTGAGCAATACCTTATCAGGCTCATGTGACCAAAACAGACTCAGTTTACATTCTTTTTACAGTCTCTTTACAGATTTGATGAGGCTTAATGAGTAGAAAATGGTGCCTTAAGGCTGCTATTACAGAATGGATTGAGAAGCTGCGTCTCCCCTTTCTTTACAGCTGTGTGCACATTCATTTTTCACAGTACAGGATTCTTTCCTTTCCCTGTACTGGAGATATTTTGAGCAGTCTTGCAGATTTTGGAGAGCAGCTGCACTTAAGCCATGTTTGGGCGGTTTCTGTGGCTCAGGGCCAGGTGCACTCTGGAGGCTCCGGCTAGTGAGAGTGAGGAGCTGGTAGTTGAGATTCTCTCCTACCAAGTCAAGGCAACTCATGATGGGTGAGAAGTCCAGTCAAGTCCAATCTGAGCAAAGCAGTAGAGAAAAGCAAGCATTGGCGGGGCGATGGTGGACCAGCCTGAAATGGGGAAAAAATGAATAAGATTAATAGATTTGTCCAAAAAATTATATTTGCGCAGAGAGTCATGGTTACTGAAAATCAGGGTTAGAAATCCTGGTGAATTCAACTCAAACTCAGCTTGGAGCCGACCACTTTATAGTTACCAGTGCTTAATAGTCTGTGGTTTTCACATTTCTCCCATTGTGTTGTGTTATGGTTTTGTTCTTTTGCTATTTATAGGTACTTCTTCAAGGGTCAAGTGGAGGCAGGTAAGGACAGCTGTCTGCGCCTCCTCCCAACTGGCATGCTTCCAAATTATCTGAGTAACCCGCACCTGCACCCACAATGCTTTTCAATAGTCTATTCTTATCTATTCATACAAAATCTAATTCACATACACAGTGGGCGAGTTATTCACAGCTGAGCTGTCCATTTTTCTCTCTGTGGAAGAGAGGTTACATTGGAAAGGTCTAGAAAAGCCATATTTTGAAGCTATGTAATTGTTTGTTGGTTAAACGTGTCTATATATCTATATATCTTGTCTTTAAATGTCCCGTTATAATTTATTCTAAATCAGATTGCTTGCTACACAAGCATAAACGAAAAAGCATTTGTTTCCAGTAACAATGATGTAATGCTGATATAAATGTATGAAATTAAAATAAACTGTGTATTCTCCTGGCTTTTAACAGCCTGAGGTAACATAACATTGATAAAGCCATAGTAGCTAAAATTGTAACGATGTCTACTCTGAGTACTTTTGATATGATGTATTTCTGTGTAACTTGATCATTTCTCTATTTCTGGGGGCTGCCTGCATGTTTTTCTGGAATACACCCTGCACCTACAGTATTACAAGTCTTCTCCCACATGAACCTTTACAGCTGCTGACCTGACTTTACCCTGAAAAGCCATCCTGAACCTGTTCAGTCCTCTAAAAATGGACACATAGCTAAGCTTTTGCGCTGCATGAGGCTGCTTTGAAGGATACACACACCTCAACCCTAATGTGTGTCACTTCAAGCTAAAACTGATGGTGCAAGCAGCTGCAGGCACTCCAAGTTTCAGATGCTGACTAGGCTCCTATAAAACCTGTTAATATTCACTGCGACTGGGGTTTTCACCATTCTTGAACTTAACTCAGGGGGACACATACAACTAAAGACACTGTGTGATCAGGAAATTGTAAACTTCACCAGATTGGTCAGAGAGCTATTACACTCCATTGATCTCCTGATTGATCTCATGTTAATAAAAGGGTCCCACCCCACAAATGGTTTATTTAGCAGACACACAGACACAAAGAGCTGCCTCAGGCATATCTGTTGGACCCACTCCTGAAAGCAGAAAAAACACCAGCAGTCTATGAAAAATCAGCAGCATGATAAAGTGCTTTGTGAAATGATCTATTTCAAATCTTTTTCAGTCGGCCTATTTTTAGCGTCTCGACAATCTGAGTGAATTACCATAAAAGCAAACTAAGATTCTCACTTCAGATTCCAGCTCTTGCTCTGAATAATTCATAGGGGAAATTGTATTTCCAAACAGCCTTCTTTTATTTTCACCAAGTGTACAGAACGGGTGTGTGTGAAAGAGGTCAGAAGAAGCAGAGGAAGAATAACGTTATGCACCATTTGCTGCACGCCTCGCAGGCTTCCACCAAGTTTTTACTACCACAGCACGACTCATAGCTGGATCGCGACCTTTGTGGAACAATCAGGGAACACACAGTAATAAATGGTGACAAAGAAAATATTACACACATATACACCAGCTTCCTGAAAACTGCCTGTTAGACTCGGTGTGCTCACACTTAATGCCAAAAGGGCCAAAACCTGATGTTATCACAGTACTTACCAGCACCAAGTGGAAATCGATAGATTTTTTGCTAAGTAGTACATGTTTTCTGATCCGGAGGTTACAGAATACTTAGAACGAGCTGGAAATTGTGTACTCTAAAAAACGTTTATGGTCATGGTGTGGAAACACGTCACATGTTGGAATCTTTCAGGTGATCATCTGGAGGTTTAGACACCACAACCTTTTGGGAAACAGCTTTCTTTACCTTGTTGACTAAAACTGGTTGACACAGTGCAGCACTTAGAAGCTTCAGATCCTCATGTTTCTCTTTAGATGAGAGGCTAAAAACTACAAAATCATTTGCAAGAATATGACACCTGTAGTAACTCAATGAGGAAATAACATATTAACCTAATTATTGTGTTTACAATTCCTTCTACCGCCTCTGAGGGAAAAATGCCACGAGTATCTCTTTAAATCTAGTAAACAGCACTATTCAGTTCAGCCTTAATACGTAGCTCTTGTTAATGTATCTGGCAGATTGTGATGGTGCTGCTGAATTCCCAGAGCTGACTCCGCTCCGAGCCCAGCAGCGAGGGAAGCTCAGCCAGCTTATCATAAGTGGACAGGCTTCAGGAGGACCTGTCATCTTGCTTTAGGTGCCAAATGAGCCGAACAAAGGCCCAGGGAGCAAAACAGGGCCTGGCACAACCATAAAGAAGATGTGTCCCTCTGTTTATCCGTGCACATGCACAAAACGGCCTCCTGTTTAATCATTGGATCCACTATAGAGCAGCATTCTAACACATTTAACAACTTCTAACATAAGATCTCTATCCAGATGTTCATTCAGATATGGAGACTAATCAGTTAAAGCCGGATATACTATTAAAAACTTACATTAAAAAAAATCATATTTCAGTGGAAACAATTTGGGAGCAATGTGCACGCGCGATCCCAGCGGAGTGAGTGCAGTGGAGGGCAATTTACCTTGAACAAAGACACGCTTCCAGAAGATTCTGCCAAGATGTATACCCCCAAGGAACACCAGATTAGACAGGATGAGCATTGCAGTTGAGAAAGCAGAGAGAAGGGCAACACAGCGTCTCTGCATCACCATGGAGAGATTCTGCTCCTGGGAAATCAGTAAATAAATAAGTAACAGCAATAAAAAAGAAAAAAAGAGAAGAAATTCCACTGCAGAGCACAGAAAGAACAACAAACACCTGATTATGCAGCATAACACCACCAGACTTAGGTACTATTCTGTCTCTTTAAGCAAAACAAAAGAGGATCTCCACTTATACTGCCAACATTAATTTAGAACATTAGCAGGGCATGCAAATCAAATTTGTATTTTCAATCAGATTGCATGACTTGTTTGACTTATTTCTGGATACATGAAAGAAGTAATGCTTTCTTAAGTCTTGAAAAGGACATTTTCCATCTCTGAGCATTTTTTAAAATCTATTTATTTTTTTACTGTTTTAGGGTTAAACTGCTGTATTTGAAACTTACAGCCATTGGCTGAACAAAGGAGGAGGCAAAGAGAGACTTCAGGCTATTCTCCACCAGAACTCCAGCCCAATTCATCAGAGCCCAGTACCGTAGGTAGTCATGGCCACCGTGCCAGAGGCAGACAAACCCAAACGCCAGGCCAGTGGATAACACTTTGTAAATAGGGCCGTGCCGTGAACCTCCCAGTGGGACGTAGATGTATCTAAAATATGGAAAAAGAAAGTCACATAAAACATAGAAAAAGCTGTGCAGTTGCAAGAGAATTGATAAACATTAAAGCAGCGTGCACTAATCCAGAGCAAATGCTTATTTCTTTTATAGTTCCTTGAGAATGAGTGGAAATACAGAATAAAGTACAAGTATAGCCTGAACCTTATCAGACCAGCTGTTCCTTTCTTTAAGGAGTAATCAGGAACAGCTCTCCAGGCTACCTGAAAGACATGCCAAAGCTCTTCTTTGGATGTGGGCTTCCTTTTGTTCTGTTCTCTGTCAGATGATCCCACACTGCTTCAATAATATTGAGCTCCGGGCTCTGGGGAGGATTCACCCCTCCATCAGACCTGCTGCCACTGATTTTCAGTCCACTTCTTGTGTCCTTTGGGCTGAGATCAGCATTTTCTCCCTGCCTCTTTTCCTTAATAACGGCTTCCATGGAGAGCATTTCTGATGAAGCTTGGGCCAACAGAAGATGGATCAGCTGAAGGTCCAGATGCATTTCTAAGATCCCAGGTCAGCTCATAGCTTTTTTTTTCTCATTTCTTAGACCCCTCAATTTCAGACACTCTTCATCCCCAGAATATAGTTTTCAGACTTTTGCCACTTTTTAAAATATGCTGGGTTTGTTTCAGTCACATTGAACAGCAGGCAGAGATATGCCACATTTTCAGCTCAGAGCTCTTTGGATATCATCTTGCTGGGGCAGAAAATGCAGCTTTATGTCTGCCATGCAGGGCTCTTTCTCTTTGGCTTTTTTCAGAGATGCAACAGAAAAGAATCCAGCACTATGTGGCCCAGTCACAGAAGTGCTTGGACAGGGAAAAGTTGTTGAGAAGTACAAACTCAGCCTGTTTCTGTACGCTTTCTTAAAGACACAAATGCCAAAGTCTCAGCCATTGAGCTTTTGTTGCTTTTCTGTCTGGATGTTTTATAGTGACCCCGATAAAGACCATGAGCCAAAACACATCGGTGCAAAACAGTAAAGTCGCTTCTCTTTTTTTTTCATGTGTTGCTGCCATTCTGACACGACAACAGAAGAACCCGTTGTCCCTCATGTCTCAGGACAAAACTGGTCCTTCCCTTGAGTTAGATGTCTTTTGGGAAAAATGAGGGACAGCTCTCAGCTTAGCACAGTGTTGCATGACCCCCACACTTAAAAAATAATTACTTTTAAAGTGGTAGGACAGGAAATACAGTTAATGGAGAAGGTGTGAAAATGGGTCACTGATGAACTGGTGTCTTACAAAGAATGCCCTACCCAGAAATGACCCTATGATGCTCGTTGATTACTTTTTATCAAAAGCAGTTAATGAGGCCCTGATCTCCACTGAAAAAACAGAGAACTTCCAGGGAAAATGTTCCCTGTGATTTACCATATTGATCTTGCTTTATCTACTTCTTTTGCTTGAATGAAACCTTTTTTTCACATTGGTCAGTTAACAGGAATGCAAAGGCAAACTAAATATTATGTTTGTAAGATCATTTATCAAACTCTAAAAATATTCCAGCTCATAACTCATGCATTAGATAATACCGTGCGTGGTATAAAAATAGCAGATGCATACTCATTAGATGGCACATTTGATGTGAATAATGCAACACCAATCACTAACAGACTCATACGCTGTGAGAACCTCATCTGTCCCAGAGGTACTGACAAAGTCTGAACATGCTACATCAGTCCAGCACAGTCAACAAACATCTCATTGAGAATAGTGCTGCTGAGCCGGGAACTAATTATCTCAGCCGCCCTGTGGCTAATCAATGTTTGTGAAAGATGAGCCAGCGTTTTCTGAGCCTTAAATAGAATGGCTAGCTTTGCCGACTTGCAGGATGAAAGTGGGGGGAGAGAAGAATACCTAAACACACTGAGCACCTACTCCTCATTTTTATTCATGTGGATGTTAATTAATTATGAACTTGTGCTAACAAAAAGTTTTGTATACAAGTACCTGAATAATCAATGTATTTCACACCAAAACAAAAAAGTGTTGACTAGCTCTATAGGCTATTTTAGGAAGCTGTAGGAAATCATTGGATTGCAGAGATGTGGGGTGAAAAAATATAACAGTGAAATAATTTTAACTGCTGTCCCTGCATCCAATCCAACTTTGGTCCTGATGCAAATGTTTACAGCTGATGTTTGTGAGGTTACAGGATCAAATGCTGCTCCTCTTCCACGGCTGCCGTAACTCAATCATTCACCCTGTAAGAGCTCTTTTGTTGGCCGATGACTGAGCCTGAGTGAAACAGAGGACCTGAAACGCAGCGGTACACAGGCAGGGAACGCGTAATGGAATGGCAAAGAATGAGCCACTTAGCTGCCCATGGAGACGAGGTGTCAGTGAGTCATGTAGAGCACATCATTTAACACCTACGCGTTCATCCAGCGCTCTTCAGACTATTCCAGCTGAATTTCGGAGCTGCATTAAAATGTCTTTAAAAGCACTTTAGCAGGAAGAAACTGCCGGGGCATTGTGTCACTGGTACCATTTCACATCTGCAGGGGAATAATTGCAAGTGATGCCGGAGAAAACACTTTCCAGCGGGCATGGGCTAAAATGGAAACCGGTATTTGCAATTTAAATAGAGGTATCTTAAGCAAATTAATTAGTGCCACTTTACCAGGCTGACATGTATTCTTGTTACACCTGAAAAGGAGATGTGTCTGAACACGGTCTAAGTGTATCCTGAAGAAAGAAAAATGTCACTGTCATGAACGTAAATACTAATGAGAAAATAATAACCAAGAAAATGAACTTTTTCCTTTTCCAGAGTATTACTGTGTGCTCTCTGACAGCCGCACAGCTTTAGTGCTGCTTTGACGTGGCAGTGTGCGTCTACCTAGCAGACCACAAACTCCCAACAGGCTGTACTCAGCCGAGTGTGCATCATTAAAACCGAACAGACTAATAACGTGCGTTGTGCAAAGGAGGAGTGAGAAAACACATAATCCCCCCCATTACACATGCACATATTAAGCGAGGAGGCATTTCTCCATGGTGCGAGAGCAGCAGCGAAACACAAGAATTATTCACTAATAACATGTAAACCTCATAAGCATGAGAAAGCCTGCGTGCAAATGCAGCATCCTTCTCCATTGTGAGGAAACATGTGGGCAGGCAGCCGGAGAACGGCGCCTCTTTTAAGATAATTCATCTGCCAAGTTCAGCGTCCAGTATCTTTAAAAGTAAACAGCAGATAAAGTGCACGAGTGACACAACTGCAACAGACAAAATAATCTGGTTTGAAAGCTACTATTTGATTTAAATAACATTTCTCGTTTTTAGTAAGCATTAACATCTGAATTAGTCGGTCCACCGCTCGTGAAGAGCCTCTTACCTGATGAGCCATCGATACAGCCCCTCATCAAAGTGCCTAGGAGGGGAAAAAAATGGATATTTGAGTCACTGATTTACATAATAATATAGCACTGAGTAAGAAACACCTGAGCTCTGGGTCTCACATAAACCGAGACCTGTGCTGTGTCTACCGTGTGGTACGTGTGCTTCTTCATTGTCACTAAAGAGATTAGACTGTACACTCAAACTGTTTAGTCAATGATGTTCGTGGACAGCTTTATGCATTCCATCAATGTTTTGCAGCCTTGGCCAGCTCAGCATGCACAGGATGGATCCGAGTGCACCACAGTCAGCATATCGGTGGGTCTGCAGCACAAACAGTGCGTTTTATCATGCAAAACCGAGCGCGCTGCCCTCCGTCTCCACTTTATGAGCACCGAATTGTTAATTCGGGAGGAGGAATGACTGCTGAGATACTCAGATACAATTTCACAAGGCGGTTCAGTTGTTGCTTTTTGACACTTTTATTGCATATTAAAGGATATTATTTTGTTATCACATAGCAGAGGGTTTGCATTTAGATTTTACAAGTCCCGCTCCAGCATGAATTCCTTTAAAATTAAACTTTTTCAGTCAACGGTTTGTTCTGTTGAAATGTGACTTACCTCCTGAGGAAAAACACAGCTAAAACTGTATTCGGTGAAGATTGCTGTTATTTCCTTGGAGAATGCATAATGCAGTCAAACAACAGTTGTGGAGTTAGTTCTCACTCATATGAAGGGGATAGACAGGAAACCACTGACACCTGTCAGTGTAACACTGAAGAACCTCAGATTTTCTTTCTCAGCAGTGTAACAACATCGAAAGAATTATTTAATTAAAACAGGGCCTGTGAGTTAAGCAACTTTGACCTCTTCGCATAAATCAGCAATAATCTATCTCTTGACATTTTTTTAGTTAAACAAGATTCTCTATCTTTGTTTCTATGTTGTTGTTTTTTTGTGGAGTGACTGGAATAACTCAATAACAGGTGACTGTGTCTAAAATGAAATTCGAAATCGACACAGCATAAAAATAAACAGATTTTTGGTTTTGTTCTCTTTGTCAAACGGGGAAATAATTGTAATTAATCTAGACTTTTAATTCTCAAATTTTGTAGCAGGATTTTCTCCATAGTTTAAAGAATGCTGCTACAGTTCTGCTTTCCTGCACAGAAAAAACATATTTCTGCGTGTAACAAAACTATTTTAGAGACACAGTGCTCATGATACTGTGGTGACCCATTGTTCTACTGCCTGTCATGACACAAGATGAGACTATTCTCTTAGCGTAGTCGAAGCGTGATTGCTGAAGAACATCGAGCACTAATAGCATTTGACTTTAAAGTTACCTATTCCTTATGGGTACCGGGGAAGTTTTTCCCAGAACAGTGTGAGACTGAATTTTAAGTCATGACATCATGGTCTTACCTCCACATCCCTGTGAAACTGTACATGATGCTGACACAGCGAGGCAGCTTTGGAGGGACCAGTCCGTCCAGAGTAGCAAGCATGGACGGAAACCCAAATAACACCAGATACTTCACATAGAAGAACTGGACAAGAGCCAAGGCCAGACCACCTTGGGGAGACAAGAAAGGAGCTGTTCAAAGTATCAGTTCTTGTTTCAATTGTTACAAAGACTTTTGCATATTCAGAAGAGAATATTTTTTTATTAGAAGTCCAGTCAATTTGAATTCAGCAGCCAATATTCAGAGACACAATCAAGGTTGATTAGCAATTGTCCTTTAAACTTGTTAGAACTGCTATGTACTGCTCTCATTTAAAAAGACGACACAAGAATGTTTGTGAGTCTGTCCTAAATTTGTCCACAGTCTCTTCCTGCCGATGACAACAGCTTCATTGAAGGCTACTGAAATTTATTAGTGGGAGCGACTCAAAAACAAACTGTCTGAATATGCAGAAAAACTGTATTTAAAAAAACAAATCATTAAGAAGGTGTGAGGACTTACCCAGGGCCCAGGGTGGAAGTATTTCAATGTAGGTCTCATTGGATTGGATGGAGTGCATGTACATGCTGTGTATCATGAATTCTGCTATGCACCACCACAGTATGATCCGTCCTGATCTGAGCAGCAGGTATCTGAGGGCAGATTCATCCTTGTTGCCCTCCTCAGCAAACCTCTGCATCTGCCAGTAGAGCAAAGGAACATAGTGTTAGAGGCTGCTGGTAAGACTTACAACCAGTAACGTGAATGATATCAGGCTTTTGATAAGAATATGACGATGTAGGAATCTGCTTTCTAGGGAAAAAAACATGTATCAGAAGTTATGTAGATGGCTCCACTTGACCAAATGAATGGCTCTGATCCATTTACACATGGAGAAATTCAACTTAGTGCCACTTATGCTGCAAATGCACGACTGCTGATGTGTAGTTTACCATGTTTTCAAGACCCGTGTTAAGGAGCAGAAACATGCCTGTGGGCTCTTACCTGCTCCGTGTATGCTTTATAAGTGATGATGGGTCCATTGTAGAAAAAGGGATGATAGAAGGTGTATGAAAACAACCAAAGGAGCTGTACGAGTCCACCGTGGTCCGCAGGGTTCCAGCAGTGCTCCAGGCTGAAGCTGATGAAGCGCAGGCCACAGACAGCGGTGCTGAAGAGCAGCAGATAATACTCCTCCTCTGTGCTGTACCAGCCCCTCTGTGTGATACAGTGAGAAGGCCAGTTACACTGAGACGGCCTCTAGGTTGGGTTGTGAGGACTGGAAATCTCAATATATTGCTGGAACAAAGGAATCTGCTGTGTGGACTATTGTGTCATCAGATACTGTGCATCAAAGAGTGTTCTTAAAGATACCGTGGAGACCAATGAGAAACTGATGCAAAGACTATTTTTATTTTAGAGGAATTTAAAGGAAAACAAATGGACTAAAAAATAACTAGTCTAAAAAGTCACATTACAAACTGATTTTGAATAATTTAGGTGTGTCACACTGTAATTACAGCGCTGGAATGAATGAGGAAAGACACGGACTATCCACTCATGATGAATGAATCCTGGAATTCTCCTGTCTGATCCGCATGCTTCCAATAGATACATTCAACATTTATTCACAGTTAGGATTTGCAACAAAAACAGAGCAGACAGAAACCTCTGCATCCCCTTGGTTTCCTCTGCCCTCTTGTGTTTATTTTGAATATAACATTTGGTTAAAATAAAGATGAAGAGTCAAACTCACCTGAATTTCTTGGAGTGGCTGATAGTGAAGTGTGGAGAGCAGCAGTAAGTTACTTATCCAGGACAAAGCTGGCTTTCTCAGCTGGGCCACTGTGAAGGACACACCCAGATGTACCAGCAGCACGCTCACACCTTTAACCCCCAACTGTCTGCCAGCAGCTAGGAGGCCATATATGGCGAGGGCTGGTACCTTCAGCTGTTGGACAAACATTACATATGAGTTTGATATAACATGTCCAAGCTAATATTTATGTGTATTCATTTAATGGTACCTTTGGGTAAAAGATGCCGGCCAATCTTGATATGACCCCATGAGCAACAAGAGTCCACATTAAAGACTTTTTGGCATGTTCAGTCCAGAGACTCCACTCAAAGTCTGATGGGTCCTGACGAAAAGATGGTTTTGTGTAGCACAAAATAAATCAAAATAGGACAAAAGGCTCTGACTGGGTTTTAAATCTTAAACTTACCCTTTTCCAACCTTTAAGAAAGCCCTTTTCCAACTGCAATTCTCTCACTAACCCAGCTTCATGTTCTAAGGTACAAAAAAAAAGTCAAATTTATCTTCACCTTTCCATTCAAAATTCAACAAAGTAATTTTTGTATATCTGTGTAATTTACCTTTGGAAAACACGTGAAGGTGGTAAAAAGAGTACAGATGAGAACCAAAGGACAGGACCCAATACAGAAGGGTCTCTGTCCATGGCAAGGGCGACACCTTGGGCTGTGACTTAGCTGTCATAGGGTAAAGTCCTTTAAAGCTATAAAAGACCTTAAAGGGAATTAATAAAAAAAAACATTAAAAAAAAGGGAATTGGTGTTATCTTTAATCCAAGCCTTCATTATTTTAAAGATTAAATAGCACTTTTTGCACTAATTTTAAGTCACTCTAAAAGGTGTCACGAATAAATGATAAAAAATGTTTGTAAAATATCCTGATAGCCAAAGACACTACATTACAAATTTAGAAGAGACACATTTGACTGTGACATATTTTTTAACAGATATCAACATAGAAACAAATATTATCATATCACAAATAATATCAATCAGATGTGAAGAATTAAGATGTTCAATTATGAAAATTATGAGTTTATTTTTTTTACAAACAAAAAAAAAAGTGTTCATAACAACAACATTTGTGCCAAAGTTGATATTTTAAAACCCTATTAACACGTGTTGGGGCATAAAATCAGAAGATCGTCTGGTCTCAACTTCTTCAAAACATAAGCCATATATTAATATTTATTTTCGATGCTTCTTTTAGTTCTAAATCTAAAAAAAAAACATTTACGTTCAATTTAGCGAGATGTTTCACCGCTGCCAGTCTGTACCGTTGCTAGGTAACAATGATGTCGCTGTCTATGACGTAGAACCCGAAAGTATGCAGCTAATATTAGCATTAACGGGCTAAATGTATATCCCGTTATGACTGTATATGAGATTATGGCAGGAAAGACGACACAAAGTAGGCGTCAATACTAGCTTTCGCGTTGATTTTGGCCATTTGTTCCACTCCAACATTGTTTTGTTACCATGAAACTTTAGTGAGCTATTCTAAACGACGGTCGGGTTTAAGCTAAGCTAGCTACTGATATGAGCAGGTTATAAAGTTACCAGATGATTTGGGGCTGGTGTCCATTTCGTGGCTGTTACTGAGACTTCACGTCGTTAGACTTCACGATTTAAAAGTAACCTGCTTTCATCGATCCCGGTATCATTCAAAGGTGCTGTTTTCTTCTGTCTCGTATTTTCTTCTTGTTTCGTCGTGTCAAAAAAATGTATCGCCCCCAACTGTGCGGGAGCGCCGAGCCGAGTGCTGTATTCCAATATTTTGAAGTACAGTTAAGGATAGTGTTGATTTAGTATGCTCATAATTGTCATTTGTGTTTGCGGATATGTGTGTGAATTTTATTAAATGTATCTTTATATGTGGTTTGTCTGTTGTTCGTATCTATCCTCCTTGGTTATAAAAAAGGGGGAAATAGACACATTCAAACTGTCTAACAGTTTATGAATTAGCTTGGGTTAGTCTTGACCTGCTTATTCAAAAAAAGATATTCAGCAAAACTCATGTCACAGACTCTGTGGAGTAAACTTCCTGTTTGTTGTGCAGAGCACAGAAGAGCAAATACATCTTGATATCACATCTTTACCTTAAAGCTACTATGATAATTATTGATTTGCGCAAAAAAAGTTATTTTCTCTCAGGCAAAAGAAATCTTGGTCATCATAAAGTCAAGGTTTTGAATACACAACAGGAGGAGTGTGATGATTTATTGTTGTGAAACTGTTTTGGTGCAGTGCTTGTCAGCAAAAGCATGGACAGTGAATTAGACAGGTCTGGGGATTCCATAGCTCTATAACTGATCTGAGAATCTTAACAAAAAAGGTAACAAGAGACGACAAGTATGGCAGTAAGTTCACATCAAGACAGCATGCACGAGTGTGACAGCATAAACCTTTGTCCTTTCCACACGATTAGCTCTTTCCTCACTGACATCTACTTTTTTCAGACAAAATACGGCCGAATAAAGCTGAAACTATGTGATTTTTCCTCTCAACATAACACCTGCAGCTTGTTTCTTTGCCTTTCAGCTGAATACATAACAAGATGGAAGCATGACAAAGTCATGTACACTTTCATTTATCCTCTCTGAGACGTTCATATTCATCAGTACAACGGAAAATTTTAAACTCAAATTTTAAAATCATTTATGTGCATGTGCTAAAGTTTATCCATACATTCACGCTAGCATGTGTGTATGTGCACAGTATGTTTATGTTTTCACAGCTCATCGGTTTCTCCATCAAAAGGCACAGCATCCGTCTCCATGTGAATGCTACTGGGCTCACTGCTGCCCACCCAGCCAATAGGAGTACGGTTGAAGGAGGGCCGGCAGCCAATGTCATGTTGGTACACCACGGCAGGTTCAGGCTCCTGTTTAGTTGCCTCTGTGTCTGGCAGCTGGAATTTCAAAAACTGGTTGGCCTTTTCAAAGCCTCCGAAAGGCATTGCAGTCCTAAGAAAGCAAGGTGAAAGCAGAAACAGAGTAAAGGCACCAGTTTGTCCAGAGTCAGCTAAACATTGAGGAACTGAGGAATTACCTGTTAAAACTCTTGTACTTGAGGATATCCTTTGGGGCAATGGGACCTGGCATTGCAGATTTTAAAGTGGACAACAGATTTTCATCTCCCTTCATGGCTTTCTCCCATGGTGACATGTATGTCTTCACATGAATCTCTGTCTTGGTGCCACCATCTTTGCCACCATCTGTGAAGACAGGATCCACAGCTAGAATTTACTGCCATTGGTTTACAGAAATATGCAATAAAAGAATACCAAGAGAAACAAAAAATGTTTGTTTTTTAAAACATCAAATCCAGTTTAATTTTATTCTTCATTATTGCACATTTTATATCTTATCATTCATCTTTGAAATGATTAGCTAATCATTAAATTCTGCTTTTTGTTATTCTGCTAAGATTCTGCTAAGAAAAAAGGGATGCCAACCTTTTAGAAGAGACCCATCACTCAATCCGTCTCCTCTTACACCTGTACCGTCCCCCGCCAGTCCTCCTGCACCTCCTCCTGCACCTCCTCCTACACCTCCAGCTCCCCCTGCACCTTTACTTCCGGGCTTTGGAGGAGGCACGGGGGCTCTTCCCATGTGTATCACTCCTAAATATGGATGTCCATACTCTTTACTAACATGGTGTCCACCAACATTAATTATCTGACCTCCCATCTGACCTCCCAGAGATGGAACAAACTTCTGGAGATTGTCCTGAAACAAAATCAGAATCATATCATCACGTTTCCATCCACTTGACAGGTACATCGATTTTACAGTTCACTCTAGAGTTTTTGCTAAATAATAATCAAAAACAATGTTTTTGTTAACTCCATGGATATTTAAAACTCTAAATGTGTTGCTAACAGTTTGCTCTTGCTGAGATCATTTGAAAGAATCACGTGTTGGATTTTGTTGTCACCACACACTAGGCTCTCACCATCGACTCACTACTGAAGATGTCAGGGTTATTCTCGTAGATGAACTTCTCGACTCTCTGCTGCCTCATCCTAAACATCTTGGAGCCTCGGTTCTTCATCAGGGAAAGTTCCTCCAGCATAATGTCTTTGGGAGTTCTGATCTTCGTTCCCAGATCGAACTCTGATGCTTCTGGCTCGGCTTCAAATTCTAGGTAAGATAATACACAAATAATGACCATGATACTCTAACGCGTGAAACCAAATTCCTACTAACTTTCAAATAAAAGGAATGTTGAGTTCATCTTCCAGTTATTTCTTGTCAGACTTACCATTCTGGCTGATATGTGATAGGTCGGTTATGATCTTGGAAAGCTTTTTCCGCTTGTTTATGGGGGCAGGTGTTCCCAGAGGCATGACTGAAGGGTGAAAGTTGAAAAATACAACAACAAAAAAGGGTATGAAAAACAGATTCTGTTCACAAAAATACAGAAAACACAATATTTTACTTATTTTTAACATTCTCTATGATTCATACTCTTTATACTATTACTTATACATTCTAATGTTCATTTCATGGTGCTAGTTATGAAACAAAACTTGTAGAAAAATGGATTTAAATCAACTAAAATGTAATATCTAACAGTTGTATTAAAATTATGTGTATAACATAAATTGTAAATTTTCAAAGGAGTTGTTTTTCTTCATTTTTAATGTTCAAAGGCAAAGAATGGAGAGCATTTCTTTCAACTTTTCTCATAGCAGCTTTTCAGAGTCCCTTTATACCTCTATTCACCATCAACCCCTGAAAGTGAGTCGAGAAGCTCTGAATGTTACAGACAGGCAAACAACACAAGCCCTCCTCATTTTTCAACTTCAAGGAAGGTGTCAGTGCCCTTAGATTCCCCTCATTCCCTTGAGCAACAGATGCCAGCCCCAAAGGAAACATACAGCTCAATGTGTCTTAGTTTTGTTTGGGGATACAAGATCCGTGCTCACAGTGAGTCAACGTAAACAGAAGCACGCTCTTGTTAGGCAGAATTTGGGATTGAATTTATTCTGCAAGTCTACAATTGAGAGATTATTAGATAACATAAGCGTTATTCATACCACAAGTACACATCCCCCAACCTGATGCTCCAAGCTAAGTGGGCAGAATATTTTCCTGTGTCTCATATGTCAAGATATCTGCTTGTGCTTATAAAAAACTATCATAAACTCCATTTTACACTGCATAAGCTAATTTACTAAAATCTGAATCACATCCATGTGCTGTCCTTCATTTTAATATGACACTTTTAATATTCTGACACAAATATCAGCACATTCTGCACTAACACTTTCTTTCAGGCCCACACAAGTGGTAAAACATCACATCACATCTAGTGGCTGTAACTTAAGCCAAGCAGCTATTTTTAAAAGCCATTTCCAGCCAAGACATTTTAGTGACATGTAAAGGCGTCATTCGACTATCAAATGGGCTTGACAAAACTCTTAGGAATACCATCGACTGCAGCTGAATAACCACTGAAAGCGATTGATCGGCCCCCCCTTTCGAAAGTGAAGAGACAACAGTAATGGATGTTTATGTGGAGGATTTCCCAAAGAGTCATAAATACAAGCTAATACAGGCTTAGGGAACTCTGTGCTCAGACTCACCACCCCCCCTCAGGACCTGGTAACACCATATAAAAGTCCAGCAACGCCCACTGAGAGGGACAGTCTGCACATTCACTTCTTTTGTTCATTTAAAGACATACAAAAAAAAAACATCCAAAAGTTACCTCAGTGGCCATTTCCCTCTAATCTGTTTCACTATTTTTTTTAATGTGGCTGAAATCGAACAATTTTTCCTCATCGGCTTCTCACCCGAGAAGATTTGTGGCTAGAAACACAGAACATCTTTAATCCCTCTCCTAATTTGTGCTACGTGTGGAGTTGAAATACAAACTTTAGTTCCAATAATGGACAAACAGAGCACATTGATGGGTTTAGATCCACTCACCGGGTTTCTTTTGTAATCCTGGGATCAGAAGTACCTATAAATACCAAACAGGGAAGAAGGATCTCAGTCTTGATCACAAGTTTACAAATCCCTCAGTGCCTATGACTGGACTCAGGTCCCGGGAAGTGCAAAACCCACCCAACACTCAGATGGCAGATCTTCCAGCGGGTTGGGGGTGTGGATGGCAGGAGTGTTGGTGTCAAGACGGGAGGAGGTTGAGGTTAGGAGTATGAATATGGACGGGAGGGGGTCATTAAGACGGGTGGAGAATTCTCTACTGGCCAGCTGAAAGTGCTGATGGTGATATTAAGGGAACAAAATTATTCTCACAGATGGCTCAGAAGCCTATATTTAGTAGCAAAGAACGAGGGGAACAGATCTCAGCCATAAGATAACCTCAGAGGACTCTTGGGTGTGTTTGGGCTGTAGAGAAAGTCAAGGGGAGAAGAGGAGGATACTTTGTATGAGTTGAAGGTTACTGATATCTGTTTAGAATAACTAAGCATCACTTTGTTTCTAGGCATGATTAACTCATTTACTCCAAACCACATTCTAACCTGATACTAGATTGTCACATTTTCAGTTTCTCTGCTGCATCATGTGACTTAATGTCACGGGTGTCAGATACTCTAGCAATATTTGCATGATTGAAATAGCCCATGCAACAAATGTAAAAGTAGTGAGGAGTTTCCAAAGGCCATGGCATGGTCAGTCAAATTTTGCTCATCCTGTAGTCCCAGTAGTTTTGCTTATTATGGACCTCATTCTGACAACTGCAGCACAAGGAGAGCGAGTCCAAGGGAGGAAGACCCTGTTTTATTTCACTGCACTTTTGCATTTTTCACCAGTATTTCACACCCTTGTCAAAACATGATAATAAATACAGATGTGGAAATAACTCTTTGCAAGCAGGTTGTAGAGCTGTACACAGATAATGTGTGATAAGTCTTCTTGGTCAATGATAAATTTTTTGCATACTTGCCATATAAAAGTATGCCAAGCTCTGAAGGATGTTCATTAAAAATGGCTCTAGTCAGCATTGCGTTCTGGAGCTCACAAATTAAGTCACTGATGGAGGCTAAGCATTTTTTTGGGTGACTGGATTTGATGTGTTGCTTTGACTTTTTGATTGGTTTGATTTTCATTTTGTATACTATATTATAGTATAGTATTGTACAGTATAGCATAGTAGAGCTCTTAATGTAAAACTTGATTTTTTTATGTGTAGAATTTTTTTTTAAAGTGCTGTTTTTATTTTTCCAGGAATCCAACATGTAAGTTGGATTAATGCTGTGCAGTATGCATACTTAAAACAGTCTGCTTACAGGTGGTCTAGGTCTCATTTCTGACCAAGTGTGGCCTTACATAAGCATTATCCTAATTATTTTTGTAATGAAAAGCACCTCCTGTACAATAACTCATGAAAATCAAACATAAGTCAATCTTTTGCATCCAATTAAATGTGTTCAATTTGATTTTGTTTAAATATCTCTATTCAATTAATCTAATCTTGAGGGAAAACTCTGTAGAGGAAATTAGGTTCTATTTAAAAAAGTAGAAAAAGGAAAACATACTGGCTCCGTTTGGTGCTGGAGCTTCAGACTCATGGAAACTACAGTACAAGATGTTTCAGGCACATCTTGTTATAGACACTTTCCAGAAACTTGACCCAGTTATATTTTTTATTCTGTCTTTTTATAGCCAGTAGATTAAGAACTCTTTTTTAAATCAAATTAGTGACCTGGCAGTGGGTAAGTATTATTTTCATCAGACATAAATAGCTTTCTGTTTAGACATTAACAGCCTATATATAGACGTTCTGAGAGTGTGAATAGCATCAAAATGTCCTTCCAAACGCATTCAGTTCAGAATTCAGACTCCTGTTCAACACACCAAAGCACAGCAGCGCCACTTAGTGGCTGATGTTTAAATTGACATGGGAATCAATTCATTTTGAAAATATTTTCAGGTTTTAATGAAGACTTGTCTCAAATGTAGCCATTACTTACAAAAATATCATAGCAATGTGATTTTTTAAATCTATTTTGTGTTAAAGATGCGGCCACTATATAATAGTAGAAAATATATCCAGGTTTTTTTTAGCTCAAACTTTCTTTTGGCTCTCGATAAAAACTTTTAAACTTTAAGTTTAAATTAAAGAGAAACAGGAGGATTAATGCATTGCAACTGGTTCTTATTACCTACTGGTACCTATTACATATATGTATATATATATATATATATATATATATATATATATAGAAGAATATATTGGCAAAAAAAATACAGTTCCAAGCTAGATTCACCTCTGCCAAAGTGGAGTTTGTCAGATCTGACCCCATAGGATGCACGTGCATGATGCCCTCAGTTTTAAAGGTGTCAAGGCAAGTAAAGTGTGAAAGATTGTTGCTTTTACTGTTACCTGCAGAGGGCAGCATAGTTGTGCAGTAATCAACACTATAGTTTTAAAAATATCGAATGACTTGGACCTCCATGTGGTGCATCTGTGTTTCACCAGGTTGTTGCATATACATTTTGTACAGGTGTTCAAAAATCATCTGTCGTAGATTTTATAAATGTGCCATGTTAACATGAGTTGTTGCTGTTTTCTGTTTACCAGCCCTGTGATGGTTTGGTCAAACATTTAGAGCATTGGATGTGGTCAAAGGTTTCCTACATTATATTCATAAAATATCTGTGTTTTTTGTTTTGTTTGTTGGTTTGTTAGTTTTTTGTAGTTTAACAGTCAGCAATTTTCCTACTGATAAGTAGAGAGGAAAAAAACTGTGGATTTCTAGTCCTACTGGCAAACCTTTTCACAATGACTCTGTAAACATAAAAGTCTAATTTATTACCTGTTAGGTGTGGTAAAACTCATAATCTTTGTAGTTTTTGCAGTAATCTTCGCCAACATGATACCCTTAAACATATCAAACAGATAAAATGTATTTAGGTGCAGATCTTGAGAGAGATAAACCCCAAAGTCATCAAAGTTTGCACACAGAGCAGCTGAAAGGAAAAAAAACAGACATCCCAGACAAATGAAAGGCTTTCAAATCTAATTTTATTGCTCTAAAATGTGTCATCCTGTGGTCAGTATAAACTTCTACGAAGCATAAATAACAAACATTTCAAACTTATGGTTTTGTCTAAATGTACCCAAAAACTTGTATATTATATTTTGTAATTAACTAATTGCACAACTTTTGTATCTATTTCATATGAAAACCAGCCATTTAAGAGAAACTATTCTTTAGAAATAGTAAAAAAAAAAAAAAAAAAAAAAAAAATAAATCCCTTTCAATTATTCCACACCTAAAAATAAAAATTTATTTGTTTCTTACATCTTCCCATAACCACAACCAGTCTTCCAATACCATTTAAACCCTCACATCTGAGCAGAAATGAATAGACAGTGACTTACACTTCTTCTCTTCTGAGCTTTGTCACAAATCAAACTTCTCTTGCCATTCTCAAATAACATCAACAGGCTGTGGGATTTAATTATTCAGGTATTAATTATTCAGATATCTCGGTTTTTTAACACTTTACCATCTCCATTAATGGGACGTAGGTAGAAATCTAACTGAGAACACTGAATATTCTGGACAGCATATATATCATCCTCTTTCCACATCTAATCTCATTCATTACACCTCTTTTAATAAGGTTGGTGCCTCTCTGTCCATCAACTTCCATTATATCCCTTTAGTTGGTATCACAGTTCAACAAAAAAGATACACATCCTTCATCTGTGTTATTTGTTTAATAAAATGTAAGAATTTACATATATATTCAATGCTCATACTGAGTCTGAGGAATCTGGTGAGCTGAAATGGCAAATGGAACCGGAGATCTCCAGTGACAAGTATGCATCCAGTGGCAGCAGTGGCACTTGTCAAATGTGACCTGTGCTAAAAAGATAGCATTTCTCTCTGGCTATAGTGAGCAGAGGTATTTGGCACAACCTCAATAACTCTTTGCAAGAATAAACTGCAACTTCACTTATAGATCCACACTTGATCTGAGGTGTTAAAATAATCAGTTTTCACCTGGTCGTTTAAACACATATGAAATTGAAGGTCACTATGGTTTCTTCTTGTTGATACTGCACGAGGAGCAAGTGAAAGCATTTGTTGCCTTTTTAAAAACATATAAACCTTCAGCTAACTTCTCGTGCCTAGATAAAACAACATACATCTTCAGATTTAATCCTGTGGTCAGAACTGTAACAATTCACTTTTCAGACATTTCAAGTTTCAAAGCATAATTCAGCAGAGGCCATAATTGGATGTTCTTTTCCTCTGAGTTTGTTGAGGTCATCTCCAAAAGCCTTACACAAACCTTCACCAGGGGAGGTATGTAGTGGCTCATGCAGTGTACAGTACATGGTAATATACGCGATAATTATAATCACTCACTTAAACGTGTTAGCAGTAGCAGCAAAGTAAATGTGATAAGCAGTTATAATGTATACTTTCATTTCAGTTCAACTATAACCAAGGATTTGATCTGATTCAAACTTTTCAAAATATTTTAATTGTTTCATTCTCTTGACATACCTCATCTCTTCCTAATATTCACAGGTAAAGTTTATTTTAAGTGAATTTCCCATGATCATTTAAAGATGCTATTTGAATAATTTAATCATTTAGTCAACTACCCAATGCATAAATATATTGATTTTAACACTGATGCAACAGAAAAGTAGAAAATCATCACAGTACAGAAATTGTAACTCCAATAATTTTTTTCTTTACTTAAGCAGTGAACAAATTATCACAGTTATTCATTATTTCTATGTCCATTATCATTGGAGAGAGGCTAAGCGTGGCCCTTTAGCGAGGTTTAAATTGCTCCTGGCCTCCAGACACGGGGCTGGACTCCTCCTTTGGTGGCAACAAAACGTGGTTTGGGTGCCTGAACTGGGTTGGGCTTGAGTGGGGGCAAAGACGCGAGGATGCTGAGCTCGGGAGCACTCTGGAACTGCTTTGCTGTTTGGAGTCCAGTGGTGTATGATACTGGAGTATAAGGTGTGGGGACTGCATGGGGCATAGGGTTTGGAACATGGGGGGCAGATAATTTTGGAAGGCTGGGTGGTCCTACTGGTTGGGAGGGAATTGACACTGGAGTTTGAGCATTGACTGGCATTGGAGTAAAAGCAGCAGGAGGTGGAGAGGTCATGCCAGAATAGGTCAAGCGCTCTCCAAGGGTGGTGGCTGAGCGAGGTGCAATGACTTTGGGTGCCAGAGAGGGAGCTGACATGGGAGTGGGTGTCGAGAATCGCTTGATTTCATAAACACGGGCTGTTTTGACTGGTATCTGTCGAGGCGAGGTTAATGAGCTCCCTACCATTGTTGCTGTGTAATTACCCTGCTGCGCTTGATAAGAGGGCATGTTTGATAGGTTGGTAGCACTGCCTCCATAGTTGAACATGGCTGAGTTGAGCTGATAGGGCTGCCTTCTCATGAAATCCAGAGCCTTGATGCCCTCTCTTTGGGACCCTCCTCTGCCCTTGCTATCTGGTTTGTTCATGTCCCTCTGAGGCCCCATGGGGATGGTGGGGGCCAAGAGAGGATTGTATCCAATAGGTGGAGGGGCACGAACATTTGGGGAGTATTTCCACTGAGAAGGGTCATAGAGTTGTGGTTCATTATGAAAAGACACTTCCTGCTGGTAAGGGGTCTCAGGTGGGGTGTCCACAACATACATTCCCATGCGATTCTGTCTTCGGGCAAACAGTTGGGCTCCTTTACCCCCTGCCTGAAGAATCTGTGGGGCCTCATGGATAACCCGAGGTTTGGGTGCAACTGGGGGTGGTACCCTTCCTGCGCCTGCCTCACCACCTCCATCTTCCTCTGTACCATCGAACCCGAATTCAGTGGATGGTTGAGCACTTTTGTGTCTGCTAAACCTGTCATCAAGGTTCTGTACCATTGACAACAGCTCAGGATTGGGAGAGTTCTTTTTCACTTCTGGCATGTTGAACATGGGTTTTGGTTTGCCACTACGCCGTCTCGCCTCAAGTAAGATTCCTGTGCGACCTGTTTCTCCAGGAACAGGGGTTGGAGCCACAGCTTCAGGCTGGGATACCACTGACACGCGGGCTACAGGCGGCATGGGCAATTGTGGTGTAGGCTGAGCAACTGGTACTTGAAGCGGACGCACTGGGGCAACTGGGTCAGTTGAGCCTGACATTTGAGAGATTGGAGGAAAAGGCACTGTAACCATTGGTGCTGGTGGTGCTGGTGGTACTGGTGGGGCTGGTGGTACTGAAGGAACAGACATCAGAGCCCCAGTTGGCATTGGAGCCTGATGAATACCAGCCATTGCTGGTGATGCTTGCAATGTCCCAACAGAGGCAGAAAGGATTGGAGGGTGAACAGTCATAGACGCTTCAGGTGTTAGGGACATGGGACCTTGAGGTATTGAATATGGTGGAGAGACTATTGGTGGGGGACCAGGGAATTGCTGTGGGGTTACTGGTGTTGCATTAATGGCAAATTCTGAGGCAGATGAGAATGGTGGCGGCACAACAGCTGCAGAAGCAGGACGCTGGTTTCTCTTTGTGACAGCAGGTCTAAAAGTTACTGGGGCTGTTGCAGCTCGAATGCTAATGAAGCCAGGGGTGAAAGGACGTGCGGTTCTGTTCAGAACATTGCTTGCTGGTAGTTCTGGTATTGGTGTTTCAGACGGTGGCGCTGCTGTGTCCAGAACAGTAACTGAAGCAGTGACTGGCTTGGACGCTACAGGTGGTGGTGACATCACAATGCTAACCGTGCTAACTGCAGAGTGCGGGAAGATCCCAGTAGCCGCTCCCTTGGCAGCATCATTGACTGGAACCTGAGATCCAATGGACTGTATGGATATAAGGCCAGGCTGCTGATGTGGTTGGTTTGATTGCTGCTGTGCTTGAGTTTCTTGATAGATTGGAGACTGCTCATGTGCTTGTTGAGGAGCCTGAGGTTGTGATAGCTCCACCTTCTTGGCATGTTCAGCTACCCTTTTTCTCTGCTGTTCAAACAACTGGGCACCCTTTCCTGCTGTGTCACTCAGACCTGGACTTGGAGCATCCTCTGCTCCATCCCCACGGCCTTCCATACCTGCAGTTGCCCTCTTCTCAAGCTTATCAAGGTAGTCACTGTCCCAAGTTGGGTCAGGAATAGCTGAGAAGCCATCCTCATCAAATTCAGATTCACTACCAGGAAATACTCCATCCTCTTCTTGTGAATCCTGACACATATCTTCATCAACACTGCCAAAGCTGGTAAGGGTGTACTTCTTCGAACGCTGTCTTCTCTTCTTGAACATCAGGACTCCCTTGGAGTGAGGGTTCGGGGCATCTGTCAGAAGAGATGCAATTGTTCGACACTTGCTTTTAGCTTCCTTTACTTGCTTATCTTGCTGTGTATCCCCCCGGTTCAGCTCTGTGGAATATGACAGTCACAGCCATTAGGAATAGAGCAGTGGTGTTAGAATAATTACAGTTGAAGATTTACAAAAGTTGTAACCTTTACACCATCAACCGGGTCCGACATATGCATCAAAACCTGTTCTGACTGCTATGCCTTTAGCAGGCCTCCATCTCACAACTTGTCACAGGAGCACATCCGGGAAAATTCCAGGCAAGACTTGAGCTTCTCACATTAGCTGGGGTGAAGGATAAGTTTGCACATTATTAGGCTTATGTACCCTGACATCTATCTTATATGATATTACTTGCAAGCTGTTGGAAAGTTGCAGAATGTAGGTTAAAGCAAGGAGAACTTCAAAGGGGTGCTATCACATATCCTTTAACTTGTTATATTATTAAAAAGATTACCACGTGCAACCTTATGCCGTTTCAAAATGATGAACTACCATGTGGATGGAGTGCTTAATTTGTCTCGCAAATGTTCCTAAGTGGGCCATCACATTGTTCAAACCTCTTCTCTGTTTTGACAAAGGGGATTTACAAGAGTAAATTCATTTAAGTTCTTAAAACAGCCAGATGACTTCTGAGAGCTCAGCTCTGTCCTTTACACTGGCTTATTGTGGATGATGGACAGGATGACAGCCTGTAGGAAAGAATGTTTGGTCAGTGTCAGTGCTCTTTAGGTGATGTTGCAGCACCGTATCACTGGATTGTGTCAGTATGTGCCCCATGTTCAAAGTTTGGGACAACCTCAACACAAATTCTGCCAGACATTAACCTTCTGGTGCTACATTTTTTGTTCATTTTAGCCACACAAATGGTCTTTCATGTCATTTCAGAGAGACCATTACATGCTCCGTCTTGCGTAACTTACAGACCATCTATTCCGGCTGGGCTCATGCTTTCCCTAGTGTAAAAATGTGTATATCATCATTGTGAAGAGGGAATGCATGGTGGTGTGGTGGTTAGCAGTTTCGCCTCACAGCAACAAGGGTGCTGGTTTGATTGCCAGAAGAAGTGAGCGAGTGTGTGTTTTTGTCTTCGTGTGGCAGGGACCAGAAGAGAGAAATATCGGTCCCTCCTTTGCTAGTTGACCCCTGAAAGCAGCTGCAAGTGTTTTTTACTGATTGGTGTGTGGTGTGTTTACATACATAGATATTGTAGCACACTGGCGAGGCTTTGTTTAACATGCTTAAGTTATCCTAACTCATTCATGCTAAGGTGGATTAGATAACTTTTAAATTACGTAGCTGTGGAGATCAAATTTTACAACAAGGACACGGTTGCATTGGTTCCAGACTGAGAAAGAACTTAAAAAACAAAAGAAAAAGAAAAAATCTACTCCTGTCTTTTCACAAAAGGAGTTCATGAGATGGTTTTCAGTTTTGTTTCCTGTGCTCTAATACAGATGCAATGGTATAAACAGGGAAAAAAAATTATTTTAAAAATTCCAAATGATTTTTTTTTTCGTCATGTGTTCTAAGCAAAGAAGAGAAAAAAAAATGACTGAATAAATTGCTTATATGCACAACGGCTCTGGGACATAATCCATGATGAAGGGCACAGAGCTAACAGTAATGTCCCAGCTCGTTGCTCTGCTTTGGTTGTACTTACTGGCTTGCTTGGCTTTTTCCATGTAGGTTGTTGTAAGTTCTTCATCAATAGGTTTATTCACAGGACCCACCATAGGCACAAGCTGGCTGCGGGAGCTCAGCATCAGAGCCTCTTTTGCCCTTTCAGGGGAAACCAATGGCACATTGGCTGGCTCTAAAAAGCCACTATCTTCTTCTTGTCCTCCATCCCGTGCCCCTTGGTCATCTGCTGAGGAGATGATGGAGGAAGTCTCAGTGGATGTCTGGGAGGACCATATTCCTGGACCAGGTGGTTGGTAAATAACCTCTTTTCTTGCCACCCCTGGTAGGCCCCCTCTTCCTTCTCCATTTACCCCATGTCCATCCGACAAACGTGGGAAAACTTGTGCATCTGGAGCACTATCGTAGCCACTCATCTCAGACGTCTCTCCTCCCTCTGGAGATGTCCGTCCTGTTGGTTTCCCAGGGTTGGAGTTGCTGGGGCTCCGGCGTTTCTGGCGTCGCTGCCTCTCATAGCCTGCTACATCTGCATCGCTATCAGTTTCCCCATAATAAGCCTCGCTCCCCGGTGGGGATGTCAACCCACTGGTAAGGGAGGAACGGCTACGGTGGACTTCACGAACAGGTGCATGCTGGGGTTGAGATGGTGAAATGGCTCTGAGAGCAGCCCGGTACTCTTTGTCAATACGGGGTGATGGAGCTCGGGTGACAAGCACTACAGACTGGAAAGCTGCAGGTGCTCTGTGAAGCAATAAAACAGTGTAAAAAGTGACTGGTGTTCATCCTGAGACTCGATCTTTGCTCAGAACAATCACCTGAAACATAATATTCAAGTGTTATATATTATTATTTGTTGGGGGTAAACAGTACATATAACCCCTGCAAGTTTTTAATGATACCTCATAATAAAAAATAAATAATCATAGCTGGTTGTTGATGCTTAACAATTTTTTACATTTCTTCTTACCTTTTGACCCGGATGTTTAATACTCCAGGGGAGCTGTCGATCAGAATCATGGCCTGGGCATGGGAAAGCGTTCCACATGGCTGCTCGTTGATAGACACGAGCTCATCAGCTTCTCGCAGTCCAGCCCTGCATGCTTTGCTGCGCTTACGCACCTGCAAAAGGAGGTTCCACATATCACTGACTCTTCAACAAATATACTTTCTTCAATCCTTTTGGTCCAGAACCATTTGGACCATGACTGTCCATGTATCTTCTGTTATTACAGGGTTCATCATATCCACTATAATCAAGGGCAAAATATCAAGTCTGTACTTTCAGTTGGTTTTATTAGTTGGTTCGTTCTTTTTATGTTCATAAACAGTATAGTCATCCATGTTATAGCCGTGATATGAAATACAAGCCTGACAGTGCTATGCAGCTCTCTTCTCTTGAGTTTGTGATAGTGACAGATAGAAAGCTGAGTTTGTCCTGATAGATCGTTCCTATTGTGGACACATGCCGCATATTACAGCTTAAGTGGGCCACTCACACACACTTTAAGAGGGAAATGCCATCCAGCAGCCATCTTCATTTGGTGCTTTACTATTTGTGCCCGAGATCTCTCAGGACCCTGGTATTTTGCCCACCACAAATTGCCTCCAGCCTTCGTCATTGCCATGACAGCGTCATGCCTTGTAAATTAAAAAAATATCACTTTCAAAGACGAGACTGCCGTGATGATAATGCTTCCTGTGTTAAGTGAATTTTGCACTGCAGAATTAAGAGAAAATACCATGTTGCTTTAGATGCCCTAATTAGTTTTCTATCCAGCTATTCTGGTTTGCCTGTAATGAAATCCCATGTCCCCATTTAGCTAAGCCTTTCAAAGTGGCCTGGGCCTGCTCGTAGCACAGGATGTCAAGTTATTTGTTCAGTCAGTCACCTTGTGGTTGCAAATCATAACTGTTATAATACCCTTACATGCTTGCCCACATACACCACATGGGCTGGCACAGAAATACACACAGGGACATAAAAATAAACAGACAAACATGCACATGCAGGTTGACAGACACAAAGTGGATCCCAACACAGAGGTTCTCTCAGAGAAGCTCCACTCGGCTCCACCTGTTGGGAACGATATCATACGACACCTGACAAGATAACGCCTTCTTGCTCTCAGGGGTGAAGGAGCAGGCAGTGTTGGACAAATGACAGAAACAGTTGTCCACCACCATAAAGGTGACCTGCTAGTAACTTGTGTTGTATAAGTCAGCACTGCAGGATCATTGTTGACAAAAGCAATATAGTTCAGATTCTGTGGTGTGTTTAAATAATTTTTTTTCCTTTAAATTAATAGAGGACACTGTACGATTTAAGGGGTAATTCCAAGGAATAGATTTGGAGTGTTAGCAGGAGCAATTAAAGCATAAAGATCACGATTGTCTTTGATGCACACATCAACTACCTTTTGCTTTCCTTCCCTAGGAGGTAATGTGTGGATTGGTAAATTTCAAAATGTATATATGGATACACACAAAACACAGACCCAGAGACACTTTCCAGCTAAAAATAGCTCCCTCATGAAGCTCTCTGCTCAGTCCACAATTCTCAAATGTATTTGTGGATTTGTGTGCTTATGAATAAACTAATATCCTTAAAAATATTGATTTTTTTTTTAATCAAATGACAATAATAGATGTTTTTTAATAATGGACATATAATGATTTTTAGGAACAGATTTGATATCAGTAAACATTAAGTATGAAGTCATGTTAGCTTTTCATCGTTAACATTTAGAGGGTTTACATCCCGTACTCCATGAAAGATGAACAGTTTGGGAAATGGAGAATGACGTTACAAATGCCTCTGTTGTACCTAGTGAACCAAATACTCTTCCTGAAGAATTTGCTCTTGAAGGGGAAACTGAGCAGAGCAGCTGCACATGGGAATCCTTGCATCCAATATTTCATAATCACAAAGTGAACAAATCTTTTCAAGAGGACATAGATATCAAACTAGAGGTAAATTTTAGATTTGGCGTCAGTAACAGTGATTTAAACAAATTAACTGATTTATTACCACAAATAACAAACATCGACACAATGAGAACAGATTAGCAACCAACAGACAAAAGTACAAACTGGCTCGGTGTGAATATTTAGCTCCAAAGTCCCACTAAAAGCCACTTTCAAGAAAAGCTCAGAGAGTTTAGTATCAGTTATGCATTTTAATGTGAGAAGATAAGCAGCCAGTCCACATTACATTTCTATCTGTGGTTGAAGTTTAAAGCCAACCTAATCAATCATCGGAACACCACTGTATTCAATTCCTTCTCAAACAAGATTATGACTCACGTTCAGGCCCTGAACCAACCTGCACAGCGGCCAATATTCCATTTTGGTTTTGTTCACAGCTCCTTAAATCACCACCTAATATAGCTCAGCCAATGTTTCACGTCTCACTCAGTCAAACGAATTTTTCAAACAGAAAACTCTGACTTTTGGGCAGCCTGCTGAGGGCCCGCTTACCTTGGCCACCTGCAGTGGTTTCTGATGCTCCACACCTCCCTGGAGACGAAACCCCCATGGTGCTCCTCCAGACAATGTAATGATCACTTCTTCTGCAACCATCGTTCTGTGACTTTTCAAAAGTTTCTTTTTCTTTTTTTCTTGGATATTTTCCGTTATTCTTTGGTTTTTGTGTTTCTTTTGAGGGTCCCCCCCCCCCCTCAGTGCACTGGCTCCATGGTAAGCAGTCAGGGCCCCTGGACAGAGCTCTGTCCTGCTCTTTGCCTGCCACACTGTCCGGGCACTGACTTCCCTCTGAGCTCCAAGGCCAATCCTCACACCTGTACACGCACACACACCCCCACCCACCCACAGCCAGAGGGGGCACAGCCATCATAGCCACAGTAAGGGAGGCAGAGGGTGGGGTGGGGTGGGGGGTGGGGGGTAGGGGGGGGGTTGTGTCTGCTTACACAGAGGAATGTCAACCCCAAATGAGCGAGGGGACGGTCCAGCTCAACACTTGTCCTGTCACTCAGACCTATGCCACTGGGTTGATAGCCCCTCCAAAAATAGGACACCACCACCACCACCTTTGCTGCTCTGCCTGCGTCTCTGCAGACCAAAGCAAAGTTAACATTCAGAACATCCTAAAGGCTGTCTTTCATATCAGACTCTGAGGTCACTGGTAACCTTCAGTCACAGCCCGACTCTCAAATCTCGCAAACTAATCCTGGTTAATTACTTTCTTACACTCTCCGAACTATGCCAAGGGGTGTTGATAGAAATCAGTAATTGGATTACTTTGGTTCTGGTTAGATTCAATCCCATCCTGCCAGCTCCTGTTGATTTGTAAACAATCTGGACTGTCATCACAAAGAATTTGGGTTCGGTCTTATTAAATGGAGACGAACTGGTCTTTTGGGCTGAGTTAGAATATGTCTGATGTTTTTTTAACCAGATATTTCAAAACAGTCAAATATCTACACTAAATTAGGATCAATGAAAAAGAAGAACTATGCTATAAAATTACCATAATCAGATTCCCGTCTCTAGACTCAGCTAAAATACTGGATCTGTCCACATCAGCAGAATCTGAACAAAGACAGAAGTTAAATGGAAGCGCTGTGTGCTTCTGCCGGCATGCTAATGTGCACCGATGTGATGCTGAAGTGCTCACAGGTCTTTACCCAGCATTTTCATGTCATCCCGATATTCTGATTAGTTCTACAGATATTTGTCTATTCTTATGCATTTCTTATGTTATTTGAGTAATCATTTTAATGTGATCAGAGAAATGGAGGAGTCTATTAACACTAGCTGGAAGGGTCCAGTCTGGTTAAATAGGTCTGTGTCCGTAATCAATGAAATTTGTAACTTTGACTGTAATTTAATCTTGAAAAAAAAAGAGAAAATCTCATTGATGTCAATTTGCTTGAAGTCGTGTTCCTTTGAGGACTTTACTGGCACTATAAACCTTTAAAAGTGATTAAGGCTGCACTGCTTTCACCAGTGCTGCAGGAGGTTACCAATGATAGCTGCTCTCTTTGGCAACCTCGCTCTGCAGCTGTCTCCAGACCTCAGGATAGTAACCGGGATCATTCCTGGGTCAGACGCTCAGAAAAAAAGAAACCCTCTCTTTCAGAGATGGGTTCACATCTGACAGAATACCACAGTTTAGAAAATGTAGATGTTTAACAACTGGGTAGACTAATAAACAAAAGATTCAGTCTTTCGTGCTGTTCTTTTACAGGGGCAGTTGGGTCTTATGTGTAAAAACAAACACGGGAATATGGAGTTCTTGATCAGTTGTGCCAATTACTCCCCCAAGTGGTGAAAAGGTGCCTGGCTGCTGGATTTCCATAGTTACTACCTCTTTAATTATTTTTCATTAACCTATCTCTAATAGCTAACACTGGATCCCTTTGCATCATATTTCACGTTTAACTGTTTTTTGGCCTATTATGACTTAGTTCTGTAATATTTGACCTGAAATTGTTTTAAATGTCCCCTACTTCATTCCCAAACGATATAATCCCACATATAATCATTTGTGTGTAAAAAAGTGTTTTGTGTAAAAATTTCCAGTAATCAACCTTTTTTTATTTTTTTGTTTTTTGGGTTAAAGCATACAAAGACCTGTTACTTAACTGTATTCCTGGCTCATCTTGGGGAGTAAGAAGTGGGGATGGTTTGGCTGGAAAGGTGCAATGATCAGTGTTTTTAGCTGGGTCCGGGCAGTCAATGACTTGTGTTGGTCCAGTAGAGCAGATTTCACAAAACGTTCAATATTATATGTCTTATTGCTAACCCTAACCCTGTTCATCCTCATGCAGGTATCACTCTCAGCATTTTTCTTATATGAGCTGCAGTCTAGTGGTGTAAGTTTATGGAGTGATCTTCTTTTATTTGCATAAGTCGATACCTTGAGGGATGATTTAGGCAAAACCTGGTACGTCAGTCGTGATGAAGTGCTGCTTACTTTATGGTAAACTTACTTTTCAACCTTTATTTCATCTATATTGTCAGTGTGTCTGCATTGTGGATCCATAAACTGAAATAATAACAATTTACAACAAAAAACTAATCTAAAACAATGTTATTGGATATGAACTACTTATTAACCTCTTTTGTCTGCATTGAACCCATCGTTATTTTTGCTGGTGGACCTTTCAGTCAAACGATTAAGCCATTATGTGCTTTGAAAATCAGTTAAAGTAATACAATTAAAAACAACTTCAGCACCAAGGACAGCGAGGAGCAGGTTTTGCTGCGCCGGGGAGCAGGGATGGCGAGAGTCTGGGGATGGAATGGGAGGAGAGAGAGTTGGTGAATGAGCGTGCTGTGAGTAACAGTGATTTTCAGAGTGGATAGAGAGAGCGTTGGCTGGGATTAGGCCTGTGCTGCAGGTTGGACAGGATTACGGAGCGCAGAGGAGCGCTTCTCCGCACGGCTCTGCTCCGTCTCCCGGCCCGATTCATCCCCCGATTCATCCCCAGTCCTGGAGGTAGACTAGCTGCATGGAAACATGGCCGACGTCCCTCAGATCGTCAAAATTGGGATTTCCATGAAGATGCTCCCCAACAACACGGCGGTGTTCTTCAAGTCGGATGGTGCCCGCTTCGGACAGACGCGCACCATCAAGCTGCTGACCGGCTCCAAGTACAAAATCGAGGTGGTCGTAAAGCCAGGAGCAGTCCAAGCCACGTAGGTAGTCCCGAGGCACACAAACGGACACGTTAGAGCTTCAGAGAAGAAAATAACACCCCGCGTGTCCGCGTTTTTTCCTCCTTAAAAGACGCACAACTGGAGTAATGGGTGAAGCTCACTGCTGCATTTCCAGTCAGCGACAGAGCCAAAAATGTTGTTTCTGGAGGACGCAAAAGTTAGTGTGTCAAGAGGCATCCAAAGAAAAGACGATTTATTGATCTCAATGTGCCACCCCTTACGGACAAATGGACGAAACACACACCTGTAGTGTTTCTTTCAGGGGGTTGTGGGAGTGAATTTTCCATCTATTAGGATAAGGTCCTAATGTCGCTGTAAATGATAAAGAACGATATGAGGGGTCATTTCTTGACTGTTAATTGCCGGGACAAAGGTAAGGTAAGATCGTGTCCTCGCCAGCACCGAATGTACTGACCTTAGCAGATCGGAGGGCGTGGGCAGATTTTCAGGTTACATTAGTGTACAGATGGAGGCGGAGCTTTCCGTGATTGTCAAGTAAACAAGATCCTAAAACGGATCTCTTACTTAAATGCAAATCCACACAGGAATCTTTACGGTTTTCCTGGTAAGTGTTTTGCCGTATAGCGCTCAACAGGTCCGTGAGGCTATTTCTGAGAATGAAGCTGACTTTACGTGCAGCACGTAAAGGCGACATAAACCCCAACCGGCTGCGCGTCAAATCCACAGCAGATTAGGACTCCAGCCTTTGTGCGCTGGGTCGCTGCCCTCTCGGTGATTTGCTGACAATTCCCGGTGATGTCACCAATGCGGTTGTTCTGCCATGTCGAAACGAGGATTAATGCTGTGTGTATCAGTCTGTCACGCCGTGGCACGAGCATCCCCGCGAATCTGGGTCACACATGGGCTGATGCTCAGCAGCTGAGGGGCGAAAACGCAGCTGTGGCCCCAGCTGATCTGTCTATTCAGACGTGTTTCGTGTGTCTTCCTGGCTGCAGGTCAATGAGTGTGGGTGGGGTGACATTCCCACTGGAGCAGCAGTCCAAAGACCCCCAGTCTGCGGTCTACACGGGCCTCTATGACACAGAGGGGGTGGCGCACACAAAGAGCGGGGAGAGGCAGCCAGTTCAAATCAACATCCAGGTAAGGAGAAGCAGAGGTAAAAAAAAAAAAAAAAAAAAGTGGAGATCTTTTTTTCCCTCCATTGAGAATATATACACTGAGCATGTTTTGATGTTCAGGTTATCTAAAAGGCCACAATTTCCACAAAGTAACCAAATTACTAATCTCCCTGCAGACTTTTTCTATTATTATTTTTTTTACCACTGTTTGACCAAAGGCCTTAGATAAAAATTCCCAGAAGCTTTTACGTCTCAGCTTCTGAAGAAATCACAACAAACTAAAGACTTCGAGAGTCAAAATATTCTGATTGTAAGTTATGGTGTTATAGTCTTTATCTATATGGATAATTTGTTAAGCAAACGTTTGGGTCTTGAAAATAGCACTAGAATGATAAAAACATATTAAACTGGGTCTGTCACAGTTGCTCATTCTTTCACAAAAAACATTCTTAAAGGCTTAAATAAACAACATGAAAAGGTAATACATAAATCCCAATTAAACTAATCGCAATCTATGCCCAAGGGCTTGGTCGCCTCTCTAAAACCATTAAAGAATTAATAAATGCTCAGCATGGTTGTAGTGTGTCCGGGGGGAGTCTCCCTGTATTACAGTGTTCCCAGGTGTCCGTTCATCCTTTAAGCCTTTTAAAATCCAGGTGTTGGATTTATTTTCATTGTTTAACAGTAATGGCATAGACTCGACGAGGAAGTTGGAGAAGTTGCCGACAGATTGTCGCTTTTGCCCGACACGGGATTTGCTGAGCATTAATGAAATATGGAATCGGCCCCCGGCCCCATCCTTTAATCACCGCATGGCCGGGGTCATCTCTGAGAGCTTCCCCTCCTCTGTGCCTCGCCGGGTCAAAGGGTAAACCCCCTGTCTTACCAGATGTGTTCACGTTACTATGGTTACGGTTCTGCCAGTGTTTCCATGGACACTCGCTTTCTGCTGCCTAGCAGGTATGCACGTTTCCAAGGTTACAATTTCAGAGGAGTCGGTAGATGTTGGACGTCTCAGCCGCCTGAAGTGCGCAGATAAACATGTGACCTCATCCAGTTTACGACATCGGCAGCCCTGTGTCAGAGCTCTGCGTTTATTACCAGAAAAAAGGACGAGTGTCTGTCACATTTTTTCCATCTCGTGATGGGCAGATACCGGTTCTAAGCCTCCATGTAAGCAGGGGAAACTAATCACCGCGGAAACGTGGCTCTCTCGTTTTACATCCCTCTGTACAGCAGCTTATGAACGTTCACACTCATCCACTGGAACACGCACGATGCCTCAAAGTGAGCTTCCGGAGTTCACAGGGTAAATGTTTGCAGCATGTAAGTCCACACAGATGCTGGGAGGAGGAAGAAAAAGGGGGCTGTTTCCTCTAACACTCGGTAAAAAAGTGCAGTGTGTGTGGCTGTGCTTAACTTCACGCTTTTTCTGGGCATCTGTGAGTGCAGCCCATCTGTGCGGGCAGAGCCGGGGGCCCGGGGTGTGACATGTTGTGTACGTGTTTGCAGGTTTGTGCGTGCGCGCATCCATCTGTCCCGTCAGTATGCTTCCTCCTTAATTCATCCTCACGTGCTCCTCCACATAACCTAGTTTGAGTCCCTGTGAGTTGCCTCAGAGTTTGTGTTCCCATCCCGGCCGTCACCTTTGCTGCGTCGGAGCGAGCAGAGGTGCTGGAACCGTTCTCCATGTGTGTGTGAGTGTGTGTGTGTGTGTGTGTGTGCGCGCACGTCTGTACACCTGTTTCTGCTCCAGTTCACAGAGGCGGGAATGTTTGAAACGGTGTGGCAGGTGAAGTACTACAACTACAACAAGAGGGACCACTGCCAGTGGGGGAACAGCTTCAACAGCATCGAGTACGAATGCAAACCCAACGACACGCGCACGCTCATGTGGGTCAACAAGGAGCAGTTCGTCTGACGAAACACCTGCTGTGCTCGCATATCTTCTCACTCCTCTGCTCGTCCGGTTAAAGAAAATGAACCCTTCTCTTCCTCTATGCTGTGAAAGATAGCCTCTGTTCTTCTGTTAAAAGCAGCCTTGCTGCCAGTCCTCACCGAGGTCCAGTTTGTTTACACCAATATGAGAAAATAACCACGGTTCTTTTCCAAAGTTAAAAGAAAACCCTTCTTATATTTGGATTATGTCTTTGATAGAATAGACATTATATTTTTTCACCTACAGTCCTGTATCCCTCCAGTGTTGTAAGATTTATGTGTATGTACCGTACTGTAGGTGTGTGTGTTTTACGGATGGTGCTTATACAAATGTGTTTTTCTGCTTATTTGGAAACTATGTGCAAACAGAGAGTTTCATTTCAAAAGCTAATAACTGCAAAAAAATGGAAAGAAGACATGCAAATGTCCCATATGCTTTCCTTTGTTACCTTGCTGTGGTGTCTAAAGCTGAAAAGGGTGACCTTTGTTTCCCCCCCTCTATTTGAATCAGTTGTTATCAAGTTTAGTACTTTTCGACTTTATATCCCAACAACAGCATCACCATCAGGCCAGGTTTATGTATGCAGTGCCAAGTCTTAACGCACATTAGTGTTTATGATGACAAAGAGACAAGCCCGTCAGTTCCCCCTCACAGTTCCTGTTCTAATCATCAAAAGAATCCTCACAGCATTGTTACCTCATCTAAAAACTGTTTAGTCACTCTTGACTGTTGCTCTGCAGGCCAGTTTTAGTGACGTTTGGAGGATAAATCTTTTCTCTAAAGTATTAGTCAGCTCATGTTATTTTGCAGTAAGATGGTTTCTCACCTGCTCTGAAACAGCAACAAGAATTTATTTAAAATATTGTCCAGCTTTGTGCCATCAAGATGGATGTAAAGAACCTTTGCAGTGAAACTCTCTGTGCTGGTGTGTGGTTCGTTACGATTCTGTGAAGAGTGAAATCCAGCTATTTGGGTGGAGTTGTGCCCATCTTCAGCTCCTTTGTCCTCTACCTCTTCTGAAGGATGTGTGTATCTTTGACTTTAATGAGAGGAAGTGATGTATTTGGAGTTTTCTGAGCCTAAACTGTCAGTGATTTATCTAACAACTGTCTGTTTTGTTGCGATAAATTATATTTACAAAATTGTATTTTTGTACAGTGAAGTGTTGTAAAAATATTTGAAAATGTGTGTATTTTGATAGAAAATTTTAAATTGACCTATGCAAGATGTTAGGGCAGCAAAATGACAGTGAAATCGACTCTCAATATCAGTCTTACGTTTTTGTAAAATGTGTGATTGTTTATCATGTTATTGAAAATTAAATGAAAATGAAAAACATTTTGTGGTAGTCCTCATCTTATTCTGTCTATTCTAATACTGCAGTAAAGGTTTAACAACATTTGATACTGTTTTCATTTGAATTATTCCTTTTTTAATCAAAAACTGAAAAACAACATCTTCATAATACTATTTCAGAAAAGATTAAGTCCTGATACAACAGAACAATGTGATGCTTATCTTAAACAATTTCTTAAACAATATGTAAAGCAGCTGCAAATCAGTGATAACTTTGAATCTATATTTTGTTTGATCATTTTTCCCGTTCTGTGATTTTGCAGAACTGATGTGTTTGTTTTTGTCCACTTGACCTTTTTTTAAATAAGCTTTCTTTGTGTTTTTTTTACATCAACCTGCATGGGGTTTACAGATGTAAATTAGCCATATTGGCCGAATCTGGCACTTTTACTTGGCTCACCAAGTTCATTAATAGAAGATGTCTGGGGTACTTTTATACTCCTAAAATTGTATATTAGGATGGTTACAGTGTGAACAATAACAAAAGATTTGATCACCGTTGAGCATGTTGACAGTCAGTGAAAGAGAAGGCCTAATTACTCTATCCTGCAGTACCACCATTTCACCACCGAGGGGAGCCCAAGCCCAAACCGCATGTGACGGTAAGATACACATAAGTAGAAAAAAAGGCCTCCGGTTCCCGGATGTACAGTACTGCTGCACCTCCCCCCTTCTCCTCTTCCCTCCTCCCCTCCACCACCGCCTGCTTGTCAAACCGAACCTCCTCCTCCGCTTACTGTCCCCTCCCAGCGGGTCTCACTCCCTTTGCCACTGCAGTGAAAGCCTCCGTAGCGGAGAGAGACACGGCGAAGACTGTCTTGAAGCTGGGTGTAAAGCCAGGACCAGACCTCAGAGAGCACCACTACCGTGTTTTTTTGTATTTCTCGCCTCAGCTCGGCGGCCAACTGACTACCGCTGTTGTACGTCTTTTCCGTTTACATCGCCTGGATTTCATCATCCGACCTGCAAGATGGTAAGCAGAAAAGGCTCCTATTTTCAGCCTCCGCCGACTGGTAAACACACCAGTGGGCAGGCCTGTGCTTCAATGTGTCGAATAATGTGTCGATTGACAGGTTGTTTTCGTAGTGAGCGCCCGCCGTTTGGGTAACGGTCGACAGCGTCGAGCTCAGGCGGGGAGGAAACGCTTTTCTTACCCACTTTTGGCTGCGTGTCGCGCTCTCTCTGCGATACCCCCGAGCTCCTGACAGTAGCCTAGAGCCTGTGGCCCAGATATTTCATATCCCTTCTTGGCATAGCCCACACTCTTATTAGCAGCACGGCCTGTGCAAATTAGTTTTCGTGACTAAAATACACGCTTATTAGGCCCCGGTTGACGGTTAATTGTGGCACATTTTACACGGCAGGCAGGAATATGTAACGACTACTCATGTTACGTCTTTGCTCCCACAAACGGTCCGCATTGGACGTTTTAAAGACATTTATCTCCTTTTAGGCCTCGGGACTCGTAGTCGATAGTTGCAACATAATTCCATCTGAGGCCACGATGTTGAATGAATTAATCGAGATACGTTTTGTAGCAATTTGCAGCTCTTCTATAGGACGCTGCTATAGCAGGCCATAGGATTGCTACACAGCCACACACACACACACACACACACACCCAAACACACGTACACACACGTGTACTTGCCAAGTAACCATTAGATATTCTTTTTGGTTGCCAATGGGCAAGTCAGGTCGACATTTAATACATTTTACATGATCACCAAACGAATTATGACCACCACGAAAAATTAAACATTCATGATCAGTTATAAAGAAGCAATTAATGCATGGAAATTGCTTATGTAGCATGTAAAACCTAAACAATTTGATATCAGAATATCGTCAGTTAGGTTTTTCATGATGACAAACAAGGCCAAAGGAAGATATGGACCTAGAGAGAGTTTGGCTCAAATAATTTGGGCCCCAGAAAATGCCCAACACCACTTAGTTTTCTATAGGATGTGTGGGACAGAGGGCAGTGGTTGGTCAGCAGGTCTGACCAATCACCTCAGACAAACAGATCAGAGAAGAGAATCCGTATTTTACATTCCAGTTTATTGAAGATCAACTTGTCCAGCTTGCTGGTTACATTGCTTTGAAAAGAAGGGTCAGGGATCTAGGATGTCTGAGAAATACTTAGATTGTAACTTGCCTGAAGTAAAACTGTTAGCGATTGGTCATGTTTAGAATTAGAGGTATTGTTTCAGGTTTAAAATAAAAAGGTAAATGTTGGCACAAGCCTGTAAGCAAAAGCTAGCACCTATAAGCCGTTTCATTATTGATATGGCTACACAAATTGGAGTAAAAAGGTGTAATGCCTCCTCATTGTTGGTAACCCGTTAATGCTCTTACAAATAGCTTTGCAGATAACTTTTTTGAGTGGAGATGAATCATCTGTTCTACAGGCTGTGGCTGACCATGATTTCTGGAAAGATCTCACCACAAGGAAAACACTTTTATTATTTTAGGATGGACTGTGGGGGGGAGCTACATGGATTTTGATTGATGTATTTTGGTGCACTTATAAGATTTTGAGCCTCGAAAAAATATATTAGTCAGTAAAGGTGTGGTTCGTTGCAGAGCTCATTCATGCAGCAGTGAATGCTGCACACTCAGTAAAAATTAGCACTTGGGTGTCATTTTTCCATCACTGCCAATTGGTGTTGGGGCTAATAAACACCTGCCACTGCCTCAGAGTCATTTGAACAGGACTCAAATAGGGCTTATACATTTTTCACAGAAGACAAAAGTCGGGTTTTATTGAAGGGTTTGTGTCGGTGGAAAATCTTTGTAAAATGTTGCTGCATGTCACCAGCAGAATACAATGTCTGCTGCCTGCTCTCTGCTTCTCAATGATTGGACGAAATGACATCAGAAGTTATAAAAGTGACGCGATGATGTCACAGCGAACACGTCAGCACCATGTGCCACCGCTGAAATGTAACCAAATGTCACAGGGATGAAGCCCATGACAACTGTGGCTGTCCCACTATGAACCTGTCTAATGTGGCTTACTCATTTTCTCAAATGCAATGCCTTCATAGCAAAAAATGTCATCAGTTATAATTTTGCCAAGTTTGCTCATCAAGCTGCTCAATAATCATCTTCTTCACGAGCTCTATTCAGTTTCTTTATATTTAAAGCTCAGCTGCTCTGGATATTGACTTTGCTTACAGATGTAGTCACCATTTCTTTAATGCTTTCCCCTTTCGCATTACAGTTGTTTCAGCAATAGTCCATTTCATCTCACTGACGTTGCATCCACTGAATTTGGTTTTCAGTCGCCACTGTTTGAGGCAGCAGCTTCAAAGTATCACAGCTAGTTGTTGTGAAAAGAATAACTATACCAGAGGCTTTAGACATGCAAAGTAGGCTTTAGAAGTTTATAAATCCAGTTGAAAATTCAATTCATCAGATAGACTGAGCACCACAAGAATATGACCCTCTCGGACTGAAATGTAAACCTATGTGTTTTCATCATCAAGCATGTTCATGCAGGTATTTAATAGCACATGGGAGGTTTCCGAAGGCACCAGAAAATGAGATATTGATGCTCATCAAGCTGCAAAGGTCACACAAATTCTCTAAAGAGTTTAGACTATTAGGGTAATAGTCTGTGAGACCACGGAGGAACGTAGGCACTTCAAGGCCACTCGATGCCTTTTGAGTGACTGATTTAAATTTTCATCAGGAGAACACCAAACTTAGTATTGGTGCATGGCAAAGCTGCAGCGGGGGAAGTCTGCACTCCAAAACATTTCCTTTCATATGCATTTAGCTAAAAGTCATTTGGATGAGGCAAAATATCATAGACAAGGTGATTTGTGTGATTTGCATTTAATAGATGCCTGAATTAAAGCTTGAATGTATGGAACTCTGCGGATGTAGTAATCAATCCGCCCGATCAAAACTTTGCAGAAAGACCTGAAGTGAGCAGAGATTATGAGGAAGCTTTTATCAGATATCTTAAGGCTGTTGTGCAGCCAAAAGTCCCAAACACTTGCATAGTTGTGCCACTCACAAACATGAAATGGTTCCATTTTAAAACTGGAAAAGATTGATATCACATTTATGCTGACTATAAAATTTGTAAGGGCTCCCTATTTTTAAAGCCACATTTAATTTGTGGTGGTTCTGTACAACTGAAACGAGTCTTCATTGAGCTTTGCTCCTAATCTTAACTGTACATATGAATAGTGGCATTTCCCTGAAAAATAAACGATTTAGTTGGCATATTGGATATTGATTTGAAACCAGTAGCTCATAAGATGTCTGATTTTTAACCTCAGGATTGATTAATGTACAGTGAGTATTTTTACATGTACTGTCTGAGTTAACTAAAATCTCAACTATATCCATTAGAGTAGCTTTTCAACACAATTTCTAGCTGTTTATCAGGCACATTACTGTACTGGTCCTCAACTCTCTTTAGAGCCATACATAAAATGTTTACCTTGAGAAGTCAATTAAAAAAGAAAGAATCAAAAGGACCCTCTCTTTGTGACAGTTTTCTCGACTGTCTGCAGGAGGGCAGAAACCTGGGGTAGACGTTCCACGATGACAACTCACGACAAAATCTATCCTTCTCCGTTGAAGGGGGAGGATGGGTGCAGGGGCACGCAGTTGCTTAAGCATGTAGTGGAATGATGTGATGCTAAAGGGACCATATGCTGCCTAGCAATCAAGCGCCACCCACATAAGGATCTAGCTGTAGCTAATGTAAAAGAGATAAAAGCCACAGCGAACCACCAGCACAAGTGATGATCAACACTACGCTATCCACACTGCACTTCCAAACAGCCCACTCAATCTGGATTTATTCTCCTCACTGGTCATGGTCTCTGCAGTCTTGCATTTAAACCAGCAGTCAGTAGCACCAGTCAGACCTCAGTATCTGTTTCTCTGGTGAGTCCACCTCTGTGTTAGTAACTAGTAAATTTAAATGGCTTCTTAAGGTTAGTTCTCAATCATTTCTGGCAGTAGTAGACTTCCTAGAAGATAAATAAAGACAAATGTTAAAAAGACAATGTTCAGCACTGCTGTAAGGGCAATATATATGCATGCTCAGTAGGGTTGGGCAAATGGATTAAATGTGCAAACTTTTCTCAAGGATAATTTTTTTTGAATGACTGATCTAAATCATATCAGCATAATTAGCATTCAAAGGGGGAAACGCATTCAGTTCAACTTCTTGAAGTCTGTATAATCCAACATTGCAAGCAGTAATGTAGCTACCCATATTAGAGCTTGTTCATTGGTAGCTACTGTTTAAAGTCCTTGTCACTACCAAACATGTGGTCCCTCACTGCTGTTTTTCTGGTTGAATTGCTACCTTTATTTAATAGAAAAACATTTTCCTAAAGTGAGTGCATACAGGTAGGCAGCTGCCACTTATTCACCCCATTTCAGAGGAAGTGTAAACATCAACATATGACAAGCAGACGGCAGACTGTGAGGTTGAGATGTCCTTTTCTGTTTACTCATGCTTTTGTTGCATACGAATGACGTCACAGGCTGGTCGGCCCGTGTTTCTGTTAGGACCTCATTTGTAATGAAAAGCCATCTAAACCGAACCATGGCCAGGTGAGTAAAGGGCTCTAGGGGTCAGCATTTTGTACATACAGCGAGGCTTTATCGCCCCTCGGTTAATTCATAAGGAGATTTTGGCGTAGTTAGTTAGCATTGCATTATGAGGCCTTTAAACCGTTTGTAGACAAGTCCAAGCCATGGATTGCAAAAGGCTGAGAGGATTAAACCTGCTGGTGTTCCTTCAGGCAGCTGAGTTTGGTAATTATTTTCATATTTGCCCTCGACTCCTAAATCTGGTGTAGATTCTCGACACATACTCGGAGAACAACCCAGGCGACATTACTAGACGAGATTAAAAAGTGCATTTTGAGGAATGGAGTGAGTAACCAAATCCCAGCACAAAGAGACGGATGACTGAAGAAGCTCATTTTTATTCCT